TTCATATTTTGTGAATTTTCACCTATCAAATTTCAACAAAATATCAAAAGCAGTATCGAAGTGAACTTGGGAAAAAATGGTTTTAGTTTTTATTTTTTTACACGAAAATGGTGCGTCGTACGAAAATAAGTCTTCTGATCGAATTTGCTCCAAAATAAATGAGGATTTTAAAAATAATTTTAGTTTTTAGAAAAAGCAGTGGTGTACCATTTTTTCAAAACATATTCAGTTCAAACCCCGTATGGATGTCACTGGTGAAAGATTTCTTTTTTGTAGAATTTTATTATGATTTTTTTCTCAACTAAATGGTTAAGAAATTGTTTAGGTAATATAAATAAACCTATAAATTCTTATTGAAAAAAGTGGTCCATATATGGCGCACTTATATACACAAAAAAACGCGAAATATTCTCGTCAAAAAACATTGTAAGTGATTTGTGTCGACGTAATGGTTTTTCCGAGTACAATAAAAGAAAACAATCAGCACATCAATGAAATCCGAGCCCCGGAGGAGCGCGGGCGTATGTATACAGATATATATAAGAAAACCCAGTAGGAGGGAAGAAGAGAAAAGAGGAAGTAAAGAAACCCCCGCAACCCGGCCGCACCGGGGCCAGAGTTAAGTGCGGACTCCTCGGCCAGGATTTCATACGCTCTCTCCCGAGAAAGACATAAGTGAAACAGAAAGAATGCAAATGAGCTAAAGAGCGCGTCTTTGCTTAATTCGCGCCCGAACTTTTCCGTTTCTTTCCGGTCTCTCACTCACTCACTCTCTCTCTCTCCCACCCGCGCGCGCGCCCCCTTTAATTTCTTTCTTTCCTCTTCGTTTTTTTTTCTTACTCTTCGCCTCTATATGTACCGACCCGCCGGCCCCCTTTTCGAAATGAAGAACCCCCGGCCGGAGCGGGGGGGTGGGGCAGCACCCGGTGGAGTTTTTGCCGCGGACTCACATGCGCAAATGAAATCGATTAAAATGCGAGTTTGTGCTTTGAAGAAGAAGTATTAATGGCAGGGGGCCGGTCCGGGGGGGTTGCGAAAACGGGAAAGGGGGGGCGGAAAGGGGGGCGGCGGGACGGGCGGCGAGGGGCGCGAGGCGGTCGGACGGATGGGGTTAGGACAAGAAGGATCGTAAGAAAAGGAGGCGAAAAGAATGCTATGCTATGCTATGCTCTCGCTGCCTGTGCATTCGTCTTGAATATATTAGCGCCCCGAAACTTTTCAATGAGTTATATGCATCTATTTATTTAGTTTTTTTTTTCCATACGGTTTTTATTTTTCACACGATAATTAATTTATTAACGATTATAATTGTTCAATAACAGCATTTTTAATTATTCCTTCTTATGCATTATCCTTCAATACAATTGTTGCATTAATTACCTACATTAATAAACGTAAATTAATTAATCGACATATTTTCATCAACAATTCGATAACCTATAAATAAATAAATTAACCATTATATCACAACGTTATAATTTTATTAAAATCATTAAATCAAAATTAAATCAATAATTCATCGGATACGCTACTGATTTTTAATGAGCGTAATCGTTCCACTCCGATACTTTTCCTATTATGCTTGTTTAAGAAAATATAAAAATCGAATTGTTATGCGAATATTAATAATGCATGAAGGGTGTGGTCGAGGACCCGTGGGTTGCTCACCGACACCACTCTCGGTTGCACATTAGTCACGATTCCGAGTGCATATACACAACGAGAGAAGAAAGAAAATAATAAATAAAACGAACGGAACCAATCGACTTGCCATTATCGATCTAATCGACACGTTTACACTTGTGTGCTGGTTACTATAAAAAATTAATTACATACAGTCGGTGCAAAACGAATATCGATGCACGTCACTACTGTCGTCATATTCGCCAAGCATTGTGACCAACTTTTAAAAGTAAATACACTAAATAGATTAAGATTAATACCTGCAGAATTTAATTTAATTTTATGTAGAAGTTTTCTCAGAAATTTCACTATATACTCTTTTTAAGGGTGTAATTGTACACAAACTTTTTTACTCGCACTGTTAAATATATTTCAGATCATAAAGGAATTTCATGATTAATTATAGTGAGCCCCCGAATACATCCCCCGTTTAGAAACATAAAACAGGTACCCCTAATTTTCAATTTGTTCTTGTCATTTTGCTATTTGACAATTTTAGAATATTCTTAGATTTTGTAAACTCCTTTGTGCCTACTTTGTATTTGTTTTGCACACTCTATACAAACTAATATTTACAAAGCCTATATAACGATTTTAACCAAGCGTTGACGTCATCGCTTTATTAACGCGACCAAACTATACCTATCGGCTTGTGTAAACCTAGTCAGATTTGTACAGATATATGTCTCTAATTTCGTTCGCTTAGCGGCTATTTGAAATATCACGGACGCGAATTCTCGCGCGTTTTACTTTCCGATGGCGATAGAACAAGCTCGAGCGGGTGGGAAAACTATCTATACAGGGAGTCGCAACGCCCGTTTCCTGGGTGCAGGTTATCGCGAAACCGGTTTCCAAAAACGGCTGATCGCCGATTACATACAGGAAGATACGTAAATTTCATCTACTCGCTCAATTATGAATGTCGCTAATTCAATTAGCCTGCAATTGCGATGCAAATGTATACCGATCGGACAGGCATAAATAATTTTGCATGTAAATTCGATTAGAAACAAGCGTTATTTGTCTAATAAATTTTCAATCGAAAGCTCGGAAAATGGATTTATCGACCAATTCATTTACAACTTTTGTCACATATACAGGGCGTTCCTAAACATCGTGTACATCCGAAAGGGGGTGATTCCTTTTGGCTTATTTTATGACTAAAAGTTTATAAAAATGTGGGTCCACAAACGCTTCGTTACCGATCTACAGGGTGTTGAAATTTCAATTTTTTATCTGTAGCTCCTGCAGTTTTTGAGATATTTAGCTCAAAATTTGAATCTATATCTAATATTTCAACACTTTGTAGATCAGTAACAAAGCGTTTGCGGAGCCACGTTTATATAAACTTTTAGTCATAAAATAATCCAAGGAATCACCCCCTTTCGGATGTACACGATGTTTAGGAACACCCTGTGTAATATGCTTTTATAATGAGACAAAATGCGTGAGCGGTACGCTCATGAATGTCGTTTCCCCGTTTCATGCACTTGCACCAGTTACCTACTACCTATACGCTTGCATGCGAATAAATCAGTAATGGTCAAGGTTACGTCGAAAAGAACCAGTCGGTACTTCGGTACTACGCATACGATAAAACGGTATTGTTTGGATAATTTACGAGGAGTTGTGATGTCATTCCCGATTTAATTTGAACGCATTATATGCAATTCTTGATGGGGGGAAAAAAGTATTGGGAAAAAGTAACCGAAAATTTTGTTTTCGAGTGTATTCCAAGAGGCCAAGGGTGCAGAGAATAGCTGGCAAGATTACCTACTTAAGAAAAATCTAAATGCAGTTTACACAATAAATCTTACGAAAAGAAATTGTGATGTCATTCCCGAATTAATTTGAACGTATTATATGCAATTTTATGGGAGAACTGGTGGAAGGCGTATTGAGAAAAATAAAACAAAATTCGAATATCGAATGTATATATTTTTTTTTTGGGTGTGTTGTATAGGGAGGTTTTTCGTTGGAAGTTCCACAAGGCGCCTTGCCGGGTCCTTTAATAACGTTAAAGTTGCTGTTTCCTTTAGATCTTTCGTTGATTGAGATTCTACTTTATAATTACTTTAATTAAGAAAAAGCACTCGCTGATGAAAATTGCGATGTACTTCGCGCGAAAGAAGGAACACATTTGAATTTTAAAATCCACTTCTTGTAATTATTTACCCCGGGCTCCGCTCGACAACCCGGTCGCTGCGGAATGTTTACGGACGAGCCGCGACACTTCGAATTTTCCCAATTTCCCCAATTTGTTTTCCGATAATTGCGCCAGTGCTAACTCTTAATCATTTTTTTTTACAACGCGGGTGAGCACAAGGTGACCGGTGGATTGGAAACTCGTTAGTTTTCCAATTTTAACTGCTCTTAAAAAAAATAGTAAATAAATTTGAAACTTTATATTGGAATGCGGAAAACAATGTATTTGCGGGAATTGTGTGTATACGCCTCGAGAAAAATATCTAATTACATTGCAATTATTCGATCGGCCGATTTCTTTGATATATTCCGGCAAATGTTGTCCTTGTTACGTTTTTTTGCGACAAAATTGACAATGCTCCACCTAATTTAACGGATAAATAATATAAAGAAAAATATTCGATTAACATACGCCTATTTCAATGTTTTAAGAACGTTATTAATTAGTTATTATGCAGATTGCGAATCGATAAGCATTGAATTTCTGCGTGTAAAAAAGCCTTGATTTTATTTATAAAATATCCATTTTTTTATTGCGAGAAAGCGCTCGTTAAAATTCTTTTAATGCGGATGTATATTTTATTTTTTCGAAAATCTCTCCAACAATTAATTCCCATATTTTATCTAGACATAATATACTGTAAATTCAAATCGAAATTAAATAGCATATTTTTTTCATTATTTGTACCGATAAAAGTGCAAATATTCCATTTGATACAATTATTTAACCGACCACACCTAAATTAAACAAATTAAATACGAGCAACGTACATAAAATAGTAGATTATATGTGATATGAATTAATTAACCTTTAACTTTAAATTTGTTATATCAAATGACCAATAAAAAATACAGTTTTATTCAAAAAAATCGATCGTAGAAAATTGTTTAAAAGAAAAAACCCAAAAGAATGTGATCAAATATATGACCAAATAATTATTCCAATTTGACAAAAAAAAACTATTTCTTCGCCACCCATTTCGCGAATATTTCCCCACCAAAAAAAATCTATCTCTTGCCCAGCACAACCCATATTACTTTTTACCCAACACAATTATTTATTTACCCTATCACGATTCGAAAACGCCTAAAAAAAAAAGTCCTCCCAGCAAATGGTGAATCGTACACCGCTTTACCGGCAAGTACCAGCAACGCCGGTACTTACCGACAGTACCGTATTTCTTTTTCCGAAGGTCAAAGTACCGTCGAGATTCATTATAAAAACGAGGGGTAAAAGGGTAACCGGCATCAGTTCAACACTGTCACTCCAATCAACCAGCTCCGACATGAACGCTTTGGTAAGAAAAACGATTTTTTTTGCACTACACAACATTTAACACGTCCCCTGTATAGTACCAAATTTTTAATTCCTACAGTTCTAGTACAGTCCTTATATTTTCACAAATTGCATTTCCATTTATTCTCTTACACCATTTTCCCCAGCTACATTTTCCCGTAAACATTCCCCTGGTATAGTACCAATTTTATTCATTCCTGTACAGTTCTAGTACAGTCCTTATATTTTCACAAATTGCATTTTCATTTATTCTCTTACACCATTTTCCCCAGCTAAATTTTCCCGTAAACATTCTCCTGGTATAGTACTAATTTTTTTCATTCCTATACACTTTTAGTACAGTCCTTACATTTTCACAAATTTTCCCATAAATTTTCCAGGTAGTACTCACCGTTTTGGCCGTCGCCGCCACCGCCTCCGCCTCCCACCTCGGCCTTGGACTCGGCGGCTGGGGCATCCACGGCTCCCACGGCCCCTCCGGCGTGGTGACCGGCGCCGGCGCCGCCGGCCCATCGGGCGTAGTGACCGGCGCCGGCGCCGCCGGACCGGCCGGCGTCGTCAACGGACACGGAGCCGTAGGACCGACCGGACCTAACGGACACGGCGCCGTCTGGGGCGCGCCCGCCCTCGCCCTCGGCTTGGGACACGGAGCTTGGGGCGGCCTGGGACTCGGCGCCGGAGCTTTGGGCTTGGGACACGGCGGTTGGGGACTCGGCGCCGGCGCCTTGGGCTTGGGACACGGCGGCTGGGGACTCCATTGAGTTTGCCAAGATGAGGTTTTATTATGTTGATGATTATTGTACTATATTGATGGATTAATGTGAACTGATGTTATGATTTGGAATAAACGTTGTACATACATATAATGGTAGTTGTTTTATTTGTTTTTGGTTTTTTTTGGTCAGTAGAATTCGGCAGTTTTTTTATAACCAAATGGTTTTGTAACCAACGGTTAAATATTTTCGAATTTTAAACATGGCAACGTTATAAAAATGAGGTTTTTTGTGTTTCTTCTTCTTCCAAACAAGGCACAACAGTTCTAAATGATTCCGGAGCGTCCTAAATGAGTCTGGATAGTTCTAAATTGTTTTAGACAATTCTGAATGACTTTGCAACGCTCTAAATGGCAGAAGAATGACAAGAAATTAACATAACTTTCATCTTGTTTAACTGGTAACAAAACCATTTGGTTATAAAAAAACTGAATACTACAACTCTTTCTCGATCAACGATTTTGAGAGATGAAAGTAAATTAAACGCCCCCCTAGAAAATCGCTTGAATTAGGTCAGAAAAACCGCGGTAAATTCCATATTGTCAACTCCGCTCTGTCTAAACAGTAAATCTCGCCGGCATTTTTGCGTCAAATCTAGCGTAAAACGGCAAAAATTATCCAGATATTTTCAGTTGCGAACCGCAAACTAGTATGTGGCGGTACTTTGGTACCCGTTCAAGCGGCACCGAAACGTTCCGCATTGATCGATATCGATACAATTATTTTCAAAACGGGGTGTGTACCACGCCTGTATCGAATACAGTTTGTTTTTCACCTTATCCATTTCAACTCATTTGCTTTTATACAGTACGATTATTTGGCTTAAATTAACTATAAATTCCTCTTTTTTTTACTTAAAAATAATGCACTTATTGCACTTGTCTTATTCGCTGCAATTGTGCAATAACTGCGGAATGTTTAGTACCTACTCACAATTAGGTAACTCAAACTTAAGGACAACCATTATTAAAAGAAGAATAATTAACAATAGATTTCTAATAAGACAGTTCTAATTCGTTCAAAAATGATTCTGGACAGTTCTAAATTATTCTGAATAGTTCAAAATGATTCTCGACAATTCTGATTCTATTCTGAATACTTACCACAATGTGAATTATAGCGTGTTGTGAATACAAGTGAATTGTGCATGATAAAATCCCGACCAAATATAGTAACGTAAAATCTCGACTAATAATCGATATGTAAATCAAATGGCGATCTCAAACGGCAATTAAGCTTAATTACATGTTATTATGGAGCGAACAGCCTCGACCGTTTTGCAAATCGATAAGTACGTATTCGATTGTTTGGAGGAAAAAATCTCGGGGATAAAAAAAAATCGATTCGGCATCCGCAAAAGGGGCGTTCGGAGCCCGACTCATTGGAGTTTCGGTGGGCAGCAAATAACATTGTTAAATGCATCGTTTTGCATACACGCCTCGAATAGTTCGAATGCAACGAACGACACCTAATTATTAAACGAATTTAAACGTTAGTTGGATGCCCATCTCGGAATCATCTCGTTTTATTTTCGCTTTATATGCGGGGAAATTGGAGCCGTGTAAAGAATTAAGTTCCTGTTTTAAATTTCGGTATCCATATAGGCGACAAATGGGGAATGATGAAAGAATGATGCAAGAATGCAATACTTGTACGTGTGGCACATTACTGTTTCAAATAAATTTTTTCGCATGGGTTCGTTTTATTGAAGAAGGTCGTTTGTGTTACGCCTTTGCGACTATATAAGCCATACCAACTATTGTCAATTCGTCAGTCAAGATTTCCTGCTTCTACAGACACCAAGCACAACTACAAACCACCAAAATGAAATTCATGGTAAGACAAACCACCAATTTTTCTGTTTGTTTTGTATCTAAGAAACACATTTTTCACTTATCTACTTATTGCTTCTGTATATGCCATTGCATCATTACTTCTTAGAGCATTACCAATTCTTTTAATATCTTCACCAACACTATCTGTATTTTTACCTAACGATGTATTTATTTCAATTAAAATTCCGGGTATTGTTGCTCATTTCTCAATACTTATATTTCCTTTACTTGTTTTCTACAGTATTTCCAATATTTCTTCCTTTCAACTCAAACGACATAACATTTTCAAACGCCCGTACCATTTTAATATCAATCGATACTTCCAATACCTTATTCAATTGAATATTGCAATTATTGTTGCTCATCATTGTTGTATTTCTTGTACTTATTTTCTCCATTAGTTCCTATACCGTCATCAATTTTCTCCATATCATCACCAGTACTTTCTAGTAACTTCTATAGAATAAAATGTTGCTGCTAAACGTTGTTGCTCACTAAAATTTATATTTCCTACATTTCCTCACTTATATTTTCACTGAATAAGATCACCAATACTTTCCGCTTCATCAACACATCTATATTTCCTTCTACCAAATACCACAACATGTCAACTCCAACCGAAAGTTCCCTCACCTTTATCTTCCCCCATCATTCACCTACACCCCAAATTCTCTATACTCCATCAAACTCACCACATTTACCATTTTATTCCAGATCGCTCTCACCGTCGTGGCTCTCGCCTGCCAAGCCCACGGCTCCGCCATCGGCCTCGGCCTCGGCCTCATCAACCCCTTGGCGCTGAGTCCAGTCGGACCGTCGGGCATCGTGACCGGCGCCGGGGCGGCCGGCCCGTCGGGCGTCGTGACCGGAGCCGGAGCGGCCGGACCGTCGGGAATCGTGACCGGCGCCGGCGCCGTCGGCCCCACCGGACCCAACGGCATCGGCATCATCGGCGCCCCCTTGGGACTGGGACTGGGCGTCGCGCCCTTGGGTGTGGGCAAATTGGGATTGGGCGTGTCGCCCGTTGGATTGGGATTGGGTCTGTCGCCCGTGGGATTGGGACTGCGCGGCTTGGGATTGGGAATCGGTCCCTTGGGTTTGGGACTCCACTGAACGACGATTTGGGACGTGACGGATTTTAGGATTTTTTTATTGTATAATTTTTGAATAAATATATTTTTTTTTCATAGTATAATCGACTGTTAATGTGTGTATATCCCGTTCACTTTTATTAGAGTGGTAACAATATAGTTTTGTAGATGGAAAAAAAATGATTTATGGGCGTAGTAGGTCTCGAGTTTGTGTGCAATTTTCATTGCATTCCTTATAAGTCAGCGGTTAAGATGAAAAAAATGGTCGATTGCACGATTAATATACCGCAATAAGATCGATTGGCGCATGCAAAATCGGTGCCCATCGAAAAATATTAATTCGTTAACGATTGGCGGAAATATGAGAATATTTCGCGAGACCAACGATAAAATAGGTAAACTGTTATCTTCGCGTTGAATCTCGACGATTGCAGTTTAATTTCTCGGTATTCAGACCGCTCAGATATACGTTTTCCTTCTGACAAAAGCGAGGAAAAAATCGGGCGTATCAGTAGGAGAAAAACGGCGGAAAAAATCGCAAGGTAATCTGGTTTGTTTTATCGCAACATGCAGCAGGATATGATTGTTAAATTGTTATATTTATTATAAATGTATTAACCACAATACGTTCACCTTTGTCCTTTAATTTAACGCAATACAATAACTCGAAGTATACGAACTTGGCTTGATACAGTTCCTGTTCTATTTACTCTAAAATTCTTATTTTAAATTTGATACGTTAATCACTAGGAAGAAGTTATTCGCTCTCGAAAGTGTAGGTAGATAGGTATTTAATTTTTCTTCGCGGGATAATCGTTTTCCATTAGACTCGAGCATCGCAATTTTCAGTTAGCTGGTAAGCGAATGGGTAAAATTAAATCGGCGTCCGCACTTTTGAGTAACGAGAGAAAATGTAGTTTTCGCCATTGGTCGGAAAAACATGTTTCCAACCGGCAGAGAGAGACTCGCTCCGTCGCTAATTAGTAGGCCGGCCTCGGGCGGGATGCGAGTCAGTTATACCATTAGAAATTGAAGTTAAAGCGAAGGATCCGCGCTAGATAAATATTGTATATAAATTCCGCATCTTACCTATATAAGATTTTGTATACGCGCGACGTTAATTACTCGAAACGCTAAGACTCCCGGGTATGTCGTTTTGCGCTGATGAAAAATAAAGAAGGCGCAACTCCGGCGTTTTCGGTTCGACGCCTTCAGCTCGCACTTTCAGATACTTACCTACAGTTAATGAGTTATTGGGATTTTCCCAACAAACTTATTCCCTTTAATACATTTTATTGGACGACGATTCTATTGCTAGAGGATATACGCCTCTTAGAAATAACTACGTTTAATATACCAGTAAAAAAAAGTCTTTCAAATCTATATTAATTATGGATACATTATATAGCTTTAATTAACAAGTTTGTTTCCTCAAGATAGATGCAAACATTGTAGTGTCCGGTAAAGCATAATGGAGGAAGAAGGGCGAGTAGCGAGTGGAGCGATAGTATTCCTGACCAAAATATATCAAATATCCAAATGGCGATTGGAAGAGAAGTGGTCGAAACTCGGCAAGTATTTACATCAGTCGAAGCGACTCCAAAACATGCTGGTAGATACTTACTTAGCCATTTGGCAGATTGCCGCAAACCCGAAAGCAATCCAACTTCCCGGAGGCCGGGCCGGGGCCTCTAATGAAACGTAATGTAATGAAATAGCCGCGGCCCGTCAATGTTCGCAAAGGGGTTGGAAGCGAAAAGGGACACGGAGCAATTACAGGTAACTAATACCAGTTGATACGTGTTTAAAGTTGGTGCATTGTTTACGATGCGACCGCAGACCCAAGAATAATGGCGCAGTCGGGGGTCGAAGTCGAAGCCATGACGAATGGCATTCGCGTCCAGGTTAATACCACCACTTGGGGAAACTTCGATAGTCAAATTCCTGAAACTTTAGACAACTGTCCACTCGATACAAATCTCCCGTTCGTCCGGGCTCCGCACCGGCTCCCGGATAACCTTTTGCGGACGGTCGTAAGGAATTTCATAATCGCCGGGCGACTTTGTGCAAGATCTATTCGGACATATTGATATTACTTTGAAGATTTATTAGATACAGGAGGCTCCAATTACGTTTCTGAGATATCCGGCGCTATATATTTTCGCTCTGACCCCGGCTCTAGTCCGGCAAAACGCTACAGGAATTTATACCCGGTATTATATCAAATTCAATGTTGAATTGTTATTTCGATTCGGATATTTATTTAGCTTTAACCAATTGCAGTATTGCATGCTTTTAATTCATCAAATATGTTACTTACGTCTTTCTTTTTTTGGAAATCTCCTTCGTCAAGTGAAACAGGATCATGCTGGAACAGAAAACGAAACAACATTAAAAGGATTATGAGATAAGTACAAGAAAATTTAGGAGAAATTGAAACTATATTAAAGTAGTAGAAAAAAAGTACACGGAAATTCTGATTTAAATTACCTGCACTTAATATTTTCAACTATTTCAAGTTTCTAGTATGTATAGTTAGAAATAATTTTGTCACTGTTAGTTTCCATTTTTAAAAATGTCTGCCGTTCCCCCCTCTACATAGGTATCGACAAAAAAAATAGAAAAAAAATGATCTTATTCTTATCAAACATAGCTGTGGATGCTTTAATTGATGGATTGCGGATGAACTTACCTTATTGTTGAAAAGATGCAAATACTAAAGTATAATTTAACACTAATTGTTATAAAATAAAACCATTTAATTAAAACGAATACGAAAACAAACACCCATCACTACAAAAATTAATAAACCGGAAATTCAAATTTTTGACAGGACGGACATGAAGTCGTTACATATGACATTTCTACCAACATCAAAAAAAAAGAAAATTTATTTTTCCACTTAATCTATTACATTTTTTAACAAGTAATAAACAGCAAATAATATTAATACAATCAATTAAACTAATTAGAAATTCTTTCCCGGCTGATTTTTATTCGTTATTCTTTTCTAATATGAAAATCCGCTATATCCACGAATCCAATCTCTTTACCTTCTAAACGTAACGAAAAACAGTTATTAGGTGTACTTACATATTATACGTATACCAGTTGATTGATAAACGCTATTTCCTAATTATTTGCAAGGAAGGTCGTTCCAATACCTATATAAACTGGGGTAAAAGCTCCGGTATTATTGTAGTCTGCTCCAGTGACTGAGAAACACTACACATTTTCAATTCAACATGAACTGCTTGGTAAGAAAATTAACCACTATTTATTATTATTATATTTATAAATTTTGATTATACATTTATTTACTAATTTTTTATTATAATATTTTCTAACTTTACACGATATTTTAATTGACAATTTTTATTTTGTCTAATTCAATACCTACTAGATCCGTTAGTAAAATAATTCTGTCAAAGTCAAATTGATTATAAAATTGCTAAATTCCTTCTATTTCGTTTCTACAAAATAAAATATTGTTTTTCGCTACGTTGATATCACCCACAGTTTGTAGAATAATCTATATCACCGATTATTTTCAAAAATCGTTCACCATCCTTCTTCTTCCACCCGGCCTCGTCCGCCGAGGTTACCCGGCCTGCGTCACGACAGCTATTCAGCCAAATTTAAAACAACACCCGTTTCTTTGCAGTTTGTCGCTCTTTTCGCCGCCCTCGCCGTAGCCACCCAAGCCAGCGGCGTAGGTTTGGGCTGGGGCGGTCTGGGCCTGGCCGGCGCTCACGGCGGTCTGGGATGGGCCGGTAACGGTTTGGGATGGGGCGGCGCCGGCCTCGGCTGGGGCGGTCACGGCGTGGCCATCGCCGCCGTGCCGGTCGTCAACCCGTGGGCGCACGGCGGAGTCGGACCTTCCGGAGTGACCAGCGGCTTGGGAGCCGCCGGACCCTCGGGAGTCGTCACTGGAGCCGGAGCCGCCGGACCCTCAGGTAAGATTTTCTACTCGATTTAACTCTAAAGAGCGCTAATATTGATGGGTTTTTTTAGGAGTCGTTAACGGACATGGAGCCGTAGGACCCACCGGACCCAACGGTAGAGGAGTCGTAGTCGCCGCCGCCCCCGCTCTCATCGCCGGTCACGGCGCCTGGGGCGGTCTTGGTTTGGGACTTGGCAAAGGACACGGATGGTAGGACCTTACTAGGGATATGCAATTTGTAATTACGCTCCGATTTTTGTGTTTGTCTTATTTATTATGTGTGCAATAAAAAAGATTTTAACTTTTTAAAACGACGCTTTTTCTTTAATTACTTATAATGATGAGGAGGAAATGATTGTAGAAAATAATTCGAAAAACTATTAGTTTTTAATATCCATCACTTTCTTATTTTTTTTTCACAAAACTAAAATTTACATACATCGTGTGGAGGTGGAGAATATAATTGGGTTAAACAGGCTGTATTTTTTTATCAAAAAACTAATCACAGTGCTGTACAAAATAGTGAAACGTGTTAATAATAATAAAAAAAACAACTAATCTAATTCTATATAGCATGTTTTAAACTTTTTCAACTTACTACGAGCTCCTTCAAAAAAAATCAAAAATAAATAAGTTTATAACAAACAATAAAACAAAAAGTAACCACGTTACCCTCACAAAGGAAACATTAATTAAAGGACACAAGATTAAATTCTCTCCTATTATTCACATATCTGTACAAAATATTTTCTCGATATTTTTATAGGTACAAGAACTTCATATAATATATATTATTATAAAATAAAAACTATCCGTTTAGTGTTCTAATTTGCCAAACAAATCAACGAACCGTCCAATAATAAAACAATTAAACCCTCACCCGTCCCAATCTCTCGATTATTATTATTATAGATATACACAGTCGCATTATCGACAGGAAAAATTAACACATCCACACACGTTCGATTCTGCCTATGCCATAATATCCTAAAACAACTCAACGTAAATCGTAATTGCATTCAACAATTCTCTATGATTAAACACGCGCTTCAAATCGAATTCTAAAACAATTCATCTATTAAGAAACAGGAAACCATTTTGTGAAATTCGATCCAAACAAATTTTTGGTGCTTCTTTTTATTGTTATATGTATTCGTGCCTCAATTCTTGCAACGCTTTCCTTTAGAGTATAGGGTGAAGGCGCCCTTAAATTTGGATTTTCTTATCGAAATCGAACAATATTAAACAAAAACTATAGTTAATATTAAAAAAGCCAGCACAGCCCTATAAATATTTTTTTTTAGAATATAACAAACGTAATATTTAAGGTAAGGCAATGTTTGTCTTCGGGTAAACCGCTCTAAAAACATCAACGTTTCCCGAAAAAAAATCCTTTTAGACTTAAAAATTAGAGTATTTCAAAACGACAAAACACTCGTCTTGGTGCATAATACTTAATTAAATAATAATAAAAAAAAACCATAACGTAGTCACTGGGGGGATGAAAGAGAAAGGCGCGAGATAAAACTAAAACTAACGCCTCATTGTACTATTCAACGGTTGCATGATCCCGTAGGTCCTGTACATGGCAGGCTGCGCCCTCTGCAACGCCGCCGGATCCTGGTACTGCGTCTGCGCCATGTTCATCATCTGCATCGGTATCTGGTTGTTGATGAAACCCGTATTGGTGATGTAACCGGTGACGGCGCCGGCCGTCTGTTGGCCGCCCATCGGCGGGTAGCTGTTCATGTTGTACGTTTGCATGTGCTGCATGGCCGCCACGTTCGTCGAATTCCTGCCCGGCCTGCCCAAATTCTGGCCGATCGGCGGCGTCACGGCGCCGCCCAATTGGTTCACGTTCATGTTGGTCTGGTAGTACTTGTGATAGCCCAACACCTGCTGTTGCAAATTCGCCGGTATCGCCGACGGCGGCGTCAGATTCCTCGCCGCCGCCTGGTTCTGCACCATCTGGTGCGGCGGCGGCGGCGTCGCGTGCAAGTGCGTCGGCGGCGGCGTCAGCGTCATCGTCGCCGGCGGCGGCGTCATGATCTGGCACGACGGCGCCGGCGTCATTTCCAAGCCGTTCGTCAACTGTTGCAGCTTCGCTATGCTCGAGCTCGCGTTACCGCCGCCCGCGCCGCCGCCGCCGCCCGTCGGTTGGCCGCCTCGTTGCGACGGCGACGGCGTCGACGAGTGCGAATGCGGATTCGCTTGAATGTAGAAATTGCTGCCCGTCGTCACGGCGCAACTGGGACTCGACGCCAGCTTCTGGTTCGCGCCGCCTCCGATCGAATTCAACGCACCGGCGGCGGCGGCGGCGTTCTGTTGCGAACCGATGCCGTGCTGGATGACCGTCGTCATCGGCGGTATGTTGACGCACGCGCCGCCTCCCGACGGGAACGTTTGCGTCGTCACCGTCAACGGAATGTAATTCGCCTGACTAATAACGGCGTGGGGATGGACGTGCTGGTGTACCGCCGACGGTCCCAATTGGTACTGGTAACCCTGATGGACCACTTGGTGATGCAAATGAGGCTGCAACTAAACGCGATTCGTAGGTATTAAACGCCTCAATTCTAGTACTAACATTCTATCTAATAGTACATCGAGTACTAACCTGTTGGGCGCCGTGATGCTGGTGTTGCATGGTCGAATGTTGCGCCGTCGGGCTCGCTTGCATCTGTTGCAATTGTTGCGGATTACAAGGCGGCGTCGCCCGTTGCCTGGCCTGCTGCGATTGTTGCGAGCCGCCGCCGCCTCCCCCTGGCGGCGTCGATCTGCTGATGCCGTGCTGTTTGGTCGACGACGGCGTGTTGGACCGGTTGCGTTGCTGTTGCACCTGTCGCTTGCTCGGCGTGTTCTGGTGCAATTGCGGCTGCGCCACCGTCTGCGAGGCCAGATGATTGATCGTAGGGCTGTAAAATTAGATACATACATTTGTTAGACTCGCCAAACTATATTGTATTGGACGCTGGCGTAGTAAAAGGCCGCAAGAGAAGCGTTCCAAGCAAAAGATCTACGAAAAATGACAAAACAATACGTCATACGTCAAACTTGGATAATTTCCAAAATGGCGGACGATTAACATTTTCAAATCGCGATTGCGAGCCGAAACGAATTTTTAGCTCGGAAAGCGTTAAATAAATTAAATAAAATGATACATTAGAGATTTGTCGTTTTATTTATATTGCTTGTTGAGACTGATAATTTAATTTATTTATTTGATGGGACTGATTATTTGATTTTGGTAGTTCTGTTTGCCAGTTTAAGATATTTGGTGCAATATTCTTAGTTTGTAAGTGTATGTTTGTATGTGTTTGTTTTAATACCGGGCCGGGATGTTATAACATGTATTTCTCCTGGTAAATAAATAAATAAAAAAAAATATATATATAGTCTTAGTTTACCTTGTGGCGGCGATGGCGGTGTTCTGCATGTTCTGCTGCATATTGTGCTGCACCGAGCAATCGTAATTGGTCTGGGGCGGCGCGTTCGGCACGACGGCCGACGGCGGTCGGGCGATCTCCACCGAATTGACGTCGCCCGCCATCGAGGCGGGCGATTCCAAGTTCAAATGGGCGACGTCCATGTCGCAGTGGCCGTAGTGCAAGCTGTGCACCGAATTCGTGGTGGAATCGGGCGTGTAGACGCCCAACGAGGGCGGCACGTCGCCGACGGACAGCGGCGGCGCCTGCCCGCCTTTCACCGGCTGCAGCTCCTCCAATTTGTTGTGGTCCTTTCGCTCTTTGGATTTTTCGGCGCGATCCGGCGCCGACGATTTCGGCGAGTTTTGCGGATAGGAGCAACTGGACGGTTTCGACGGATCGTTCAGTATACCCTTCGCGCACGCGTCTTGCTCGTGCTTCGATTTTTTCTCTTCTTTTTTAGGCGAACAGTGCTTCTCTCGGGCGGTTTCTTTCATCTTGCCGCTCGAACTACTACCGCTTTGGCTCGACGAATACCTAAAATTAAACAAATTTACCTCGTACAATGGAGAACAACAACCACACAACCTGAATAAAGTACTCGGAGTACTCATAGAAGCGATTCAGGACACACTTATACACTAAATAGAGGTGTACAAAGCACACCTACTAAAATAGTAGAACAAAAAACAAGCCATCTACAAGCAAGGTAGGTATTTGCTGCTCGAGGTGGTACTAATACAAAAAAAGAAAGAATAGAGTACCTGTGAGACTTGGACGGCAATTTCTCCTTTTCGCAGGTCGGCTGTTTGGGCAGCATCTCCAGCGGCGCGAACTGGTGCAGCATCGGATGCGGATAACCTTGGAAGTCGCGCTTGTTGTCGTAGTACCGGTTGCCCCACAGCCGTTCCCATTGCCAGTGGTACTGCGCCTGCGTCATGTAGTTCTCCGTCGCCATCGTATTGGCCAGGAACGTTTCGTCGACGTGCATCTTCGGCTGGGCGTCGTAGAGCGCCTTCTCGTCGTGCAACTTCTGATGGTAACGCTTGTCGTCGTGCTTGGCGGTTCGGCCGCCTTCGGTCTTGTACGGTTCCTGCTTGGGCGACGGCTTCGGTTTCGGCTCTTGGTGATCGTAGAGTTTCAAATCGGGGTGCGCGTGCGCGAGCGGTTTGTTGTCTTTGGACGGTACGTGTACCGGTTGTAATACGGGGTGTTTGTATTCTAACCGTTCGGGCGGCGGAGGCGGTTGTTGTAGCGGCACCGGTAGAGGTGCCGGCGGTTTTTCTATTTGGGGTTTCTGGATTTTCTGTTGGTCTTGTTCGATGGTTGGTTTCCTCTCAGACGGCGGGCGTACCTTAAATTATTTGAAAAAAAAATTAGTAGTTACGCAATGGAGAGGAGTGCGATGTGAGATATGCGGTTTTTAACCCGGATATATGAATGGATATGAATCGTTAGAACTCGAAGCAGTTTTCAGTTGCCGAAAATATTCACTATTTTAGGAAATATAGCCATTTTAAATTTTAAAATTTGACAGGTGACGTGTAAAGTGGCTGACCAATCACAAAAACGAACGAGTTACATTGTGTCATTAGTGGTGTAAGAATTCAAACAAAGTGTTCAGAAGAGTAGAAGAAACGAACAAAAGTGTAATGTACCGTGTGACATATGACGTATTTCAAACTTTAAAAATTAATTGCAGCCTTAATAGGAAACGGAAAAAATTAGAAATTTCACCAATGATTTCGCAAGAATACGTAGTTTTATAAAAAAAATCAAAAAAAAGTTGAACTCCTATCCATTGTAGCCGAATACGTTAGCAGTAAAAGATCAATAACCATATTTACCTGTTTCTGAATGACGGATTCGCTGTGTTTACGCGGATTGACCTCTTCGTACGGCTTCTGCATTTGAACGTCGGTGAATTTCTGTACGTAAACCTCGTTAGTTTTATCGACAGATCTGTGGACAGCCTGTTTGTCCAACGAATTGCTCGATTTTTGAACAAATTCGTTGGTCACAAACGCCTTCTGCTCCTTGCGATCCTCTTTCTGATCGACTTGCACGACCTCCTGAGCTTCCGAGCTCCTGTTCACCACACCGACATCCCCTATCGGGAACTTCGGATCCGGGAACTTCTGAGCTGGAACGTCCGGGAACTTCTGAGCAGGAACATCCGGGAACTTCTGAGCGGGAATATCCGGGTACTTTAGAGTGGGAACATCCGGGAACTTCTGAGTGGGAACATCCGGGTACTTCTGAGCAGGGACATCCGGCAATTTCTGTACGGGAGGAGGGATTTGAGTTTGAACGGGCGGCGTTGGCTCGGGGTGTTTTCGAACGGGAGGATCTTCCGGAAACTTCGAGACGGGCGGATCCTCCGGGAATTTCTGAACCGGCGCGTCGACGGGGAGCGTCCGAGCGGTCGTGTCCGAAGGATTTACGACCGGCTGAATTTGCTCGTCGGGTTTCTTAACGGGAGTCGCCTCGTTTTCGAATCTATCGACCACTTGAACCGGAGCAGTTTCTGGATTTACCTGAACGGGAGACGGATCAGCAGGAGGAATCGGTTCGGGAATTCGCTCTTTGACGTCAATAGAAACTTCCGGCGGTTGCCCGGCTTTCGTATTACCATCGTTATTGCATTTAAGAGGCGTTTGTATGACTGTATCCTGATTGGTTTTTGGCGCTTCCTCGTCCAAACATTGGATGACCGTAGGTGGGGCCGGAACGATGATGTTAGTCTTCAGGGACTCCTCGAATTTCTCCAATTCCATATCGGTGGATTTCCGTCCGGATTCGTTCGCCTCCAACGAATCCTCCTTCGAGCACTCCAGCACCTTCTCCTTACCGTCATCGTCGATTCGAGCAATTTGAGCGATTCCAGTTGGCTCAAACACGTCCCGGCGCGATATTGTTTTGATCTTTTGCCCGTCGATCTCCAACTCCGACTCCGATGTGGTGGCGTAGGACGGCGAATGCGCGAACTTGTCGCCTTTCTCGTCCTTCTTATCCTTCGCCGGCGGCGTCGCCTTCGAGTATTTGAATTTGCCGGCCGGCGAGACGTCCTTCGGCACGGGCAACTCGTCGTTCTCCATCTCGTCGTCGGCCTCGGCGCTCGAATCCTCCTCGGTGGATATCCTCGAGGCGCGCTTCGCCTTCTCCTCCTTCCTGGCTTTGGACTTCTCCTTGTCGGGCGTCGTCGCGACGGCGACCGGCGCCTCGGGGCCCGCCTCCTCGTCGGATTTCTCCGACGACGGCGACTCGCTTTCGCTGTCTTTGCGCGAGTTCTTCTTGATCAATTCGGGTAGGGTGATTTGCTTGGCGGCGGCGGATTTGCCGCGCGCCTTGCCTTTCGTCCAGCCGCGCTTCTTCTTGTTCTTCTTCGGTTTGTTTGGTAGATTCGCGTCTTCGGCCGGTTTCGATTCGTCCGGTTGCTTTGCGAGTTCTTCGATCGCCGGAGGTTCGTCTTCGGTGGCCGTGGTGGTAGTGGTGGTGGCCTCTTGCTGTTTGGCTTTGTTGTTTTCCTTTTCTTTGAGTTCCAGTTGTTTTTTGACGCGCCTCTGCGACCATCGTTCGCCCAAAACTCGCTCTTTGTTGACGGGAGTTTTCTGTTTCGAGGAGTCTTCACCGGTTGATTTGGCGGTTATTCTGTTGCTGCCTCGTACTGATGATTTGGGCGTTTTGGAGGTTTCCTCTATTAGGTCCGTTTTGGGTTTCTTTTTCGGAATGGATTTTTCCGATGCCACCTTTCTCTTGTTGTTGGGAGTTTCGGTGGGTTTCGGTTTGGCTTCGAACGTGGTCTCGTTGAATTTGCTCGGTCTGGTTCGCTTTCTACCCGACGAGGTTATTTCGATTTCCACGTTGTTCACTTCGACGGACGTATTGGACGGCAATTTGGTCTTCTGCGATCTGGGCGGCGTGGTGGAGATCTTCCGTTTTTTGCCGCGCTTCATCTTCACGCCGGCGGGCGTTTCGATGATGATTTTCTCGGGCATCGGTACGATGATGTTGGCCGTTTCCTTCGGCGTGCCGTCCTCGTCGGATTTCTGTTCGGCCGATTGCGAAGCCGTTTGGGTGACGAGCGGCGTCCAACGCAAGCACTCGTAATCGATCGGTATGCGATTCTTCGATTTCTTCACTTTCGCCATGTGCTCGTCGACTTTTCTCCAATCGACCGATATCACCGGTTTGGCGCCGTCGTCGGTCGATACCAGTTTCACGAAACCCAGTAGCTCCAAGGCCAAGGAAACGTCCTGACAGTACATGCCGGTGTCTTTGCTGATGTCGGTGAGTTTCAATTTATCGAAGCGATGCGAGTAGAGGTACTCCAACACCACCGATTTCCAATAGGCGTAGTACGATACTCTGCCGAGGTCGGAGAGCGGCTTCTCCGGCGTGCCCGGTTGGCCTTCTTCTTTCGACAGCAAAAAACCTGGAAAAATTAAACTCGATATAAGAGCAATCCGAGCGAGATTTAACTTTCGACTTACTGAAATCGATCAAAAACCTGCCGAAACCTTGTCGCTGATACTGCGGCATCGTCATGATACAAGACACGTTATATTTCTGCACGCAGTGTTTCTCTTTGGAAAAATACCCCACCAAATGGCAACCTTTCTTATCGTTCTTGGTCAGCACGTAGAACAAAAACGGCTCAACGTCGTAGTACAAAGTCTTATGATCCAAAAACAACTTCGCCAACAAACACAAATTCTGACAGTAAATCTTATTCACGTTACCGTCCACTTCAAACACCGATATATCCTCGCACCGGTAGATCTCGGTGGCGGGCGGATGCCGCCACGTGCACTTATCTTGATGCCGTTCCAGCACGGCCTTGCTCTTGGTGTACTTCAGGCAGAACTCGCAGAGGAACAGCTTCGGCAGGCGCGCGTACTCCTGCGGAAACGGGCTCGAATACCACGTTTGTATCTCGTATTTGCCGAACTCGATGGCCGACGGACAGCGCGGCTCCGCCCCCGACGACGGCGGCGCCGGCGTCGACGACGCCTCGCGGTGCTGGGCGGCGGCCAAAGGCAGCAGGGCGGCCGTCGAGGCGGCCGCTTTTTCTCTCGTGTCTCTGAACAGCTCGACGTCCTTCTGGGTCACGCCGGGCGCCAAGTGGATGTTCTTAATGTCGACTGTAAAACGAGTTGTAATAAGATTAAGGAGATTAATTGTGTGTGTGTGTTTTTTTAAGGCTTACTTATAGGAGGATTGCTTTGGTAGGGCATCAACGCTGGCGAGTTGATCGACGAGGTGTTGTTGTGTTTCCGTTTGACGCTCTTCGATTCCCCTTCGGTTTTCATCGGAGTGGAATTGACGATGTCCGATTGATCTTCGGATTTGATCAATTTCCTCTTCTCGTGCTGCTTGGAATTGACGGCGGTTTTCACCAGATTCGAAGGGGTCATCGACGTTGGACTTTCCACTTTCAAAGGCGATTGTTGTGGCTGTGGTGGAGCTACTGGTGCTTTAGGAGACGGTACTTGTACTTGTGCTTGTACTTGCACCGGTGACGGCGCTCGATCGTTCGCCGGTTCAACATCCTTGGATCTTTCGAGCGAATCGGCGCTTTGATTATCGTCCTCCCTGTCCTTCAGCCTCCTCCTGTTGGGGTTGTAATTGGGCGTCGATCGGCTAGCTCGGCTCTCCGACGGGGCGGCGAATAAATGAGACAAACCGTCGAAGAGGCCCTTCAATTGACCGAAACCGGGCGCTTTCAGCGACTTATCCGACACGGAGGAGTCTTCGCTTTTGGCCGGCGAGGCGACGTTCTCGTTCAAAAATCCCTCCTCCTTCAGCACGGTTATGAAGAGATTCTCGCCGGTTTTGGTCGGTTGTTCGGAGGTCTTCGAGGCGTCTTTGTGTTTCGCTCCGGAAGCCGCCGCCGCCGCGAAACCCCACGGTTTGTCCTCGTCGGACGTTATGCCGCCGAAGGTGGTCGTTTTCTCCGGCTTGGAATCGAACGCGGCAGGTATTTTGGCGTTCCTCAAATTCGCCTTCGCGTCGGATTTGTCCGCCGACGAATCGGTATCGGAGCCCGAACACGACGACGACGAATCCGACGACGAATTGTCGTCGCTGTCGTCGTCGCTCGATTCCTCCGATTCCACTTTCTTGGCGGGTTTTTTGGTTTTTTCGATATCGTTCGCTTTGGCGTTCCGCTTGTTCTTCGCTTCCGCTTTGTCGGTTTTATCGCATTTCTCCGCCTTGGCGTTTTTACCGCGCGTATTCTTCTTCTCCGGATTGAAGGCCGAGCTGCGGAAGAATTTCTGCTTCTCCTTCGACATCTTATCGCCGGTATCGTCCGATTCCTGCGACTCGGGCTCCTCTTTGATCTTCTTCGACGTCGCGTCAGCGTCGCTTTTGTCGCTCTCGTCGATCGGAGGCACTCGACTCTTCCTATTCGATGTTTTGTTATTCACCGATTGATTAGCCTGCGGCGCATCCTTCGATCTACTAACAAAAAAAATGTATTGATTACTGGCCTTTTACACTATTCGATTACAGTTATTTAACATGTACTTACTTTAGATTTTTCTCTTTGATTTTCTCGCGAACTTTGTCGATTTTCTTTCGAACGCCCGCCCCCGGCTTGTTCATCTTCTTGGCGACGTTGTCGTGATGGCCGAGACAATGTTTGCACCGCCACGGGCACTTCGGTTTCTTCTCGGCCGGCGGGTCCAAGCAGCCCATGTGGTACTTCCTTTCGCAGCTGCAGCAACACAACAGGCACATCGAAATACCTATGTTACCTACAAAACATCGATTTCGTTAGATTAGATCACGCTCGTATATTTCTAAGGACTGGAAACTGCCTATGATTTCGCATTAGAGATTGTGTCCCGTTGTTTGAGGACTTTTTGAGCTTCACTTTTGCGCCGCACCGTGGCGAACGATCGGAGGATCAACTTATCTCGGCCAATCAGCGTCGCGATACGTATAAATCGCGGTTGTTGTGAAACGACAGTTCGAGCTGTCAAAACTTCAAAAATTATTATTTGACATTTCGATGAGAAAATGGAGAAATACATTAACCGAAGATACGCGAGGCATGTTGTTAACAACGAAATCATCGCTGATTTAGGTATATTTTTATATTTTCTATCTATTTTTAGTTTGAAAAAAACCTTTAGGGACTTACCGCATCCGTCGCAGGTTTTGCAATCCTCGCAAAACCATTTGCCACCTTTCAACAGCAAAGCGATCAGTTCGGGTTCGTTCGATGTGCATGAAAGGTGTACCATCGAACCGCACTCGGAGCAGGCGCTCAATTTCTCAAACGCTCCCTTGCGATTTTTCGCCTCCGTTCCCAGGCATTCGGAGCATATCGGCAAAGGCATGGGAGCCTGTAAACATCCAGAAAGTTTCTTTAATGTCCATTCATTTTGGAGCGCTTTTGTGTTTTGAATTGTTTATAGAGCAAGTGTGTAGAAAAAGAAGTTACCTTAGGTGGTGAGGGTTCCTCCTGAGGTACGGAGGACTTCCTGGTGCCGTCGTGTTTCCTCTTGACGCCGACATTCTGATAATTGTAATTGTATTTGTAGTTTTTACCCTGTTCGATGATGATGTTTTTGGCCAATGCCCGTTGCACGGCCGCCTGTATGGCCGTTTTCAAATCGTGCTCGGCCTTCTCCTCGACCGAATGCGACTTCCTGATGTGCCGTTCGATCGACTTGGCCGACGAGCCGTCGCGCTCGCCGAGCTCCCGCACCGCCTTCGCCACCGCCTTGGTGATATCGACGCCCTGTTCGATTTTGAGCGAGCGATTCGGCAGATCGCCGGGGTCCTTGTAGGAGCTCTGGCCCTTGTTGAACACCTTGAGCACGGTGCCGGCGCGGACGGCCTGCTCGAGGTGCTCGCCGATCACGTCTTCGTGGTAGTTGTGGTGCTGGCGGATAGCGTGGCAGATTCTCTCGACGCTCGGCCGCTGCTTTTGGGCGCGGATCTTGCGGATCGCCTCCAGGATCCACTCGGACCATACCTGCTGGGAGACCTCGTCCGGTTCGCACATATTTTCGACCGGCTTTCTCGCTGGATTTCTCTCTAGCGCGAATTCGGTGTCCGGCGGGCGGCGATTACGCGCTTGCCAGGTTCGAAACGCATTTTACGTGCACCGTATCGCTCGCGGACGGTCCGCGGCGCTTTCTCGATACTCTTTGATCGCTGCCGGTGGCGATGAAACGCGTTTTAGACGGATTTCTCGGCCGCGAATTGGGAATATTCGGCGTTCGCGTGTCGCTGGTAGGCGAAACGGATTCCGACGGCAGCCATCTTATGTTGGGCGAGCGGACGAGCGAACGATTCGACAATAATATCGCGGTTTCGGCGGCGCAACAAACGATTTTTAACAATCACCGGGATTCGATTAAACGTTTTAATAACGCTACGGAGATTAGAATCGACGGGATGATCGTCGATGGCGCGATTTTAGAACTACTTTTGTTTGATTCGATGACATACAGAATTGACAGATCACTCGTTACTCTTCCGGCGGCAACAACAACTAAGCGACGTTGCCGGTTCTATCGAATTGTTGCCGACTTGTCATATTTTTCGATGTAAACATACGTATGAAACGGCGGTCGTAGCGATCTCTACGGATGAACTGTGGATTGCATCGGCAACACTGGCTTTAGCGTGTAAATATAAAACAAATTACCATTTTTATTTGGACAAAAAGGTTGTTTAGGTTAGTCATTTTTCAACATACGGTCAATTCGCGTTTAATTTGCTTGTTAATGCAAAAGTAGATCAACAATTACGAGCAACTTAATGAAAATGTTTATTATATGTCGAGTAAAAATGGCATTTTTATTTTCTATAGTACACTCGCATTAAGCGCGCGCACTTACAATCTATTCACCTGTTTACGTTTACAAACTGATTATTAATTAATTTAATACCTGTTTGTGATCGCTGACGACACTCAAAGTAATAGTCTTCTTTTTTGATTGTATACGTCAAACAAATCGAGACGCGAGGACAATTTTTAAAATATAAACAAATAAATTAATTTACAAATGATTTTTATGTACATTAAGACGCACTATTCATAAAAAAATAAACAATATCTACAATTTACTTTTGGGATTATTTTCACTAGCCAATCGAAATTCTTTCTCCCAATCACAGATATCCTTTTCGGTTAAATGGTAGCTTTTCCCATGCCTCCCCAGACCAGCGATGAATTTCTTAGCACCTTCTATTATATGAGCAATCGAAACGTTTTTCGAATTAGACCGTTCCTCTTTGATTAAATCGTCGAAAATTTTATTATAAGCCGCGTTGTAGGTCGATCGCCTGTCGATATTCAAGCAATCCTGCGGAAATTTAACCAGCGAAGTTGCCAGATTTATAGCTTGTCCTAACGCTAAACAAACAATTAATAATTTGACATAATTAGTGTGTATTATATGAATTATATCTTACCCGTTCCGCACGCTACAATCCTATTTGCTAAACCCCATTCAAACGCCTCGTTAGCATTCAACGATCTACCAGTCAGAATCATATCTAAAGCCCTAGATAATCCTATCATAGCTTGTAATCTAACAGTGGCTCCATCTGATATTGGTATACCTACAAATGAGGTAATTACAACTTAATCGGCTGTATAAATATTAGCGATTGAAAGTACCAAATCTCCGTTCGTACAATCCCAACACAGCCGTATCCTCCACAACTCTCAAATCGCACAACAAAGCCAATTCTAATCCTCCTGCTACCGCGTAACCATTAATGGCGGCGACCGTTGGTTTTTTTACGTAATTCGGCAAACCCTACGATAAATTAATTAGATACGAACAATATTGGTAATTTAGGATACTCACTAACAGTCCGTTTTGTAACGAATCGTACGAACTAGGATCTCTTTCCAAATCGGCTAGCTCGTTTAAATCGAACCCCGAGCAAAAATTCCCACCTGTACCATGTATAACTGCTGCATATGCATTGTCGTCTCGTTCGAATTCCTCTATGGCTATTTTTAAGGATTTGGCAGTGCGAAAATCGATGCAATTTCGTTTGTCCGGCCTGTTTATTCCTATAGTGGTAACATGGTTGATTTTTTCTGTTATTATCACTACAAAAGAAATTGTTTAGGCGGTAATACACAGCGTATTTTTAATTTACCGTTATTTGTAGTGTGCATCATTCGTACCAGAGATTGTAAAACGCGTAGTTTATTCATATTAAATAATTATACATGCTTATTTATGTATTGAAATAATTGTAAATTCAAATATTGAAATATTCGCAAAGTTTGAGGTTATGACAATTCTTCTTTTTATTGTCATATGTCAATTTGTGCGGTCTTTGATGTAATATAATCGTTGAATGTTCGGATATTTCAAGATATCAGTTAAATGTAAAAAAATGTAAATGAAATGTTTACTCTACTCTATTGTTTATATTAATGTTTTACTGTATTGTTTATTAATAATTTTCAAGCGAACATTGTTAAATTGGTTGCCTACCTACCTGTCGTTTATTGTGCATTGGTTTTTATGTTGGTACACAATATATCAACATATGGGGATTTTTTACATATGCAAATGAAACAATCGCGTTATTCAAATTCAGAATTCAGTAATACGAAAATTAGGAAGCAAAAAAAAGCCACGAAATTCGATTAAATCAATAAATCAAACAGCTTTCTAAACGCGATTTTATTTAACCGTTAAAAAACCAAACAGTCCGTGTGCTAGTCGAGTTTTTCGTTTTATCAGTCCGAGCGCCGGCAGTGCGGGAAGCACTCCCCGCTGAATTCCGATTCTGAAACGGTGTTATTCTGTTCATTTTTTTTTTCAGTATTTCACTATTTTTAGCAGCGCTCGTGCGCTCGTAGTACTCGTTTTATTGTCCGCATACGAATCGGTCCTTCGAGCCGCGCGTTTCCGAACACGCGTCAAAACGATGATCAGTTGACGAAAAGAACGGGACGCGGATTAGTTTAATGCCTCTCGCGTTATCATCGCTATATCGATAGGAGTTCCAGTTTAAGCGTAAACCGAACATGCGTGGGACATATCCGGCGCCTTTGTTGTTCTGGTGTGCGTAAACAAAAGGTTTGTTGTTCGCGTTGATATGGAAGGATCGAATGCGGGGACTCCCCCCGACGGGGGATGGGGCTGGATGGTCGTTTTCGGCGCCTGTTTGATCAATGTAAGTCGAGCTAATTGTGGAATTTCTATAGCAAAAACCTTCGTCTAATTTTAATTATTGTTTTTTTGGCAACACAATGAGTTTATAAATAATGTTGGATAAACACGAGTAAACATGGTAAATTTAGTTAAATTGGATTAATTGAGTCAAAATGTTTGTTTATATGTACTTATAACAGACTATTAATAGTTGTTTACATAAAATGCACCACACCTAACAAACACCCTTTGACTATTTACATTTTAATCTTTCTGTTAGTTATTCGCAACTTATCTGTCACTTGATAATACATCCCTAATTGGGTATTATCGAGTACATTACGATTTCTCACAGAAAAAAAAAATTCGAGTGAGATTCGCGTACATTTCACCCCCACTCACGTTCTATTTACATAATGTGTTGTGACGATTACAAACAGATAATCAAAATTGATAAGTCTTATCCGTTATACAAGAAAAATGATAAAATTAACGTGATTTTAGCGAGTCACCGCTTGCTGAGAGGGATCCTGATCCTGATCTAGTTTAGTGTGTTCGATATAATCGACAAGTATACAGGAAAAAAAATGGGGGAAAATGTGGGAAAAGCCCCAGATGGTGGATGGGGTTGGATGGTTGTTTTCGGTTCTGCTTTAATAAACGTAAGTCTATTTAAAAAAAATCGGTTAAAACGCGAATAAATCTATTTTTAAATTTGTCGCACAAACATGATTTTTAATTTATATTCGTTATCAAACTATAAAATGTTTAAATTCACGTTTTTACTGTGTATAGGAACTATTAAGAGCGTTTGTTTTAACAATTAACAAGGTCAACAAAATAACCAGTACTACATATCAATAATATCATAACGTTTTGTTCCAAAATATTTCGACATTTTTATTTTCTATGACGAAATTTCCAAAAAATTTATCGCCACCAGCCGAGTATACATAATGAATCGTTTCGTTTTTAACTCGCAAACAAACAGATTTTTCTATAAGTAGGTGATCAAGTTAAAAGTCCCAGTGGACTACTGGGCTATTTTAATCCTTCCCCAAAACAAAAGTTCAACGTACTTCGACTAAAACTTTCCATTACTTAACCGATACACTTGCATATGATACATTCAAATGTATATTATACATGGTGTCATTACAATTAATTTTAATTTCAACTAATAACACAACAATATTAACCTCTATTAAACTCTTCTTGCATTGTTTTCAGAATAAAAGTAAACCGTAATTGTCGCAAAATAATTTCCAATCACCCGGTTCAATAAAGTGCACAATTCTTGTTTAATTGTTCTATTGTCAGGCGATGTTTGAATTCGATTAATTTCATTAATCGCGTGGAAAAATACACGTTTTTTTTCTTAATTTATTTGACTTGCGAGAAGCACCTAGATAAATCGATAAAAAAAATCTACTTATCCAATTAGAACAGGGTCAATTGGTCTTTCTAATTAGCAAACAAATCAATTAGACGAATGTCCCAATAATATAACGCAATTTAGACTCCAAATTTGAGCTAAATATCTGCAGGAGCTGCAAGGAATTAACCAGAAACATTTTGTTTATATCAACTTTTAGATGTTTGGGAACACCCTGTATATGTTCTCTCGGAATTTTTCCAACTCGGAAATCACCCAATTTCTCGGAATGCGAATCGAAATGCCGCGCGCGTGCGATTTCGTTTCGTCTCGGAATAATTTTAACAAAACCTACATTTCGACTCGACACTCGATATAGAAAAAAAAGTCGTATATACAGGGCGAGCCGAGTTAGAACGTTCTTCGATAGCTCATTGGGACGCCCTGTATGCAAGGCGGAATCGGATTTACCGCGTTCTATTACGATTAGTTAAAAATATCGCCTATTAATAGATCGATAAAAATCGTATCGATTAATTTATGCATATCTACCGGAGTCTCCGGACTTTGGTCTTTTTGACGGACGTGTCAAGGTGTCCGGTAGACCGGTTTCTTGAACCTTTTATTAGTCCGGCGGATTGGATTGCTTTCTCTAATTTACTGATAATAGTAATTGGTTTGTATATTCGATTTTATACAAAAAAATTGCTTTTGTCCTCTGATGTACCGAATTCGAAATAGCCGCGCTTGTATTAAAATTAACGATCAGGTGTAAAGCTAATGTTCGACACGTGTTACGATTTAAATTACCTGGTTTTAAGCTCGTACAATTAAAATAATAAAAAAAATGATGTGACAATTTATATTTCTACAGCCAACTAGTAGAAAACAAAACGTTGTTTTTTCCTATACTGTATTAAAGAAAAATTACAATTCCATTCGATTGTAAATCCGTATACTGTTTGGTATTTGGCATTTCAATCGGGGTGTTACGTAAAAGGCCTTGCTTATAAATGAATTATGCGAATTGAAAATGTGTAAATTGCAAATCAAAACCTGCACTAAAAGCGGTTTAATTGTGTCTGCTAAACGATTAGATTCGATACGATTTATCAGGTAGAAAAAAAAAACGATAAAGATTATAAAAAAAATCACCAATTTTCTAAACGGATCGCTAAAAATTGTTTAAACGATCGTTAAGTAAATTTGTTATTGCAAAGAATTAAAATGTATTTGCCTATTCGTCAATGTCATTAACACAATATTTGCAGGTGACAGGATAATAAAAAATATTTTTTTTTAAAGATTTTGTTTGATTTTCCTTTCTCGCGACTACCTTAATCCGCGTTTAAAATATTTATTTTACTCATTTGGTAAATTAGCAAACGGATTTTAATTTTTTTTAACAAGGTTATTTAACGACTGAATTATTAATAGCCAGTGTAAAATGATTAATTCGGTGTACAATTAAATTCGTACACTTCAAATATTTTATCTTTGTTCATCTCGTTTCTCAAGTATCAAGCGTCTCGTTCTTCCCTATCTATGATATAATAAATATGATTTAAATATAGTAGGCAATTGCTGTCATTAATATGTCACATTGGATATTTGACGTAAAACGTCAAACTGATGTTTGTTCGAATAAAAATAAAATTTATAACGATTTGAAATGAATCCAGGTGAGAAATTTTCAAAATAATTTAGTAATAGTATAGTACGCTAAGTATGTGTATCTTTATTTAACAAAATCGGTATTGTTCTAAAAAACCAAATCGTTATATTTATCGTTAAACGAGGAAATGAGTACCTACATTATAAAAAGGAGCCTTATCGCGGTGTAACCTATAATATTGTTATTGTTTCAGATATTTCTGTTTGTAAACAAAAATTTACTATTTACGTCATTAGGAATACTTAATTTTTAGGTGATATTTCATAAATTGTTTATTTGCATTAACTCGTATGTCACTTAAATGTCAAATTGTGATCACGAGTAAAAAGTATTTTTATGAAAACCAATTGAATAAAGAAAAAAAAAAAACAAAATAATGGGATTATATCAAAGTCGATTTTTTTATGGAATTTACTAGTGAAAGTATCAACTATCATTCGATCAAACTTTTCTATACATATTTATTTCATCTCAACTCCAATTGAATCGTGATGTGTGTTGCCTATCTTCAGGAGCAAGCAGCAACAATAAATTGCAGCAATTTATTGTTTATTTCATCGAGAGCATAAAGCACTCATACTCATACACACTAAATTTTCTTGCTTTGAAATATTGTTAACATGCTAGTCGCAAAACTAGTCTGTGCAACTGGACACTTTCCCAAAGCCCGTTGCATGCCACAAATCGCCAATTGTCGCCTTTACTTCGTATCTAATAACATGCATTATTGTCGCAGATGGTGAATCAATCCCTCTTCGCCAACTACGGTCTGATATTCGGCGAGTACGTGAACTCCATATCGGATGGCAGCGCCACCGGAGTGACCCTGGTGATGGCCATCAACGTGGTCTCGACGAACGTCGCCGGGCTGATAGTGGGACCGTTGTTGAAAGTTTTGGACATTAGGACGTTCACGTTTTTGGGCATCGGTTGCGTCGGCACCGGCATGATCATATCCAGTTTCGGTACAGCCATATGGCACATCATAATAGGTTATAGTTGTTTCACAGGTACATCGCTCGATTGGTTTTAAACGTTTCTAAATGTCGTTGAGAATGGTGTGTTTTTTGCAGGTTTCGGTCTGGGTTTGCTGGCGTCCGGAACGTTTTTGATCATAAACGATTACTTTACGACGAAGAAAAGTACGGCTGTGGGTATTTCGATGGCCGGTACCGCCGTAGGGCAGATGACCATGCCTATCGTCATCGGATTCTTGTTGAAAAAGTACCAATATTCCGGCACCACTTTCATATTGGGTTTCGTCAGTTTTACCGGTGTTATAGGAGCTATTTTCTTCAAAGTAACTACACCATCGCTAACGTAACGGAGATTCGATTCTATTTTTTGCTTTTAGCCGATTATGTGCTGCAAAAAATTCGCGCCGCAACAGGAATTAGGGGAATCTATTAAACCGCCGAAAGAAGAGAACACGTCCACGCCGAAACTCGAAGCCGAGCAAAAGTTATTAACGCCCGAAGGGAGAGCGAGCGTCAACAGCAGAGCCTCGGGTTCGAGGAAAGTCAGCGTTTCCAAGCAAATCTTGCAAAACCACATCGAATCAAACTACAAGGATTCCGCCATCGAAATGGCGAACAGTAATAAGCACCCCTCTCCCTTTACGCGAATCCTATTTACCGTCGATAACTTCCAGGTCAGTTCCAACTCAAATTCGAAGAGAAAAAACACTCGGTCTTCAAGAAGGTGGCCAAAGCGTTGGGTTTGAACCTGCTCAAAGACCCGGTGTACGTTCACATCGTCGTCGGTCTCGGCTTCGTCTACTTTTCCAACGTCTCCTTCGGCGCCATGTTTCCCATATTCCTGCACGGCGAAGCCGGTTTGCCCATGTTCGAGACCACCACCACCATGACCACCCTTTCATCGGCCGACGTGCTGGGACGCGTCACCGCCTCCGAATTGTTCAGACGCCTGAATTTCGGCAACAGGACCACCTTCATGATCGGCGCTACCTTGCTGGCCTTCACCAGATCAGGTAATCGGACACCATCCATTGCTCCGCTTTACTCCACTTTGTTCTGCTTTGCTCTGCTTTGCTCTGCTTTACTGTGACTTACTCTGCTTTGTTCTGCTTTGTTCTGCTTTGCTCTGCTTTGCAAGAATTCTCTAACATTAACTACCTTTTACAGTGGAGATGTTGATGCCGAGTTACCTCTATCTGGCCGTCGTGGGTTTCATCGTGGGTTACTTCAGAGCTATAGCTATGATAAACCAGAATTTGGTGATATCCGAATACATTTCGAAGGATCAACTACCGTCAGCTGTGGGTCTTAATATGGTGATGAAAGCTTTAATCACGCTAATTATAGGACAACCGTTAGGTAACACTACTATCTTTCCTGTGAAATTATGGTTTATTAACGTTTTTTGTTGGGTGCAGGTTACATGAAGGATATGTGGAGTTATAGAGTTTGTATACACTCTCTCAACTTGCTCACTTTGCTCGTGATAGTGTCTTGGTCCGTTGAAATAATCATTAGGAAAAGGAGAACCTCGAGGAAGGCCGAAGAAGCTCAAGATGTTATATAAAAATATGTCGGTGCGTTGTGAAACTATTTGATACAACTAACGACTATGAAGGACGAGTAACGGATGGGTTTTCCACGCTAAAAATAGGTCTATAAGTGTATAAAAATATTAGTGGTTAAGTGAGGAAAATGTCGATAAACGACAATTATTATTATGCAGGACTTTTTACAGTAATACTCAATAAACGAAATGATAATAAGTATTTTATTGACCTACCATAAGTGACCCTGAATGAATAAATACTTTACGGAACGCGTAAGATTCGTATCACAATAAAAACCGAACATTTCCAATGCGTTTGTGTAAGGTGAAGGTCTCGACTCAAAATCGGTAAGCTTATTGTGTTATTTTTAAACAAACAGTGTAGATAATGTACGTAAACAAGACTAATTTCCTTCCGCGCGTTAATAGCAACATAGATAAATACTTGAACAAAAAATACTGTAAGTTATCGTAGGTAGGTAATTACTGAAATGTAGTTTAAGTATACTTAAATAATCCTCGCCTTTAAGGCGCGGGGACAAGTATCAAGTAGACTAAGGCAAGTTACTTAATCAAGTAACTAAAATTTAGTTACTTGTATGATGTGGACAACTTGATTTAGTAGCTTATTAAATTAGGTACTGTTGTATTTGTTTTGAATGTTTATACCGTGTTTGTATAGCGCTATTTGTTTAATAAAACTGTAAAGTAAGTTTTGTGACAGCTGAAATCCTCTGTAACCACTCTTGACAATCTGACAGGTGTCAATCTACTTCCATAGAACATTATTTAGTTGAATACTACAGGTACTTGCACAAGTAACTAAAACTTATACAGTTACTTGATTTAGTAACTCGATCCCGTCATGTCAAATAAATGACTATAATCGCAAATCGCAATCGCAGAGAGAAACATCATGGAGAGCATCCACACGACGGGCATCGCCGAAATCCACGACGTGCCGATGTCGGTGATAATCAGGCCGCTGCCGCCGGTGCTCGACGAGAGCAAAGTCAATTCGCTGATGATAACGCTGTCGGATCCGAAGACCAAAGACGACGTGCCGCCCGTCGACGTGCTGTGGATAACCGGCAGCGAGGGCGGCAATTACTATTACAGCTTCGGCGGTTGCCACCGGTTCGCCGCCCACCGGAGGCTCGGCTGCGCCACCATTCGGGCCAAGATCTTCGAGTCCAACGTGGAGGATTTGAGGGTTTACCTGGGAGCTAGTACTCCGGATTTGAAATGAAACAAACAGACAAATGTGGCTAATAAATTCGTTGCTGTTAGAAACGTGCATAGACGAAATAAAACATCTTTCTTTCTCTACGGTCCTGTGCTTTAAACAGTCTCTTTTATTTTGTCTATGGAGAAAACCGTAGCGATTATTAGCTTCCTAATAAATTCCTAATATATTCCTAATCCTATAATAGTTAATGAATCTTCTGTGGTTCTGTGTTCCTAATAAATTAGTGGACGGATGACGCCACCGATCATAGATCAACTTGATAAATGTATAGATGCGTTAAGGTGCGGCTCAACCAACATAATATTTAGCAATCATTTCTAAAGAAGTATAAAAAAAGAAGAATTTGACATTTGTGACAGTAAATTCCCAGTCGGTTTACAGAAAACTGTATATTTATGAATTTGACATTTGTGATAGCATCAAGAACATCAAACCTGTGAAAATGTCACGATAAAACGCGAATTTAAAATTTCGTATTAGGAGAGCAGAATGTGTGAAGAGGTTTACTCCTGATACTTATTACTCGCGCCTTACTAATACAATAGATAGGCAACCATTAAAACGAATTTTGGTAATTCTGGTTGCCTAACTATTGTATTAGGAACGCGCGAGTAATAAGTATCAGGAGTAAACCTCTTCACACATTCTGCTCTCCTAATACGAAATTTCAAATTGGCGATTTATCGTGAGATTTTCATACGTTTGACACAAACTACTTGAACTTCTTATATTTGTTTCTCATATATCGTTATGCTTTTAATGGCTTCCGATTTTTACAAATTAAGTTAAAAATGTTTTGCATTTTTTTATAAAGTATAACTCGGGGTATGCTAGAAAAGGAGCGAGGATTGTACGAGGATAGGTTTAGAAGTTGGCGTTAGGGCGCAATAATAGAACATTCGAGAATTCTTTATATTTGTATTTACAAATTATCATTATTGTATAGTATTATAAACAATTCTGTCATTATTGTTAACATTTGGTATAGTAAATAATTTAGATACAAACTCTTTTACAAATCTTTCTTTCTCTATGTTGTTTTTCTTCAATTTTGAGACCTCGGCTACTATATGGCTATTCGGTCTTTTGGACGTTATTGTTATCAACATTTAGCTATAGAGCTGCGAGCATAGAGAAAGAAAATAGCATCAGAGACAAAATAAAAGAGTATAAATATTAATTTTAAACGATTAGGACTAATTAAAACCCCATATTCTCATCTTTGGTGTACAAAAAAAAAAATTAAATCCAATTAAAATCTACTGGCGATTCCACCGCCTCTGCTATCCGAATGCGAACTCAACTCATCCCTAAATTTCTCCACTATGTTGCTGCTCTCGTACGGCTCGCGCACCGCGTACAATTCGAAACCGATTTTCTCGAAATCCTTCAGCATTTCACCGCCGAAAACCGGCGAATGCGCGCCTAAAACACTCAATTAAGCCAATCACAAAACTCTCTAATGAATCCTCACCTTCGAAACCGATCTTCCCGGCGCCATCGACGCGATACCTGGGCGCTTCTAACGCATCCCTGCCGTTTATATTACCGATTAATAATGCCGTTAGAATTCGCAGGGCCGTGGATAAATTATTAGCGCCGAAGACGAATCTTCTACCGCACACGTATCGCTTATCTGTTATCAAAAGTGGCGTTCTCGTGCAAGTCGTGAGTTTATTTTTCACGTCTTCGAAGTATCCTAACGATGTCTTTTCTCCGGTTCCGAAGAATTGGTACAAACCCCTAAAAAAAAGGCACATCCAGGTGAGTAATGTGTGTTGTCTACACGTAGGAACTTATTGGCCTTTTACTCGTGTAGAAACACAGCTACTCATCTAAATTATAATAACAATTGGACTTACGTGACTAAAGAAACGTAAACGTCATCTGTATCCATTACGGCTACGTTAGAAATGGTACCTTCGTGATAGGTACCATTTTCGTGGAAACTTTCCACTAATCTCGCTGTTTTAGAGATGAAATCGAAACTATTTACGTCTCGTTCGGTGTAATTGGTTTTTCCGATTTCCCGCAAAGCTTCTTCGATGAAAACGTCTTCGTGCGGAGCGAAAACGTTGTATCTAGCAAATTCTATTTTTCTCACGACGCTCGTAGTTAGGGACGTTTCGTTAATTTTCTCCAGATACGAGTACAATTCTGAAAATAGAGCGAATTTTACTCCATTTAAAAATTAAGAGGAGCATTTTGAGAGGCCTGACTTACACCCAAAAAAGTTAAAAAATTCAAATCGCTCCTCCTAGTTTTTAAATAGAGTATAAACAAATTCTTATTTGCTCTTTAGAACGTTTATAATTATTTCTAAAATCAGGTACCTGATTCGGTCGTATTGGCGATATCTTCGAGAGTGTAAGTTAAATTTTCTTGTTTGAAAATATGCCCGGGCTCCAATCGCCCGAACAAGTCCTCCAATTTCGATTCGGATATGGCTTGCGTCAACATTTTCGAGGCCACCGCGCCTTTCCTACAATACAAACAAGTAACCGAATACCACGCACGATAGAGACCTCTTTCTCTCTCTTACCTAGCCAAAACGACGGAAGGATAAACGAGCTCGCTCCACGGCAACCTCCCGAACCGTTTGTGCGCATGCGCCAAACCCATCACGAGGCTCGGCAAGTCGCTCGAATTGACGGTTCTATGACTGAAATCAATCACGACGGGCCGGGTTCTGCTTTTGTGATCGTATATCAACATTTTCCCTTCGCTACAACAAACTTTGTACATCCTTATTGGCGGCAAAACGGTCTATCTTACGCGTCCAATCCGGTGACGTGCGGCGTCGCGACGCACAGGCAAATCGACGTCGCGATGGCGGCGTCGACGGCGCCGCCTCCTTTCTTCAGCACGTGCGTTCCGATCGTCGAGCACTCCAAGTCGTCGGAGGCCACGCTACCGTGCGGAACCACCTACGATGAATTCGAAAATAAACAAAATTGTGTATATGGCCTCTTTCGCTGAGGTTATTCGGCTGTTCATTACCTGGTAATCGCCGTAGTAGATTTGTACGAATAGCGCCAATGTTATGATGAGCGTTAGGGTTCCGAAGGCGCCGCTTATGTATTTCGAGCCGCCCGAGTGGTCTTCCGAGTAACCGGGGCAATGGTGCCATTTTCGCGAGGATTTGCCCCGTTTCAACGGTATATCCTCCCTGGATGCTCCTACAAAAATAATCTCGAATTAGCGTTAGATTAATGAAGATTTATATGCGAACTGTTTAAAGTCCTCCAGAAACGTTAAGAACTATCTAGAACCATTTAAAATGCTCCAGAATAAATAGAAACTATTATGAGCGCTGTAGAAGCATTTAGAAGGCTTCAGAATCACATTGAACTGTCTAAAACAATCTAGAACGTCCCAGCATCATTTAGAACTGTCTCGAACTAATGACTTCGAACCCGACGATTTTTCATCTTACCCTTGCAGTAGATTTTAGACATTATATGAGCGATTCCGAAAGTATTTTATTTGTAGCAATAAAAAAAAGCAAACTAACCGACTGACTCAGCCATTTATGCGCGCCCCGTGAATTTCTCTTCGACCGGTACACGTACAGTTCTCATTTATTCTCTAGCTAATAGCTAACACCTACCTCTACCTTTCTTCGAACTCGACTGAAGCGCGACGAAAGACGAAGAGAAAAGAGAAGCCTGCGCAGTATAACATAACTGTAAATTTCAATGACTCAAGCGGATCCTATAAATTATAAATTCCTTCAGACTCCAGTGGCGTAACAACGGGTAAATAAACGATCAAAATATCAAACGTTTCCAACGACGAAAACACCAATTTTATTTCTTTACAAAAAAAAAATACAATTAACATACTAAACGACTACAAAACTAAAACTCGTTAATAAACCTAATTAATGTACAAAATTAACTGGACTATTAGAAATACAGTCTAGCGTCTATCATACGTCCGTCGATTCGGGCCTTATCTAAATTCTTTATGGCCCTTTCGGCCTGCCAATCCGAACCGTAGGTGACTAAAACGCTCCCGTGGGCCTTCTCTTCGAATCCCTGTATATCACCGAACTCGGAAAATTTCTCGTTCAACAGCTTATAACTCGCCGTTGGAGGTAACTACAACAAATCAACTATAAATTATACGAAATGGCCCCTATTCAGCGTCCTAAAACACGGCTTATGTGGCCTCCTTCTCTTCGGTTATACATTAACAGTAGATTAATATTGCGCAGCCCTACGTGGCCTCTTTCTATTCGTTAATACGACTTAGCATACGGTAGATTAAACAGTTTACTTACGTTCGAAACGATTATCTTTTTGGAGAAACTCTTTCCTCCGGTGTTATCGGATCGGTTGAACGTTGAACCGTTGGGAGCCATGTAGTTACCGGTCGTGTAACTGTTCGAGTTCATCCCGCCCGAGCTCGAATAATTCCTGTTTACCAAGCCGCTCGTGTACGAATTCTGCGACATGCCCTGATTCTGCATATTTCCGTAAGAATTATCACCTAAAACATTAAAAAAAATAACAATAAGTCACCATACAGGGTGTTCCAAATACGCTAATATTTTAGGGGGTGATTCCCGGACCTATTTTACACTTGACTTTTGAATCGCTCACACTTTGACATTTCGGTCGCTCACCCGAGTTCCTGTTGTAGTTGCCCAAATTGACCGAGCCCGAATTCTGCGACAATTGCTGGGCCAGCTGTTGCGTCGCGGCGGCGGCGGCGTTTTGCGCCTGAAGCGGATTCTGGACGAGCGACGAGAGATCGGCGGCGCCCAAGCCGTTGCCCAACAGGGTGCCGGCCAGGCCGGAGAAATTCGACGATTGCAACACCTGGCTGTTGAGATTCGCCAAACTGTTGACGTTCGATAATCCTGAAAAAAAAAATATATAATTAATTAATTAATTGAGTAGTTTGATTAAGTCTAGATAGTCCTAATTCATTTCGAAGCGATCTAAATCATTCTAAACAATTCTGATTCATCCCGAGGGTAGTTCTAAACCGTTCTAAATAATTCTGGGCAATTCTGATTCATTATAAGGCAATCTGAACGATTCTGGATAGTTCTAAACCATTCCGGGCACTTGTAAATCATTCTAGAGAGTTCTAAACGATTCTCGACAATACCGATTCAATCCTCAAGCGATCTGAATAATTCTAGTTAATTCGAATTCATTCAGAAGCGTTCAAAATCACTCCGGGTAATTCTAAATCATTCTAAACGGTCCTCGACAATTCTGATTCATCGCGAGGCAATCTGAACGATTCCGGATAGTTTCAAATCATTCTAAATCATTCTAAACGATTCTCGACCATTCCGATTCAATCCTCAATCAATCCGAATAAACCCTCACAGTTCTCTACAAATTCCACTTCGTCCCGAAGCAATCTAATCTAAACGTTTCCCGATAGTTGTCTCACTCTAACCACCGTCATTTAAACAATCTCTCTCCATCCAACCCACGCAATCCACACACCAATCCACACGTTACCGTACCTGACAAAGCCCCGGCCAATTGCAACGACCCGTTGGGCACGGCGCCCAATATACCCGTCCCGGCGCCTCCCGCGCCGCCCCCGCCGCCCATCAGGTTATTCCCCAACGACGGTAGATTGTAGGCGACGTTGCGCAGAGGCTCGCCGTTCGGCCCCAAGCCCATGCCGATCGATCGCAGCCCGTCGGGCAGCTTGATGGCGTCGTTGGCGCGGTCCATGCGCACCGCCAACGGTCGCTCGTTCAACACCTGGCCCTGCAGCATCGATATCGATTGGACCGCCTCCACCGGGTGATCGTATTCGATCACGGCGAAGCCGCGAATTTTCCCGTCCTTGTCCAAGGGGAGATCGACGTTGACGACGCGCCCGGCCAGCCGGAACACCTCTTTCAGCTTCTTCTCGTCGATGTTGTAGTCCAACTGGAATATCGATTAGGGGAATTTATTAGTGGCTGCTGTACGGTTGTTTCTGTACGAATTCGAGGAGGTTATATTGCGGTGGAGAATTTTTGCGACGATAGCGCTAGTGTAAGATGAGCCGTTTTTGTTTAAAAAGTTGTTCTTAACTTCTTGGTTATTGAATATTGCATTCGAGTTACTTACTGAAATGAACCGATTCAAATGAGCTGCTACAACCGAACCGATTGAGAAATCTCTCTAATTTTTTCGCATGTTAATTAAGAACAGTGTTACCTACAGTACAGAAACTTCAGATAGTTAAAAGTATTAAAGTCAAGTGTAATTTAAAACAGAATTTCCGGGTACGCAACAATGCAATATTGCAACAATTTATTGCTGCAATACATTGCACCGTGCGAAATCGCTCCAACTTAATTAAGCTAATCAAAAGCGTCAATAATGTATTTATTTAAATGTATTACCTGGCCCCTTTGTACGAATATTTAAGCAGATAATTCCCTGATTCGTAAACGAAAGAATATTACAAAAAAAAAGAAACAATTTGTAGGATACATAAATCCCAAAAAAAAGACACTACATTCATAAGAGCGGTTCAAATAAATCCAAATACATCTATTTTCTAACGAAAAACGGTATTTATAATACTCCAAAAGAGATTAAAAAAAACAACATCGGAAGGAAACGGAATCGATACAAACTATACAATTAAAATATCAAAAAAACACCCTAAACGTATTTAAGAGAAAAAAAAGAAATAAAATAAAAAGGAAATACTTACATTGGCCACAAACACTTTATTGTTAAGCGGCGGATCGATTTTCAAAGACTCGAGGAACTGCGGGCTCAAGCCGTACGTGTTGCCCCATTTCGAGTCGTCATTTCTAAGAGACAAACTACTACCCAAATCGCCCCGATGATGATCATCTCTAAACCTATCGCCGCCGCCGCCGCCGTCGCGGTGCCTGCGACCGCCGCCTCCGCCTCCGCCGCCGCCTCCCAATACCGAACCGAATTTGTCGCGTACGACGCCAGCGTCGTCTTTCACGACCAGCTTGCGACCTTTCACTTCGTACCGTTGCATCACCTTTAGCGCAGAAAATTCAATCAACAAATTATACAAAATGGATTTCGTCCGAAACGGAAGATGCTATACAAGTTGTTTCCTCTTGCCTGATTCCAGTTACCAATCCCGGTACGTTACCTCCCAAACTACGAGCCCCAGTTCTAATCTTTTTTTCGGACTTTTCTAATCGCAACGAATAGGGTAGATTGGGATTTCGAGAGGTAACGTACACTTCGATGGGACGGAAGGAATAATTCACAAAAATTAAAAAAATAATAATAAACAATAACCTCGAGACATTTCCTAACGGCTTCGGGATCCGAAAATTCGACAATGCCGCTACCTTTCATTTTGTCCTTATCGTCAACAAACAGCTCAACGAACGCGACGTCTCCTACTTTATTCCTAAATAAATCTTTGATGTCCTGCCAACGATACTCGTAGGGGATATTCGACACGAACCTAAAGGGGCAGAAAAATACTAATTCGTTTTTTTTTCCATTAAAACATAATACAAACAAACAAACAACATTTGCTATTCGAATCGAATCGTCCACTTCCCTCGTTACTAATCAAAATACTTTATCGAGCCCCATTGTGGCTGTAATACAGCTCAAATCAAGACCACTTATCCAGTTAAAATTAGTCGAATTGCTTGTTCGTAAACAGGAATCGTCTACTTCCCTTATTATCGATCAAAATACTTTATCGAGCCCCATTGTTGCTGTAATACTGCACAAAACAAGACCACTTATCGATAGCTAAAAATTAATCGAACTGCTCGTTGGTAACAGGAATTGTCTACATCCCTCGTTATTGATCAAAATACTTTATCGACCCCAATTATGGCTGTAATACAGCTCAAATCAAGACCACTTATTGATAGCTAAAAATTAATCGAACTGCTCGTTTGTAACAAGAAGTTTCATCAAAAATTCGAAACGAATATAACTTTTTACCACTAAATTCGAGACCACATATCGAGAAACCATTAGCCTTCCTTAATACTCGTAACTCCACAAGTCCAAACAGAATACAAGATCAACAAGGCCCAACCCACGAATAAACAATCCGAGCACCCTTTTACCACTACCACAAGTACGATTTCTCCATTGTTTTTTCCAAAGACAATCCCTTATTTTCTTTCCATTTCTTGCAGTAATTAGGAGCATTTCGGGCCTAATCGGAGCGATTTTCTTACAAGACATTTCAATACGTACACTCTATTTTGCGACGATCTCATGCTGCGGGGCTCCCTGCCGCCTCCTCTGTCGTTGCTGCGGTCCCTGCTGTTCTCCATGCGGCCCCCGCGGTCTCGGCGGGAGCGGTCCCGCTCGCGGCCTCTTCTGTCTTTAGGCGAATCGCTCATTATCTAAAATGTACGGCAGATTTTAACTGAAAGCCAACTGGATATTAGTAATCGTTGTTAAAATAAAATTCTTCGGGTAATTTTTGTTGTAACAATTTATGGTTTGTTGATAACCTAAAAACGTTTTGATGTGAAGTACATGGTTAATCTTACCGACGATTTCTTTTCGCTGGTTGAAAAATGGTGGCGTTTGCGTTAATTTGGTGGTATTTTATAAGATTTCTTTTTGAAATGGAAGCGTTATAAAGAATATTAGAATTGGCGTTGTTTCTCAAAACAAAATGGTAGATTACGGAATTGACAGGTGACGTGAATGACAGATTGGATGTCTTTTTCTTTGAACAAAAGCAGCCAACATGTTAGGTAGGCTTTATGCAACCAACATTACAGGTGAAAAGGATAATAATTATCGAGCAATTAAAATATTACTGCGATTTCGAAATTAGTGGCACGTATTATAGAAAAAAAAAATATATTTACGGGCAACAAAGTTATTCCAAAATTCTAACGGTTCGATAGTTTTTATTCGAATTTTATAGTTTTCAATACTTTTTTATTATCTTAGAACATTTTAATAATATTTTTTATTACAATACGCCGTTTCTTGTATTATACAGATTGATTCATTTTAGTTTTGCAACATACAAGTCGTATAGGCTATGGTGCGATAAAGACAACTTCCATAATTAAAGAAAAAAGAAAGAGTGATATTGTGTCATTGCAACTTGTCACTATGACAAGTGTCATTTTAGTAATCTTTCTTTGTTGAACTCATAGAAATGGCCGTATTGCAAACTGAAATGGACCAAGGTGTATATCAAATAAATATCGAAGGGGAGTAGGAGGTTTCCTTTAAAGGACACGCGAGTCCTGGTCGAGTAGGCGTCGATTTCTATGACGTCATTTCTTCACACACACGCACAAACTTGTTTAATAATGTTCAATAACGGCCGGGACTATCTCACCTATACTTAACCTAATTGAGCCTTCAATTACGGTGCCATCGTAAATCAATTAATAACGAATTATAGCTGGAATTTCAGGTGGTTTTTATCAATGACCGAATTCGGATCGATCGAAAGAAAAAAAAAACAAATAAATAAAGCGAAAAATGAATTTATTTATTTATTTATTTGGGACCTTTCGCTGGTTTTATACCGAGCGTTACGTCGACATTGACCTATAACCATATAAGTCGTTGAATTTCAAAGCGAGGATTTCTCTTAAGTCATCGGTGTCTGGGTTTTCTTATAAGTCGACCCCGTTCTGATTACATACAGATAAAAATGCCTATCTGTTCGATTTTTAAGCTAAATTTTCATCTATATATCTTCGTATGTATAGTACGTAATAGATTTATCTAGCTGTGACGTCACGATATCAGTTGTTTGAATATATTATACACATAAGTGCAAATTTTGCACTAATGCAAACAGCAGAACAAATTTTGCTCTTATCCGTATTTTAATTTGTTTATAGGTACATCCTTTATCACCAGACAATTCCAAATGATTCTCGACAATTCTGATTCGTCCTGATGCAATCTAAATGGTTCTGTAGAGTTCTAATTCGTTCAGAGTAAATCATTCTAAACGGTTCCGGACAATTCTGGCTTATTCCGAGGCAATCTGAATGATTCTGGGTAGTTCTAAGCCATTCCAGACACTTTTGTAAATCTCATCAGTGCTTTTTTGCTCAAAAATTAGCATATTTCTAAATTACGAGAATGTTAAAAATGTTTTTTGCGCCACCCTGTATACATGCGCCATTCATAAATTAATCGAGCAAAGTTTAAAAAGTAGGAGAGAGAAAAATTAGAGGGAAAAAAAATTGTCCCATTCCCAATGTCTGCCCGGTTTGTAGTGGGTGTCCGGTCACTTTCGTGGGATTGACATTATAGCGTAGAGAGAGTGGTACCCGCACCCACCTGTTTCGGTACCATCGCGTTTTTCGGTAAGCGCTCGCACTTGGTTCTTCTCAATTCTCAGTCGAACGTCAGCTTTGATATCAGCCGGTGCATTAAATGGTACTTCTTCTAACAGTATCCGATCAGTTAGTACTTTAGTACTGTACCCGATTCGAAGAGTTTGGTTCGCGAATTTCGCGGACGTTCGTGGGATTTCGTTTGAGTACTTTTTGTATGTTTGCTGGTTCTCGGTGGTTCCCGTGGGTGAGTTGATTTTTTTTATGTGATGATTTGTAGGGGATTTTGATTTTTTTTTATTGTTGTTATTGAAGATTTTTGGTTTCGTTTTTAGTTTAATTTGTACTTACTTTTGATTTTTTCATGCATTTTAAAGCAGTTTTTTTAGTAATTTTTGGTAGTTTTTTTTTTCGATAGTTTTTAATTAAAATTTTTAAAATTTTCTTTGGCTATTCGTGACATTTTTAGATTTATAATTTAAGTTTAAGAAAATTTATTATATATGATTGTGGAAATTTTTGAGTACCAGCACCTACATTTTTTCTAATTCTTTATTTAATAGCTATTTTTACTGAAATTTTACAACTATTTATAGAGAGATTTAAAAATTCCATTGACCATATTGCAAACTGAAATGAACCAAAGTGTACTTATCATTATACAGATTGCTCCATTTTTCATTGCAACATACGCCATGGGTGCAACAAAGACAACTTCAATTAGACACTTATAAAGGAAAAAGAAAGAGTGACATTATGTCATTGCAACATTTTTTATCTGACAACTGTTATTTTAATAATCTTTCTTTGTTCAACTCATAGAAATGCCCATGTTGCAATCGCGAATGAAGCACGGTGTATACTCTTCTCAAACTAACCAAATAACACAATAGTAATAGACTTATACGACGTGACTGTTTGCCTAATCGATACAAGACTACGTACAAAATGTCATCCACTAACCAACGTCAAAATGGCGAGAAACCCGACGAAAAAAGCTCGCAAAAAACCCCGTTTTACTCTAATTAAACCCAAACCGAAGCCCATTTACCAAGCGCAGCTGACTAGATATCCGATAACCCCTTTCGAAACCTTCAAATACGACTTCATCGACTACCAGCAGCTGGAAAACTACCTAAAATGCATGGAAACGAAGTTTCCAGCCGCGCTAAAGCTGCACGTATTAGGGGAATCCCGCCAGGGCAGGACCATCTACATGGCGGCCATTTCGAACGGCCGCCGGGCCGACGACAAGATGGCGGCGCTCGTCGAAGCCGGCTCGAACGGCTCGGATTCCATCGCGATCGCCTCCGCCCTTTTCCTCGTCGATTTCCTCTCCAGAGACCGCAAACTCGCCGAATTGACCGATTATTACGTAGTGCCCTGCTCGAATCCCGACGCCTATGACAGGCACGTCAAACGTCAACGGTGCGGCGACAGCGCCAAAGGAGATGGAGAATCGATTCGGATGCATTTGTGCAACAACTTCCCTCTGTTACTAGGCATCGTGGATATGGATTGTGTGGGTACCAGTGAGTTTTTGGCGGCGTTGAAAACCTGGAAAAGCAACCTGGAATTCGACGCGCCTACTACGAAAGCGATTTGCAAGGCTCTCGCTGTCGATGCGCCGATAAAATTGTTTGTTTCCTTGCAGGAAAACGGCCATTTTCTAAGTTATCCGTTCGGGTGTTTCCCCCAAGCGTTTCCAGATGAAGATGTGAAAAGGGCCGGTAGATTTCCCTTGTGCGATTTGGAGAAATTGAATCGGTTACGAACCGGTTCGGTGTACCAATTGAGCGGATTGACGTTCGGAACTGTCGTGGATTATATTAGATTGACGTATGACAGTTTGAAATTTTCGTATATTTTGCATTTAAGAGACAGGCGCGTGAAGCCCCGAGTCGAGGATATTTTGCCCTATGGAAACGATACGCTTAAATGCGTTAAATATCTGGCGAGGAACGTGTTTTTGTATTACAATAAAGACAAATTGAAGAAATTGGATAGCGGGTGATTTTTTTGAAAGGTTTTGACAATTGATTTGACGTTGACATTTTGATATTGACATTGACTTTTCATATAGGAGAAGGTTTTATATGTCAAGTTGTACATTTGTAAATTAGAAATTTAATAAGTATACAATAAAATTTTTGAAATAATTATTTACAATAATGAGATCGATGCGAATTCCTGCGATTGTTTGTCGTTTATTTTTTTCGAAATTTGTTTATTAACAGCGAGAATTTCCCAATCAATCGATCATATTTTCGGTAAATCGGAAAACAATTTTTAATTTTTTTAATTTAGAAAAAAAATTATTTATTCACTTCCGAAAATTCCGAAAGGTTCCGAAGGAAAACCGAATGCCATTCCTTTTATTCGCGTTTTTTTCGAAATATTTTCATTCGTTTAATAAACAGAACGAGTCATTTTAATTGATACTTACACTTCTTATTGACCTTGTGCAATTAAATGTTATTAAATAATTCTTCGATAATTATAATTGCTAATCTATTTTGTTTATAAAGAATTAAAAATGGCCGCTTTCCAGGAGTTTTTAACCAACTAAATGTTCTAAGGTTTCGGACAGTTCTATAAATGTGATTCTAAACAGTTTTAAATGCTTCTGGAGCGTTTTCAATGAGCCTGGAGAGTTCTGAATTGTTCTAGACAGTTCTAAAATGATTCCGGAGCGTTCCTAATTGTTCTGGACAGTTCTATTTTTCATCTTGATTACATGTTTAGAATTCGGTTACAAAACCATTTGATTATACAAAAAAAAAACTTCTGATTACGGGTTACAGTTCGATTAATTCGAATAATGACTTAATTATCTAATCGTAATTCGAGTATTCGACGAGAAGACATGAACTTATGAAAACACGTAACGTGTTTGTTTAAAAATTCGAAGGTTATTTACGAATGTGAGTGTAAAACTTATTTTTAAACGTGCATGTAATTCAACCGCACATTCGTCGAGACCATATTACATTTCAATATGGAAATAAAGCGATTTTTTTTGTTCAAATTAGAAGGAAAACCACCGTTTATTCCATTCCATATTCATCGATTGATCGAAATTTTCAATTCGATTTCGTACGTGTGGAATGATAAAAAAGAAGTAATTCTGTTAATGCGCTAATAAGTTGACCTGATTGACTAAATAAGGCGTCGGGACTTATATGGTAGGATTACAAAAAAAAATATCAAGGTGATATACAAGGGTAGGGTGAAAAGTTCTCGGCCTGAATCATTTAGAACTGTCTAGAATCATTAATAACGGTTCAGAACCATTTGGAACGCTCCAGAGGCACCTAAAACATTTTAGAATCATTTAGAAAGCTTCAAAAGCGTTTAGAACTGTCTAGAACTAAAAATTTTAACTTAATAAGGAGAATAATTTATTTTTCAAGTGACAATCGGGGTAATATTTAAATCCCTTATAACATGCACACTAGAAGTTCATCTTCAGTTATTCTTTTTTTTTTCAAAAATACACTTCTGGTAAAAACTGTTTACTTTTAGAGAGAATTAAATAGAGAAATGAAGAGTCGTAATTCAAATTAATTCTGCATAGTATTATCGTGTTCGGGGAAGCGATATTACGAACGATATTCATATAAAAGAAAATAATAAACAATAATTTATTTATTAATTTATTAGGACCTTGAGACTGTTAAATTGTGCACGCAAATGTTAACAAGCATTGTCACCTTCTCGATAAAAAAAAAATTGTTCATTATACATAGATTTGTCCGAGTTCTGCCCACTTGTATGTTCTATGACATCACTTTCCTATTTTCACTGTATTCGCTTGTATTTACTCCTACTCTAGGCATTTCTATTTGTCCGTTTCCTTTCGGATAGAATTTAAATTTAAAATATTTAAAACATTGTTTCATTGTTTAGGGATATTTTTGGAAATCATGTTTATTATGTATTTTCGTTTGTAGATGCAACAGCGCAGTCATGTCAACAGAAACTGCCAATCTAGCTCAAATCCAAGATGAAGATGTTCTTCGAAAGATGGTAAAAATATTTATTAATTCTAATTCATTCCGATTCTTTGCAACATAAACTTGTAGAGGATTATAGAGGATATTAAAAAACTTAAAATAAACAAAATTAATTATTAATCAATCCTCAAATCAATATTATCATAAACAACAAAGCTCAATTTTTCTTCTTCAATTTGAGGTTCTATTTCTCTTCTCTTCTAATCTCCTTTTACTATGGAATCAATTAATTTCTTGTACGTTCGATTATAAAAATATCTAGTGGGCGGACGCCGACGATTTCGGCAGAAAGAAAGAGATCCGGACTCACATGTACAAGCTGCGCGAGGAACGCTTGAAGGAATTCTATCGCAGCGCCGAATCGAACGAGACGAAAACGACGTCGACGTCGGCGTCGACCAAAGCGACGTCCCAGAAGACGACCCAGCAGGATTCCATGCACGCCGACGCTTTGGTCGATCAGAGCTTCGCCAGCTTCAAGAGCAAAGAGGTCAGGGATTCGGAATCACCCACCAGGGATATACAATACAAATTGCCGGGTGTGTGTGTGTTATTTTTAATTCGTCCAGTACTTCTATAATTGTTCAATGCATCTGCAAATGTCCAATTTTTCTTCTACAACTGTCCAATGCATCTGAAAATGTCTAAATTTCCTTCTAAAACTGTCTAATTCATCTGTAAATGGCCAATTTTCCTTCTACAACTGTCTAATTCAACTGCAAATCTATAATTTACCTTTTAAAACTTTCGAATTCATTTGTAAATGTCTAATTTTCCTTCTACAACTGTCTAATTCAACTGCAAATCTATAATTTACCTTTTAAAACTGTCTAATTCATTTGTAAATGTCTAATTTTCCTTCTACAACTGTCTAATTCAACTGCAAATCTATAATTTACCTTTTAAAACTGTCTAATTCATTTGTAAATGTCTAATTTTCCTTCTACAACTGTCTAATTCAACTGCAAATCTATAATTTACCTTTTAAAACTTTCTAATTCATTTGTAAATGTCTAATTTTCCTTCTACAACTGTCTAATTCAACTGCAAATCTATAATTTACCTTTTAAAACTTTCTAATTCATTTGTAAATGTCTAATTTTCCTTCTAAAACTGTCTAATTCTTCCGTAAATGTCCAATTTTCCTTCTAAAACTGTCTAATTCATCTGCAAATGTCTAAATTTCTTTCTAAAACTGTCCAATTCATCTGCAAATGTCCAATTTTCCTTCTACAACTGTCTAATTCACCTTCAAATGTCCAATTTTTCTTCTACAACTGTCTAATTCAACTGCAAATCTATAATTTACCTTTTAAAACTTTCTAATTCATCTACAAATGTCTAATTTTCCTTCTAAAACTGTCTAATTCACCGTCAAATGTTCAATTTTCCTTTTAAAAATGTCCAATTAATCTGCAAATATCCAATTTTCCTTCTAAAACTGTCTAATTCTTCCGTAAATGTCCAATTTTCCTTCTAAAACTGTCTAATTCATCTGCAAATGTCTAAATTTCTTTCTAAAACTGTCCAATTCATTTGCAAATGTCCAATTTTCCTTCTAAAATTGTCTAATTCATCAGCAAATGTCTAATTTTCTTTCTAAAACTGTCCACTTGATCTGCAAATGTTCAATTTTCCTTCTAAAACTGTCCAATTCATCTGCAAATGTCCAATTTTCCTTCTAAAACTGTCCAATTCATCTGCAAATGTCCAATTTTCCTTCTAAAACTGTCCAATCCATCTTCAAATGTAAAATCATTTCATTCTACAACAGTCAATTTACCAATTTACCAACTATAGTCAATTTACCAACTATTTACCAATTTCCAGAGACCAACGAATGGCAAACGTCGATCAGACAAGAGACCAGCCCGGACGGCAGGACCAAAACCGTGGAGGCCACGGCCGGCGTGGAGGGTACCCAAAAAATCGACGGCGGCCGTGTGGATTTCGCCGCCAAAACCGCCCGGATCTCCTCCTCCTACCAAGACGGCAACACCAAATCCTCCAAGAACGTCTACGCAGCCTCCGAGTCGGCCGTGACGAGGAGCGAACCGCTGGAGAAGGTGGTCACCGAGACCGAAACGTTGCCCGACGGCACCGTCGTCACGACTACTAGATACAGCGCGTCGGCCGGCGCCAGCAGCAAGAGTACCAGCAGCACCAAGGTGGTACAATCTAGTACTACTCAATACGAAGAGGACGGGGGCCAGTACGGTAGGGCTATTGAAGAGCAAACCAAGAGAAGTAGAGATTTAGTTGAAGAAAATGAAGGTAACAAAATGTCGCATATCATCAGAACTTCTACCGAAGATAGAGACATTGCTGGCGCTAGGAAAACTACAACAAGCGAGTTTCCGGCGCAAATTGTAGAGGAAACTCGCTTTAGAACTAAGAGTCCCTTAAAAGAGGATTCTAAGTATACTAAACATTCTGCGATAAGCGAGTTTTCCACTCAAAAGAACGAGGAAATTCGAACCAAAACTTCCAGTCACCATCAAAAAGAAGAATCCTCTACCAGGAAATCCACAATAAACGAGTTTCCCGTTCAAAACAAAGAGGAAACTTACATTATAACTAAGAGTCCGCAAAAATACGATTCAAAGTGCACCAAACAAACTGAGTTTTCCACTCAGAAGAACCAAGAAATTCTCTACCATCAAAAAGACGATACAACAACCAAGAAAACCGCAACAAGCGAATTTCCCGCTCAAAAGAAAGAGGAAACTCCCACCAGATCTAAGAGTCCCCAAAAGGAGGATTCCAAGTACACTAAACACACTGCTGTAAGCGAATTTTCCACTCAAAAGAACGAGGAAATTCAATCTAAAACTACCACTCACCATCAAAAAGAAGACGCTTCTACCAAGAAAACAACAATAAGCGAGTTTCCCGCTCAAAAGAACGAGGAAATTCAATCTAAAACTACCACTCACCATCAAAAAGAAGACGCTTCTACCAAGAAAACAACAATAAGCGAGTTTCCCGCTCAAAAGAACGAGGAAATTCAATCTAAAACTACCACTCACCATCAAAAAGAAGACGCAACTACCAAGAAAACAACAATAAGCGAGTTTCCGGCTCAAAAGAAAGAGGAAACTCCCACCAGGGCTAAGAGTCCCCAAAAAGAGGATTCCAAATACACTAAACATACTACAATAAGCGAATTTCCCGCTCAAAAGAAAGATGAAACCCCCACCAGAACCAGGAGCCCCCAAAAAGCCGACACCACCTACAGATCGGATTACACCAACAGAAAAATCAGCGTGGAAATGAGCGCAGCTCACGACAAATTCGCGCGCTCGCTGCGCACCGTCTCCCCCGATCGCGTCGCCAGGAAACCCTCCTCCTCGTCGCCGGAGAGGTCCAGGCACTTCTCCAGGTTCACCAGCAACGAAACGATCACCATCTGCGGCGCCGATGAGGACGAGGAAGCGGCGAAATCGAGGAGGAAGATCACCGACAGGTCGCCGTCTTCGCCGCTGGAGGAGCGGAGGCCGAGCGAGGTGAGGAGGAGCGGGAGCTTCAGGAGCCCCTCGCCGACGAAGAGGGTGCTCAAGAGGACGGATACCTACGAGGAGAGGTGCAGGGAGATCTTGGGCATCGTGGGGCAGAGCGACAGGAGGGGTAGCTTGGAGCGAGCTGGAAAGAGGGGTTCTTTCAGGAAGCAGAGGGACGATGCTGGATCTCCTACGAAGAACCAAGGTGGTTCTAAAGAGACAGCGTTTGTGGCTGATAAAACTAAGGAAATCACCGAGTTTCCTTCGCAAAGGCGGTTTTCTTCAAAGGAAAATGTAACCACGGCTACAGTGGAGTATGTGGATGATGTTAAAACCGTTAGTAAAGATGATAAATCCAGGAAAATAACCGAATTTCCTTCGCAAAAACGGACTTCCAGCGAAAATGTAACTGAAGTTTCTTCGCGAACGCGATTTTCCAACGAAGAAAACGTCAATAGGGAAGATACTGAAGATCGAAACGATGTTCAGAGACAGGAAATAACCGAATTTCCTTCACAAAAGCGATTTTCTTCAAAAGAAACCATCACTACAGAAGATTCGACTACGAGGGATGTTCAGAGACAGAAAATAACCAAATTTCCATCACAAAGAAAGGAAGAAAATGTAACTACAACTACAGTGGAGATTGTAGATGATATTAAAGGTGTCGCTAAAGATGATAAATCACGGAAAATAACTGAATTTCCGTCGCAAAAGCGATTTTCTTCAAAAGAAACCATCACTACAGAAGATTCGACTACGAAGGATGTTCAGAAACAGAAAATAACCAAATTTCCTTCACAAAGAAAGGAAGAAAGTGAAACTACAACTACGGTGGAGATTGTAGAAGATTTTAAAGGTATCGCTAAAGATGATAAATCACGGAAAATAACCGAATTTCCTTCGCAAAAGCGTTTTTCCTCAAAAGAAACAATCACTAAAGAAGATGTAACAACTACGAAGGATGTTCAGAAACAGAAAATAACCGAAATTCCTTCACAAAAACGTATTTCTTCGAAAGAAATCCTAACCACAACTACAGTGGAGTTTGTAGATGATGTAAAAAGTGTTAAAAAAGATGATAAATCTCGAAAAATAACCGAATTTCCGTCACAAAAGCGTCTTCCATCGAAGGAAATTCTGACCACAACTACATCAGATTTAATTTCTCAACAGGCTGAGACTGTTAGAGACGTTCAAAAGCAGAAAATAAAGGAATTTCCTTCGCAAAAACGTTACTCGCCCAAAGAAAACGTAACTATCGAGTCTACCGGAGGCTTGCAACAGCAGAAAGTAACGGAATTTTCGCAGCAAAAGAGATTTTCATCGAAGGAAAACGTGATCACAACGGAGGATAAGTCCAAAACCGGCAGGAGAATAACCGAATTCCCATCGCAAAAGCGTTTCCCTTCCAAAGAAACCACTACAAATACCGAAGAAGCGATCAAAAAAACCAAAAAAGAGCCCACCCCTTCGAAACTGTCGGAGCTTCCATCGCAAAAACCCAAAAATACCAAGCCCAAAATCGATAAACCGGCCACCAAACGACCGGATTTAACCGAATTTCCCGCCCAAAAACGACCCCAATCCAAGGAATCCCCCAAACCCCAAACGAACGAAACTACCACCAACAGAACCAGAATCGAAGAACCCAAAAAACCGAAAAAACCCGACACCAACAGCAAATTCATAAAGGCGGAAAAAGGCCAACCGACCGACCCAAAACCCACCAAAAAACCCACCACCACCTCCGAAGAATTCATCAAAAGAGAACAACAATCCACACCAGCCGAGGAACCCCAACGCACCGCGAAATTCGAACCGATCAACTACTCCGGCCGAACCCCCGTAGAAGAACCCGTTTGCATCAAACGAATCATCAACACCACATGCCCCGAAGACGAGCACCACAAGCACCGCAAGAGCACCAAACCCGACCACATCGTCGTCGACCTCAAGCGCTCCAAATCCTCCAGAGAACCCACCCCTAACGGCGTCTACCCCGTACCGTCCTCGTCCCCGGAGAACCAGCTACCGAGGCTACCCGACGAGATCCTCGAACCCGACGACGTCACCGCCAAACCCGCCAAGTTATCGGAGGTACCGCTCGTCGAGCAAGACGACTTCGATCAGATCACCGAGATCGTCGATCACCAGGTGATCACCAAGCGCGACAGAGTCGACAAAACCGACGAGAGCCTGTTCAGTTTGAACAAGAAAATCGACCTCTTCTCCAGAACCCACCAGAAACCCGCTCCGAAGGACGTCGGGGTGCCCCAAAGGGTGGACAAATTGGGAGTGGAAGCCCCCGATCGGCCGAAGAGCCCGCGGTGCAGGTTCAACGAGGACCTGGAGAAGCCGGTGTCGCTGGAGAATTTGTACGAAACGACGCCGAAGAAGACCATCCTGAGCCCGGCGGGTAGACTCAGGAGCACCGAGAGCATCAAAAAGGCCAGGGAACTGTTCGAAAACATGGCCAAAGAGGGAACCGCCGACGTTAGGGCGACCCGAAGATCGAGCTGTACGAACGAAAGGGAAAGGTCCAGATCGAACTCGCCGAAAAAAGACGGCGAAACTCCCGGCAAAGATGGTACTCCTCATTATATGCTCCCTCTGGAAAAACACAAGCATACTCCAAATGAACCGGCTTTCCATCCACGATTTCATCACGAAGCTGTTAAAGATAATGAAACTCCACATTATATGCTGCCTTTGGATAAACACGACAAGCATACTCCTATAACTGATTTAGATTCTTGTGCGCAACATCATCACGAAACTATCAAAGATAACGAAACACCTCATTATATGCTCCCTCTCGAAAAACACAAGCATACGACGAGTGAATCAGATTCTCGTCTGTATCATCATCATGAAACCATCAAAGATAATGAAACTCCTCATTATATGCTCCCTCTGGAAAAACACCAGCATCCAAATGGACCAGAATCTCGACCGCAAGATCATCATGAAACTATCAAAGATAATGAAACTCCTCATTATATGCTGCCTCTCGAAAAACACAAGCATACTACAAGTGGATCAAATTCTCGTCTGCATCATCATCATGAAACTATCAAAGATAACGAAACACCTCATTATATGCTCCCTCTCGAAAAACACAAGCATACGACGAGTGGATCAGATTCTCGTCTGCATCATCATCATGAAACCATCAAAGATAATGAAACTCCTCATTATATGCTCCCTCTGGAAAAACACCAGCATCCAAATGGACCAGAATCTCGACCGCAAGATCATCATGAAACTATCAAAGATAATGAAACACCTCATTATATGCTCCCTCTCGAAAAACACAAGCATACTACAAGTGGATCAAATTCTCGTCTGCATCATCATCATGAAACTATCAAGGATAATGAAACTCCTCATTATATGCTCCCTCTGGAAAAACACAAGCATACTCCAAATGAACCGGCTTTTCATCCACGCTTCCATCACGAAGCTGTTAAAGATAATGAAACTCCTCATTATATGCTTCCATTGGACAAACACCACGAGCATACTCCAATAACTGATTTAGATTGTTGTCCACACGCTCACCATGAAACCATTAAAGATAATGAAACTCCGCATTATATGCTCCCTATGGAAAAACACAGGCATACGCCAAATGAACCAGCTTTTCATCCACGATTTCATCACGAAGCTGCCAAAGATAATGAAACTCCGCATTATATGCTCCCTCTGGAGAAACACAAGCATACGTCGAGTGGATCCAATTCTCGTCTGGAACATCATCATGAAACTATCAAAGATAATGAAACTCCGCATTATATGCTCCCTCTGGAGAAACACAAGCATACGTCGAGTGGATCCAATTCTCGTCTGGAACATCATCATGAAACTATCAAAGATAATGAAACTCCGCATTATATGCTGCCTCTGGAGAAACACCACAAGCATACTCCAGATAACGCGACCGCTCATCAGCATACTCCCCGCAAAGATTCGGAGGCTAACAAGGAAAACGAAACTCCGCATTATATGCTCCCTCTGGATAAGCGCAACAAGCCGCATTATATGCAGCCCCTGGATAGGAGCACTCATTCTCAGAGCGAATCGAAATCGAACAAATTCGGGGTGACTCTTAGGAAAACTGCGCCGAAAAGCGGCAATTTGGCCAGCACTGACGTTAGAATTTCCCTGCAAAATAGATTCGGCAATCTGGAAACGCTGTCGCAGGAAGTGATCGAGGAGATATACGAAATTGAAGTTCTGGAGCAATTGGTAAGTGTCATTGCCAACTTAAAAACAAAAAAAACTCTTTACCAATTTTATGGATTGTATGCAACCACTTTAACACTGTCAAAAGTCAAACCTGTCAACTACAAATAGCACCGGTAGCAAAATACAACTTTACCAAATTATTCTTTAAAATTATAACTATATGTAAGGTAAAATTAAAAAAAATCAATATTATATTTATCGGAATTTATCCTATTTTGAAAAATGACAAGTGACAGGTGTCATCGCAACGTTGCTAGTAAGATCTAACGGCTATTTTGTGTTTGTATGCAATTTTTCGATTTATTCCAAGTTTTTTTTAATAACTTTTGTTAAAAATATAAACAATAATGATACATGCGTGTGTAGTGTGCCAAAAAGTGGATCATTTAAATCCAGATTTGTCTTTTCATCGGTAAGTAAGGTTAAGTTTTCATTTGAATTTTCATTTGAACCAGTGACGTGGGGCACCCGATATTCTTTTATATTAAAAAATCGTTAAATTATTCTTATATCGATAAATAATTATTGAATAACTTATAGTAGCTACATAAAAGTAAAAACTTGAAGAAAAATTAACGTTAAAATAACTTTATCCTCACATCGTGCGTTCCATTTTCAGCTTCAAATCGTCTACAATTACGAAGTACGCAGGGTGATCAGAACGCAAATTCGCCTGGTGAGGAAACTAACATCCGAGAATCGCCTGGAAATTTACGTAGAAGAGAAGAAGAGATCGCGAAGCATCGAAAGCGAAGAAAAAACGAACAAAACCGCGACGTACACAAGGAAATCCAGCCCGGAGCGAACCCCCAGCCCCGCGAAGAGCGATTCTTCCGCCAGGAGCGCCTTCGTCGCGAAGAAAACGAAGGAAATCGAAGCCAAAAGGACCAAGGACTCGCCTAGGAACGCCGACAAGGACGAGAGAATCGCGATCAGGACCAGCGAGAAGCAGGAATATAGGAAAACGACTCGTCAAGTTGGCACCGATTCGATCACCTCCAGTTATGGAGTTGGTCCTACTGATAAAAATGGCGCTCCTTTATTCGGTTTGAAGGCTTTGAGGAGCCAACGAGAGGATAATACCACCACCAAAGGTTCGTATAATTCGTATATTGTCCGCCATTTAAAAAAATCAGATACAGCATCAGATACAACAAGCATTTCGTTGCCTCGGTTACTAGTAAAAAAATATTTTTCGGTGTAATTAGTGTTGCCTATACATCAGCAACATAATCTCATTTCCTTTAGCTTTGGACTCTTTAGAGTATACTTTTCAACATTCACATTCATCCTTGATCCTTTATCTTTCAACATTGGTACTTAATCATTGATCCTTCCTCCTTCATCATTGTTCCTTCATCCTTCATCAAAGATCTTCCATCATACCCTTCAACCTTGTTAAATAAACTGAAAATACGAATGCTGAGATTTCGGATCAGTTCAAGGTACGTTCGTCAGCGGCGAGTACTATTCGGAGAACGGTCAGGAACCGGTCGGACAGATCACCGTCACCGAGTACTCGAACGATCCCAAGGACCTCGGCTCGGACGCGCCCTCTACCGGAAAGGATTTCATCACCAGCGTGACTACTACACAGAAATTCGGCTACGACGACGCCCCCTCGTTGAAGAGTCTCGGCAAACAACAGAGCGGCAGGAAACCGGTAAGGGAACGGTTCTAAGTCGGTCCGGGTTGATTCGAAACGATTCTAAAACGATCCTAAGTTGTCCGGGATTATTCGGAGTGGTTTTACAACGGTTTCAAGATTGTTAAAACGATCCTGGATGGTTCAGAATGATTCTAGAACGGTTCTAAGATGGTTAAGGAAGATCCTGGATCATTCAGAATGCTTCTAGGACGGTTCTAAGATGGTTTGGAATGAGCTTAGTAGATAATTGTTTGTATTTTCAGTACGGTCGAGTGGAAAATACCGATGGTACATTGACGAAGGAGAGGAGGAACTCCGTGAAGGCTATATCACAAAAGTTCATCGATTCAACGGGTAACTACTTTATACATTTCTTACTTTATATTAGTTTGAACTCAAATAAATCCGAACCATTTTTTTTTGGCTAGTCGAATCCCTGAAAAGTGAAAGGCAACCGGCATATCCCAAGGCCGGCTTGATATTGCGCACGTCCAGTTTCAAAGATTCGAAATTAGACGCCACAAAAAGCGACAATTCCACCGGTAAAAACGAGAAAAATTCCCCCATTTTTTTTTCTAATTCGTTAAATAAAACATTCGCATTGTAGATGTCGTGACGAGTACCAAAACGAGTACCAGCAGCGGTTCGTTTCTGACCAATAGAACGGCCGTTTCCGGCGTACAAGACGTCATTTCCAGGATGAAAACCGACGAACATCGATCAGGTATTAAAGCAGTTATTAGAGCAGTATTAAAGCGGGTTTGAAGCGGTTTTAAAGCATTATTAGAGCAGATATTAAAACGGTATTAAAAGTATTGTAAACGACTCTCCCCTGATTGATGCATTACAGGTGATAGCATCGAAGATGCCGAAGCTAGGAATTTGCTGAACAGATTCTTGGGATCGCAGGTGCTGTTGACCGGCATGGAGAGCATGAATACCAACGTAAAAACCTCGCCGACCGGTGTTGTTACCAGGAAAACCGTGAAAATCACCAAATCCACTAAAGTGAGTTTTTATATTAATAAAATCTGGTTTTTTTCGGGTTAACAGATTTAAAAGTACTGTGTAAACGTAGCCTAAATTTGATAATTTACTTAAAAAATTAGGTTTACAGTAGAATATTAAGTTTTTTTGAGTTAATTAGGGGTTAGTTTAATTTTAGTTGGTTTTTGAGGTACCTAATGAGATTTAAAAGTACAGTGCAAACGTTGCCTAAGCGCATATACACCAAAACTACATTTACACTAAATATAAAATCTTATTTTGAGTTAATAAAAGACAAGAAAAAATGCATAATGCATTCTTTAAACTAGAAAACGAGGCAAATTTCAATTTATTCAACAATCTCTATAAAACTACGTTTACACTAGACTATTAAATCCTATTTTGAGTCAATAAAAGACAAGAATTAGGCGAATTTCGTTGCCTCCCTATATTTGGTAAAACCCGAAATCCATCGTTCTAAATAGGCAAGAAGGCGAGTTCCATTCGCAAGGTTGCATTTTGCCAGTCGGAACAAAAACCCAGTAAAACGAAAGTCGGCTAATTTTGGACGCCGTGACGTCAATTTTAGACGCCCGATATTTTCCCGAGTCAGTTCGACCAGTGGCTGGATGTGTGTCTGTGCCTTCCCGATATATTAATAAAATATATCCCGTGTGAACTGAACGCGCGCTCCTTCGTTTTATTTTACTACATATAGTTTAATATTTTTTTTCTCGTTTCTTCTTCTTTTAATATTATTGTTGTTGTATTTATTATTGTTGTAATCGAGTGTGGAAGTTTCGTAAAGGGGTAAGAATGAAGTTATTATTTTATGTAGTTTTTAGTGTGTGTAATGTTTTCGAAGCGGTTTTTTTTTTGAGTTGAAATTAGGTTTTTTTTTCGATTTTCTTTAAATATTACAAGGTCATTTGTGTATTTTAAATATGCGCAGAGCGAAAATAAATCGTTGGTGCTCGTGTACTTTTATGGTTATTCTTTGTTTTAAACTTTTCACAAAATTATTATTAATTTAGGAACTCCTCTACTCGAATTACTTTAATTTAAACCAACAAAATAAGTACAATTTTCAAGTAGAATTCAAGCCGAAAAATAAAAAAAAAATATAACCAATCGATACATATAATAAATCCCGATAATTTACAAAATCGAATTATCTAAATATAACCGGGCTTTGTTTATTTTACCAACTACGCAAATTCGCGGTAAAATTTTCCGGTTGTAGAGAAATAAAAACTACGCGATTCAAGAAATTTCCACCTCCCGTGTAATAAATCGGGTAAAGTTCGTACCCGTTTCTCATTAGTTTAGCGTACGATTTTACGGATTTAAATTTAGAAGGAACATTGAAACGCACGTTTTGTTCCGCATACTTCGGACGTATCTATAAAAGTTCAAACACAGTTCGCATTCGTAATTTTCGTATGTACGCTGTTATTGACCTCAGGTTTATTATACGTAACAAAACAGGAAAAAAATCGCAATTAGTCTAATTTAATGCTATTTTTAAATTGCGTAAACTTTTGTAGAGTTTCAGAGAAACAGAGTGTTGTTTATAATTTGCTAATTTTTATTTTTTAGGACGGCGATAAAACGGAAACGAAGTCTTTCGTTTTCCAAGGTCCAATTACCGAGGAGGAATTGGAGAATATCTGGGATCAGAAAACCTTAAGGCTTTTAGTAAGTTTCATTTCGTGTTTAAAATTTCAATTATTAAAAACTTACTAACGAACGCTCTGAATAAATTATTCTGTTTCAGCTGGAACAAAGTACTGATTACGAAGAACGCCGCATCATAAGGAACAGATTAAGGAGAGTCATGGCAGAACAGGAAGGTAATCAAATTTTTCATTAACATTGAAGAAATGTACAACAAAATCTTGTAAAACCCGATTTAAGCATTCCGTGTAAACGTATATTTTTATGTCAAATTTCGGACAAAACCTACGTTTACACAAGACTATTAAAACTTCAAAATAGCATTGAGGGTCGGAAATGCAAAGTATGCCAAAACGTAAATTTTACAAGATAGCAAAAAAACTCTTTGAAAGTTAGATGTACACAACTAATAAAAGTGGTTATTTCAGCCTAAACTTTCTTTTCTACAAAAAAATACTCGATTTTGAAAAAAAAAAAGTATCAGTCAGCATACTTCGCATTTCCGACCCTCAATATTGAACGTCACGAATTTAATTGTTTGAAAAATCCATCGCAAAAAAACCTAAATCCTCGGTTTCGTTTCGCAGCCTGCGCCGAGCTGGTGCAACAGGCGAGCGGCGACCAGCCGACGACGGCGCGCGCCGACACCACAGAAGGTGAGTCCCTCCTACTGCCGCTCCTGCAAGATTTCCTGCAGGACAAAGATCGCGACGCTGACCGGCGCGCCGGTCTCGTCGCCGACGTCCGCGCCGCCCTCGACCGGCTGTCGGCGAGCCTGAAGCGCGACGACGAGCCGGACATGCCGGCGGACAAGCGGCGCTCGCTGTTGCGATTGGTCGACAAGCTGCAGGCCGGCCTGTCCGCCGCCGTGCCCGCTCGACCGCCCGATCCCGATCGATCGAAACCGACAACCCCTCCTCACGAAGACGACGCCCGGCGGCTCATCGAGGAGATGTCGCGCTGCAAATTCGACGCGCACGCGCACACGTCCCCGTCCATCGAACCGGTCCAAGCGCCGCGACTCTCGCTCAATCCCATCTACGCCAAACCGGCGGAATCGCAGCGGTTCAATTCGCAGATGAAGAAGATGAAAATGAAGCGGGCCAACACCATCGACATACCCAAACCTTCGATGCAACAGCGCTACAACGAATCAGATTACTCCGACGACGAGAGATCGCGTGGCTGTTATTACAACTCGGCGCGGGCGCCGGGCGATCCGGTCGCCGTGCCGGAGTTCCGGCCGAAGACGGCGTCCGATCGGAAGTTCCTCGCCTTTTTGAACAAAAACGCCGCGGGGAGCGATCGCGAGACGCGCGCCCGAAGCTCTATATGGACCGAGCAGAACAACCGCGCGTCGATTTGGGGCAGCCGCTTCGGCAACATCAAGAACAAATTCGAAATCGAGCCGATGAAAGCGAGCGGTTTCGAAGAGGGCGGCGCGTTGACCGGCAAACTGACGATCAAACGCGACGGGCCGATGCCGATGCCGGTGAATCAATTCTCGCACGCGCCCCAATCGGCTTTCAAACCGATAGCGCCGAGTTCGAGGCGCGTCGAGGCGGCCGACGGCGCCGCGAGCGAACTCGTCAAAACCGAAATTAGGGACGTCGAGGCCGACAAGTCGTTGTTCCTCTACAGCCCGAAACCTCTCGAAGGGGGTTCGGGCAAGCCTTGGCTGACGCCCGAAAGCGGCGGAGGCCGCGTGTTGAGCATGGCCGCTAAGAAATTCGAGCCGCAACGGCGCCACCACGACGCTCAGCCGACCGTCAAACCGAGGAAACTCAGCAGGGAATTCACGGAGCAATTCGATCGACAACCGGAGTATACCAGTCGCACAACCGTCGTCTATCAGTTGCCACACAACCAACAAACTGTGGGCTATCAACCGCCTGTTATCAAGCAACAAGTTACTCCTACTATCAAGCGACAACCGACGGAAGCGACGCCTAGTTTTAAACAATTTACAACGCCTACTGTTAGGCAACCACAAACACAATTAACGTCACCTACTGTCAAACAATCGGCCCCAACATTTAGGCAATCAACGCAATTAATATCGCCTCCTATTGAACAACAACCAACGCAATTATCGCCAACTTTCAAACCACAATTACCCCCGACATTAAGGCAACCAACAACACAATTAATATCGCCTACAGTTGAACAACAATTATCACCAACGTTTGTACAAGCAACACATTTAACATCGCCTCCTATCGGAGCGCAATCAACGCAATTATCACCAACTTTTAGGCAACCAACATCGCCTGGTATAAAACAACAACAACCTCAATCAACACCAACTATCAAACCACAATTAGCCCCGACATTTAGACAACCAACAACTCAATTAATACCACCTACAGTTGAACAACAATCATCACCAACATTTGTACAATCAACACATTTAACATCGCCACCTATCGGACCGCAATTATCACCAACTTTTAGACAACCAACATCGCCTGGTATAAAACAACAACAACCCCAATCAACACCGACTATCAAACCGCAATTATCGCCGACAATCGGGCAACATCCAATACAATCAACATCGCCTATTATTCAGTACAACGCGTCGCCCCAACCTCGCCAATACCCGCCCAACGTCAACCAGCAACCTTCGCTAGCTGTTAACCAGCAACCGCCGCCTCCGGCCGGCCCGCCGCCCAAATTCGAGACGCAACTATCCAACGACAGCGTGCACGAATACACCGCCATCAGTAGCAAAGTGATGGGCGGCGCCCAGCAAGCCGTCACCGTGAAACAGGGCCCGAAGACGCGCGACGAGCACGACATGGCGGCCGCCGCGACGCTCAAACACTCCCTCACGTTCAACTTCCCCGCCAAACTGTCGAGCAGGAGCTTCGGCTCGAAGGACGCCGGCGATTCGAGCCGATTAGGCGTGGTGAAGCCCATGCAGAAGGCGGAGTACGACGGGTTTCGCGTACCGAAAGTGAACGTGGAGCCCGGCTCGCCGCTCGCCAAGTCGGAGTCGTGGCATCGTTTTGGGGAGAGACCGGGCGCGGTGGTGAAATCGAAGTCGAGCCACAGCTTGGCGGTGCCGCAACGGCAGTTCGAGGCGGGCATGTCGAAGGACGAGCTGGCGCAGAAGAGGAAGGCCATGGAGGCGTACTTGTCGAGCGGTAGAACGGCGGTTAGGACGAGCATCAATCGGATCAGAACGATTGATAAGCGATCGGCTTGCGGCGGTAACGCCGACAAATCGTCGGGGATCGCGAGGAGTCGTACACTGCCCGATATCGTTTGTCCGATGCTCGACGAATCGAACGTCGATCAGGCGTTCGAGGATTTGTTCAAATCGACTTGCGCGTAACACCGAACTTCGTATATACGTCCATTCCCGAATTATCACGAAAAGTGTTTTATTTTGTTTTGTTAATTTATTTTATTTGTTGTTTCTAATGCGGTTGTTTTGTGTATTGTATATATCGATTGGACTGTAGTAGGCGCGTGCGCGTCGTGCGATGTGCGCGAATCCGGTGCGCACACCACGGAACGGGATAAATATATATATATATATATAAAAGTAAAAGTAGAGCGCGTGAGGGAGAAAGATGGCCGACGAAGAATTTATCGTGGCGAGTCGTCGATGCGCAGATGGTGAGAGAATGCGTGTTGGTGTGCGCACCCCCCTCTTCATTCTTAACAAATTCTCAGTAATATGAATTAATTTACCAGCACTTCACTCACCCCCATACCCCCACCGAAACCCCCGCTGCTGCCGATGTATACGCGAGATGTAAATAATTAGTTGTTTTCTTTTTTTTAGATATACTTTTATGTACTAATGTTGTCGAGTTTTTTTTAGATTTTTCGCGATCGTGTTGTTTATTATAATCCTTTTCGAAGATATCTTTAGTAAATTGTATGTGTAGTAAAAAATCATTCCTCGGTTTATTCTAAAAGTAGTGGATCTGCGAAAAAGTCATTATTTTTAAGCGTTGTTTAAAAAGGACATTGCTCGGTCGTCTCGTACACGTTTACTATTCGAAAAACTCTTCGAAGGATTCTAAAAAAAATATTCCCGGATTTTAAGACGATTGCACCGACCTTGGAGGATTAATGAATTTTCTAAATATACAAACGGTGATTTGCGAAATTTCCAGTTGCGAAATATCGCCAATCGGTTTATTTTTACGCGCGTATTTTTACATTCGCACCAAAAAAGTCGACGTTGTTTTGTTGCTATGAAGCTGTAAAAATCATCGCGCTGTATATGTACCTTAAATTATTAATTAAAAAAAAATACGCCCCCCCTTACCCCCGATCGATCGATTAATTTTTTTTCTCTACGGTAGATAAACAAACACATTATTTGGCTAACTTTGCTCAACCACTAATCGCTGTATAATTTATTTTATTTTCGACTAACGATCAATTCGTTTGCTTCGTTGATTTTTAATTTTCTTTTATCGTTTATTTCAGAAACAGTCGTCGTGGAAAAGAGCTCGGAAGAATGTCCCACGACTGCGACCAAAACGCAAGGTAAATTTTATTTATATTTTTTCTAATACAAATTTCTAAAAATCCTCTACTTTTGTCTGGATGCCTTTCAAGCAAAGGTATCAATGATGAGTTTTTCATCGATCAAAAAATAATAAATTTCACTATTCCAGTGACGCGAGTAACAACAACGCAACAGCAAGTGACTAAAAAACCTCTGTCACCTTTCGCGAAATTCCGGCAACTGGACAAGCAAAACTCACTCAACACCCCACCAAGGTATGTAAAAAAAATCATTTAATTCACTTGCACCAACCCCTAAACTATTCTCTACTACCCCACTACTCACGTATACACGTTCCCTCTATTAACACACATTTACGGGGAAAAAATCGCATCGAATAAATCGACACAAAATCAACTAACAATTTTGATATTAAAGACATATATAATATACAGTGTGTCCCACCCTAAAATACGCTTGAACGCTTCGAATGAATTACTCGATAATTTTAACGCCTGTATTTGTATCGCGTGGTCTGCAGTACCCCCGGTACCCCAAAGACTCCTGGAAACGGGCCCCTTTTTAAATTTACCGATCCCGCTGTCAGTCAATCTGCTAGCACCATCAAAGAACGACTGTTGTTTTGGTGTCGAACGAAGACGAAGGAATACGAGGTATATTTGTATTTTATATGGGCATATTTGTTGTTTTTATAAATTATTTACAGTGGAAATGCGCTTATTTTGTTTTGTGCGAGTAATCGAATCGTCGCCTGTCTTATGCGCTCGATAGAGAGGATTATTTTTGTAATTTTCTGCGCTTTTATTTCATGTATCTATTTTGTTGAATTGGCTGGAACGCCTACCGAGCAATCGGCCATTGAACGCAGAAGAAGTTCAATGGGTAATTTACCGAATGTAAATCGCTTACACGGCCTCAAATTAAATGATTCAATAACAATTCGTTGGTTTTTGTATTATTTGTCATTTGAACTAATAAATCAGCTGTTTTTATACGCTTATAATCGCTCATTCCAAAACGTATTGGCAACATCGATTGATTTAATTTTAAATGTGTGTTTTAGAACGTCCAATTAGACAACTTTTCAACGAGCTGGGCGGACGGACTCGCTTTCTGCGCTTTGATACACCATTTCCTGCCGGACGCTTTCGACTACCATGCATTGACGCCCAAAGATAGACGACACAACTTCGAACTCGCCTTCAAAGTCGCCAGGTAATACGCCATTTATTTACCAGCACTCTGCAAACAATCTCCCTAGTTACTCCATAACAACAATGTTAAACTGTCAATTCAAAGAATCTCCTTAGTTACTCCATAACAACAATGTAAAACTGTCAATCTGTCAATAGTGAAAGAATCTCCTTAGTTACTCCCATGACCCTACATTTCTAAGGTCTGGAATCTCCTTATGCATATGCATTAGAGAATATGTCCCGTTATTTGAGGACTTTTTCGAGCTTTATTTATCTCGACCAATCTCTTATAATTTATCTCGACCAATCAGCGTCGCGCTACATATAAATCGCGGTTGTGTGAAACGACAGTTCGAGCTGTCAAAAACTTCAAAAATTATTTTTTGACATTTCGAGGACAAAATGGAGAAATACATTAACCGAAGATACGTGAGGCATGATGTTGTACAGGTAAGTATATTTGTATATCTTGTATCCATTTTTAGTTTGAATAAAACCTATCTTAATGCTAATTCTACATAATTCGTAGGCAAAAAACCGTGATCCTTAACAACATCGCCTCCTAGCGGCCGTTTTCGGAACCCTGTTTTATCCTCAAATAGCGCGACAATAGAAACAGACCTTAGAAATATAGGACCGTGGATTAGAGTATTAATTATTGAATAAAACGAATGATTTCAGTGATAAGGCGGATATTTTCCCTCTGTTGGACGTCGACGACATGGTGGAGGTGCGAAAGCCCGATTGGAAATGCGTCTTCACCTACGTGCAGTCGATTTATCGGCGATTCAAGGACGAAGAAATATAAATTTTTAGTTCGCGATTTCAAAAATTTTGATTTGTTCGTTGATTGTGAAATTTAATAGTAACGTTCGCTTCGACTTGCTATGTGATTATTCGGACGCATTTTTTTCTACTTGATATTTTTTCGTAATTTATTATTTCATCTGCCCAGCTGGTTAAACGTATTTTAGATTTTATATTGTATACTAAGCATTTACTTATTATATATACCGCTTATTTATTATATTAAACAAAAAAAAAATGTATAAGGGATGTTCGCTTTAGTTTTACGTATTGTAATTTTATACAAGCAAATTTACTGTCGCGTTAATAACCTTTTTGTTTGTTATTTAAAACTTAGAAATACAACATTTAACTATTATATTTATATCTCTTCTCTTTATCTTACCAATCAACTGATCAATTTTTATTTGTAAATAGGCAACTAGTTTTACATTTATCAACCAACAAATCGATTTGCAACAAATGTTTAGATGATTAAAGACATATACAGGATGTTCTAGAACTTATGGCACTAAATTCTAGTGGTGGTAGTTTGCATAATTAAAGAGAACACCCTGTAAATGCATAATATTTACCAATCATAATACGAAACGCCTTTTTATATATAAAATCCAATATTTAAACGTAAAAATTTATTTCCTAAATACAATAAAACATTCCAAAACGAATGTATCACACAACAATTATACTCATCGTCGACAATTCACAACGTATGATGATAAGGAGCCGGAGTAGGAACGTTCATCAACGGCGAATTCACGTCGACATCCATCTCGGGCGGTATGACGGTCTCCTCCTGCGAAGCGATCTTCTCCTGCAGCAACTTGTACAAATTGTGCACCTTCTCGCTGTGCTGATGGCTCGGCTGCAGCGCCTTCATCAGCGAATGCAACCTGCTGCTCGGCAACTTGTGTTGCACGTACCACAGCAACTTCAACAGGTGCCTCGTCACGTTGTCCCTCGATAGACCGGCGAAGAAAAATTCGTCGAACAGCGCCGTACAGAAATCCTCGGCTTGAAATTCGTCTGCGTTGTGTATCAACAAACACACCTAAAACAATAACGACCAATAAGGATCGCGGTTGTGTGAAACGACAGTTCGAGCTGTCAAAAGTGTCAAAAAATTAGTTTTTGACATTTCGATGAGAAAATGGAGAAATAGATGTAAGTATATTTTGATGTTTTGTATCTATTTTTAGTTTGAATAACTTACGAAAGAGTGTAAAAATGGATCCTCGAACGATCTATCATCTTTACAATTAGCTAGTACTGTTAATATTCGCAACAAACCAACGCGATCTTTCAATCTAGCTACATGCAACGTATAGTACATAGCCAATACACTAGCCACCGTGCTATCCTGCAAATAGGCTTCTACGGCGTCGGGCAGAGGCCCCGAATGTTCTATAACGGTGATGGCGGCTTCGCGTTCGTCGTGCGGCAACTTCGAGCTCAATTGTCTCACTTGATCGTCCACCATCAGAGACATCAAAGCGGGAAGGAACTTCGTCACCACCTGGCTGTCCAGTTTCGGTTCTTTGAAATCCTGCGAATCGATCATCACCCAAGCGCTCAGGCCGAGCGCCAGCATCCTCAACAGCAGTATCAATATCGTGTTATCCTGCAACGATCGAAACAATTCACTTAAACACAATTAGTAATAATATAATTCTACCGACCCTAGCCATTCCCTCGACGTGTATGAGATGCTGGAGTATCTTAATAGCCGAGGTAGCCAGGAAATTTATAGCGTACGGATCGCACAGAGTCATCGATAGGTCTCCCAAAACCTGCTCTTGTCCCCTTTTCACGTTATCCAAGAATCCCTGTAGTTCCCTCGAACGTTTTATATCTACGTTTTTCTCTCTTATGCAAGCGTCTAAACACCAAGTGAATTTGTGGCAGGGATCGATCGATATGATGTCTTGCACTTCGAGATCGTGCAGAGCCATCAACAGCTCGGCCCGGAGGGTGCAATAATGCACTATCCTCGTTCGCAGGAAGAGCGTGCGAAGAAATTGCAGCACCATATCGTAGAGTTTGATGCTGTTGCCTATCATGTGAGCCAACTTTTGCACTACCTCACCTTGCCTGCGTACCTGAAAAATATCAATCGTGTAGTGGATACTCGGGTAGGTTAGAGCGAATCGTTACTTTAGGGGACGGCCCGAAGAATTGGGTGGCTAGATTGGCGTGATCGAACAGCACGTTCTCCTTTTCGCTGATGTACTGGCTGAGTAGAGGCGAGACCTCGTCGCCGAACAGCGATTGATTGTCCTTCCAGATTTGCCGCTTCACTTCGGTGTCGGTGTCCAAATACAATTCCCTGTCTCTGACGATGACTTTCAAATAGTGATCGTCGATTTGGGGTATGTTTTTTAGGATCGCCATTACGATGGGGCGCATCGCTTTCACTCTGATGACGGGAAAACTCTTGACGAGCAGCTCGCGGAGCTTCTGGTCCCGTTCCTTTCCGTCCTGCTTGCCGATGTCGTTGATGTGGCTGGTTAGTTTCTCTCTTAGTTCCTTAGATAAGAGATTTAATAGTAAGTGTAATTACTATGAAATGAAACATTTTCGTACCTCGACAACTGACATGTGAAAGTCCAATCGCCTGACTCCGTGCAAGTCGAGTAAGGGCAACATGGGCCTGAGAGAAGGTAGTAGAATACCGTTGGTGACCTAAAATAGGCGATAATTAATTTTTTGTGTATATTATAAGTTGGTAAAGTTTACCTGAAATTCTTCTATTGCTTTCAGTGGATCTGTACAACTGGTTAGGGCGTTCTTCAAGTAATTTGGACCGTGAACTTTTAGGGCTTCCAAGGGAAAGTCATTTCCGCTCGCGGCGGCTCCTCTAGGAGGAACAGACATGATTTTACTAACTCGCAGTTCTATAGAGAAACTATTTTTGTGTTATTTCAGTTAAACAAAAATTTAACCTATACAACAATAACACAAAAATGACAAATGACACTAAATGTCAATAACGTCAAAAAGTCCAAAACAAAACACAGAACACTTGTTGAAGAAACACGGAACTTCTTCTTCTTCTCTGTTACATGGCCTCTTGCGTTGTGTCGCATCCGGCCAGCATATATAACACGGAACTTCAGAAGTTCCAAGCAGAAGTCCAAACAGAAGAAGAAGTAGATTTCTGTTAGTCCTATGACTTCTGTGTTCGACATTTGTCAGTTAACTAACCTAAAAAAATGTTTAAAAAGTTAATAAACAACCAGATTTTTCAAGTAAATTACGCATTGAATCCGCTTTAATTTACTAAACGAATGTATTTTAAGGTTTCGGTCAGAAACTACAAGCCCCGCAGGGCTCTAATGTACGTGCCCGGCAGCGACGAAAGGAAAATTGATAAAATTCGATCGTTGCAAGTGGATTGTGTGGCTTTGGATTGCGAGGACGGTGTGGCGTTGAATAAAAAGGCACTTAATACAAATTATAGAGATTAATTGAGTGATTTTGTATTTTACAGGAAGACGCTAGGAAGTTAATTACCGAGAAACTAAAAGACATTATACCTACTGCTCGAAATGATGTAGGAGTACGAGTAAATTCGATAGACAGTGGACTATGCGAAGAAGATATTAAATCTTGTTTATCCGGATCACATTTACCACACACTTTATTATTACCTAAAGTAGAAACCACCGAACATCTAAAATGGGTATTTCAACAACGAAATTACTTTAACAATCCGTTAAATTTTACTATCGTAGGTTGCAGATAAACTAAACAACACGTTAGAAACGGGACAGAAGATAAATCTTATCATTTACATCGAATCTGCTATAGCTTTTATTAATTTACATGATATATGCAAAACGGCTGCGAGTCTTTCTGAGACCGGTAAATTCACTCCAACTAGCCTAGTATTCGGTAGTGACGATTTTTGCGCTAGCATAGGTGCGTAATTTCCCTATCTAATTTAAACCAAACATTCTACTGTTATTTACCGAAGGTGCCACGAGGACGGAGAACTCCAACGAAATCCTCTATGCAAGGCAAAAACTAGTTTTATACGCCAAAGCTTTCAATCTACAAGCCATAGATATGGTATATATTAAATACAAAGGTACACTAGCTAGATAATTTAGCTAATTTATGACTAATTCGCTTTGTAATTCAGACCCGGACGGTTTGAAAAGCCAATGCGAAGAAGGCATGCGAATGGGGTACACAGGCAAGCAAGTAATTCATCCGAATCAAATCGGTATAGTGCAGGAATCTTTCATGCCTTCGATCGATACCATCGAATGGGCCCAAGGGCTTCTAGATGCTTTCGAAAGGCACCAAGCTACGGGAAAAGTAAACAAACAAATCCTATAAAAATTGTACTAAATTTGATTGGTTTATTTTTTAGGGTGCTTTTACATATAGAGGAAGCATGATCGATATGCCTACTATGAAGCAAGCGAAAAATATCATAGATTTAATTCAATCTGTTAAAAAAAAGGATCCCGTGAATAATTAGAGCTATTCTAATTATATCGATAAGTAGCCGAATTACCTCGATGTAACAGGCTGCGTTGGGAGATGATCTCTAGTGGCCGTTTAACCGAGTAGTATATGAAATGTCATCGATTAGAAATGTCAAATTTGACATAATCAATTGTTTTTGTTTTGTAATTATTTACACAAGCAAGGAAAATTATAGTTTCTGATAAATAGCTGAGTTTATACAGATGAAGAACGTTGTATGGGAAATGATTTCAAGAGTGGCAGTATAACCGAGCAGTTAATGAAATGTCATCTATTAAAAAAAGTAGAAGTAAAATCAAATGTGGCTGTATAACTGAGCAGTTAATGAAATGTCATCTATTAAAAAAAGAAGAAGTAAAATCAAATGTGGCTGTATAACCGAGCAGTTAATGAACTGTCATCCATTAAAAAAAGAAGACTTGAAATATAAACATAACCTATAAATAATCGTTTTGTTTTGTATTTTGCACATACATAAATAACAAAAATGAGCGAAGATAATGGTCCTCCGGCTAAAATAATAAAATTAGAAGGTACTACATCACACAATAAACACTTATAAATGATTCTAACGATTATAATTTTCAGAAAAACCTCCTAGCATTCCGGCCAATAAACCAACAAGTTCGAGTAAGTAGTCTCTTCACAAATCGTACATTATTAACACAATTAAAACTTTTGCAGGTAACGTAAGATTGTGCCCGTATTTAGACACAATCAACAGGCAATACTTGGATTTCGACTTCGAGAAACTCTGCTCGGTGTCCCTCACCAGAATCAACGTGTACGCCTGCTTGGTGTGCGGGAAATACTTCCAAGGAAGAGGCACCAACACCCACGCGTACACCCATTCCGTAGCCGAAGGTCACCACGTGTTCCTCAATTTACAAACGTTGAAGTTCTACTGTTTACCGGACAATTACGAAATCATCGGTAGGAAGTTACAACGATCGTTGTATCGATTAATCGAACTGTTAAATTCGTTGTAGATTCTTCGTTAGACGATATAAAGTACGTTTTGAATCCCACGTTCACCGAGCTGCATATCACCAATTTGGAATCCTCTACGAAACTATCCAGAGCAATCGATGGGTCGCTGTACGTCCCCGGTATAGTAGGCTTAAACAACATCAAAGCGAACGATTACTGCAACGTAGTGTTGCAGGTAAGTCGAATCGATCGATTAATATTTTTTAATGTAAACGTGTAACATCGCAGGCTTTGTCTCGCGTCACTCCGCTCAGGAATTATTTTTTGAGAGAAGAGAATTACGGCAATGTCAAGAGACCGCCGGGCGATTCATCGTATCTGCTCGTGCAGAGGTTCGGCGAGCTGATGAGGAAATTGTGGAATCCCCGGAACTTCAAGGCGCACGTTTCGCCACACGAAATGCTCCAAGCCGTCGTGTTGTGGAGCAAAAAGAGGTTCCAGTTCACCCAACAAGGTTTCCAACCGCTTCGATTCGACGCTTCGTTATCGTTTGTAATCGAGTGTATCGTTTGTAGGTGATCCGATCGATTTCTTGTCGTGGTTCATCAACGCTCTGCACAAAGCCTTGAACGGCGGCAAGAAGAAAGACAGTTCGATAATCTACAAATCGTTTTTGGGCAACATGAAAATCTACACGAGGAAAATACCTTCGTTGGATTTGAACGAAAAGGAGAAGAAGACTTTATTGGCTACGCCCGAGTACCAAGAGATCGAAACGGAATCGCCTTTTTTGTATTTAACTTGCGATCTACCGCCACCGCCGTTGTTCATCGATGAATTCAGAGAGAATATCATTCCTCAGGTACGCATTTTACGAGGGTAGTGTGAAAAATTATCGCCCTGATACACTCCGAGGGCGCTGCTGGAACATTTAGGACTGTCTAGAACTATTCAGACTGCTTCAGAGCCATTTAGAATGCTCCAGAATCATTTGGAACGCTTCAGAATGATTTAGAACGTTCCAGAATCATTCAGAACACTCTAGAACAATCTAGAACGTCCCAAAATCATTAATTTAGGACTGGCCGAGAACTTTTCACCTTACCCTTGAATTTGTAGGTGAATTTGTATCAACTCTTAACGAAATTCAACGGGCAAACGGAGAAGGAATACAAAACATACAAGGAAAATTTCATGAAGAGGTTCGAAATAACGAGATTACCGCCTTACCTTATTTTATACATCAAGAGGTTTACCAAAAACACTTTTTACGTCGAAAAAAATCCTACTATTGTGAATTTCCCAGTTAGGTGAGTATACCGTTTTAAATACTGGGTGTCCCAATGAAAACTATCCCATTTAATCAGCTCATAACTTTTAAACGATTAGTTTATTACAAGTTAGAGACGCGAGTTTAAGGTTAAAATGGAGCTCTGAATATGGCCAAATGTTGAATATTTCTCTTGTTAACATCTGTATAAACTAATCTGTTTGTAGAAACGTGGATTTTTCCGAATTTTTAACGCCTGAAATCAAGGCGAAACACAAACACACCATTTACGATTTGGTGGCGAATATCGTGCACGATGGGGAACCCAATAAAGGAACCTACAGGGTTCATATATTACAAAAATCAACGGGTCAATGGTACGAGATGCAGGATTTGCACGTAACTGATATTTTACCGCAAATGATTACGCTAACTGAAGCTTACATACAAGTGTACGAATTGAGGACGACATAATGATTTTATTTTTCTAATGTGTTTGTATTTTGTTAATATTTTGTCTCTATTTTGTATTTAACAGTAGTTAAGAGAATAAAAATGTCGTTGAATGTGTTTTGTTTTATGTAATTTGTACTCGAATTTTATTAAATCTTAACAGTTTTAAATAAAAATGAACCAGTAGGTATGATGGTCGGCAGACCTATCGCTCACATTGAATCCTCGCTCCTTTTCTAGCACACCCCGAGTTTATTAAAAAAAATACCCAAAACTTTTTCAACGTAATTTGTAAAAAATCGGAAGCCATTAAAAGCAAAACGATCATATGAGAAACCATATATCTTTAGTATATTATCTATGTGAGAAACAAATATAAGATGTACAAGTAGTTTGTGTCAAACGTTTGAAAATCTCACGATAAAACGCGAATTTAAAATTTCGTATTAGGAGAGCAGAATGTGTGAAGAGGTTTACTCCTGATACTTATTACTCGCGCGTTCCTAATACAATAGTTAGGCAACCAGAATTACCAAAATTCGTTTTAATGGTTGCCTATCAATTGTATTAGGAACGCGCGAGTAATAAGTATCAGGAGTAAACCTCTTCACACATTCTGCTCTCCTAATACGAAATTTCAAATTCGCGTTTTAAAGATCGAAATTTTCGAACTATCGACAAAACTGTTATCCGCGCGTTCCTAATACAATAGATAGGCAACCGATAAATCGAATTTTGGTAATTCTGGTTGCCTATCAATTGTATTAGGAACGCGCGAGTAATAAGTATCAGGAGTAAACCTCTTCATACATTCTGCTCTCCTAATACGAAATTTTAAATTGTCTCGTTTTAACTCGAGATTTGCGCACAAGTTTTGTTGTCGATCACCATTAATAAATTTTCCTTGGTTATTAGGCAAGGAGAATATGCAAAGAGGTTATAATTATCAGGCGATATATGGGAAATGACTAGTCCTGGATGAATCCTGTATTAATAAAGATTCTAAACATTTTTTTTGTTCGTTAAATCGCATTATCAAAGCAAATTTCGGGCATTACCAATGGTTTATTTATGCTATAGCATAAATGATTAGTAAATTGAATATAAGTCTTTTGGCACATCCTGAATCCTTAATTTAGGGAATAAAAATGTCGTTGAATGTGTTTTGTTTTATGTAATTTGTACTCGAATTTAATTAAATCTTAACGGTTTTAAAAGAAAAATACAAAACGACAGAATTATTTTTCGAATTTTTTATTTAATACATAACAAAAGTCATATAGCTAATAATATGTATAAGTAATTACGCAATTACTCAGCACACTCGATAAATCACACGGTTTTTTTTATAATTGTATAATTTTTCGAAAAATTCGCCCGTTTTCCAAAATTCCGGCGGAAAAAAATACAATTTATATGAGGGAAAATTATTTCGGAAAACCAGCGAAAAATTCGCCATATTTTCTTTTTAGAAATTTATTATTTTTATTTCGTCAACATCCAAACATTTATTTACCTAAATTTAAGCTATAATTCCAATTAGTAAATTCTAATAAAAATTAACTAGGACTTTTCGAAAACAAAAAGAAAATATTACACTAAGAAACATTTAGGCGTTATTATTCTAAATTAAATTAAAAAGTAAAAACGGCCATTTAAGTTTCGGACACACAGCGAATTTGTTGATTTTGTTATTTAGTCTCCAACTATTGACAACACTGTTTTTACCACTAAAAATCACTTTATTCGAAGCTATTTATAAAAAGAAGAAAAAAATAATCTATTCCCCTAAAAGGCTTCGCTCGAAAAAACATTTTTGTACGTAACTTTCATTTTTTTTTTCGTTAAAATAATTTACTTACAAGAATTATCAACAGATCGAATTACAGTCGAAAATATTTCATCGCGTTACCTGCGCATGCGCATCTTTTTACAGTATAATTATATTATCATTATTACAATATTATTTTATATCACATTTTGTTGTCGAAAATGCGCATTCTCGACACGTTTTCTTTATATAATAAAAATAAAACCGAAAAGAAAAAGAAAGAAGAAATTCTCCAACAGTTTCTGCACGCAAACGAACGAAGGGTAGAAAAGTTCCATTAAAAAAAATAGCAATAATAACAAACGAGCACCCAGAAAGTGTCAATTACTTTCGTTCCAAACATTTTTCCAGACAGCTGTCAAAAATCGTTCTCGGTAAACTGTCATCTGTCACTCTAAGTAACAATCACTTTGTGAAAGTGTCAACTATCTCTTTCTATCTCTCTCTTGAAAAACAAAACTGAACTGGATAGGGAGACAGAGAGAGAGAGATTGCAAATAATTTTGCAGTGTTTGAGGATTTTTGAAGTTTTCGATGAATTTTGCAAATTTTGATGAATTTAGCAATTTTTGGAATTTTGATAAAATTTGAAATTTTTTAAGATTTTTGCAATTCTTCAGGATTTTTGAATTTTTGAGTATTGTCCTTGATATCTCGTCATTCCATAGAAACTGTCATCTATTTCTACCTTGAAAAAAAAAAACAAAACGGAACTCTTCCCACCTCCCACCTCTCTCTCACTCTATTTCTCTATCTCTCTTCCTCTCTCTCTCTCTCTCTCTCTCTCTCTCTCTCATACACACACACACACACACTTTCCTAATGGCTGGCGATGAAACAATCGAGTCGCGCCGGAACCACGCCCCTATACGGTATCTTGAACTGTCTGATGACGCGCGCGCACGCGCAACTCAGTCTCGTATACTCGACGGTATTGACGTATCTATGGACAGGTTGATCTTGCAATAAATCGGCGAAGGTGGCGCCCTCGGCGTTGGTCGCGTCGATGTGAGCGCCCTCTGCGAGCAACAGACGAATCAAATCGACGGGCGGCGGCGCCTCCGCTTTCGACGACGCCGCCAAATGGAGGGCGGCGTTGCCGTCGTCGTCCCGTTCGTTCGGATCGGCGCCGACTTTCAGCAGCACCTAAGCGACCACAAAGAGACGAAATATGAGTCTATGATAAGTCTTAAATGAGTCTAAAAATGAGCCTATTTTGAGTCTAAAATGAGTCTATATCGAGTCTAAATAAGTCTTTGAGCTAAATTGAGCTTTATATAAGTCTAAAATGAGCATATGATGAGTCTAAAAATGAGTTAAAATGAGACATTGGGCTAAATCAAGCTTTATATAAGTCTAAAATGAGCATATGGCGAGTCTAAAAATGGATTAAAATGAGTCTAAATGAGCCTGTGAGCTAAATTGAGCTTTATATAAGTCTAAAATGAGCCTATGATGAGTCTATAACAAGATACTATATATAATGGACCCAAATAATTCTAAAACAAGTCCAAAATGAGTCTAAAACGATTCTAATGAGTCCAAAATGAATCCAAAAATTAGTATGGATCCAAAACCAGTCTAAGTCTATCCAAAATTAGTGTGAAATGAATATAAAGTGAGTCAATAATGAGTAACAAATGAGTCTATAATAAGAGACCTATATATAGAGACTATAATAAGTATAAAATGAGTCAAAAATTATCCTAAAGCGAGTCAAAAATGTGTCCTAAAATGCGCTCAAAATGAGTCCAAAATAAGTCTAAAATTATCCAAAAATGAGTAAGTAAAAAATACCTATAATTGAGTAAAAACGAGTCATTAAAGATCCCAAAATGAGTCTAAAACTCGTCTAAAATCGAGTCTAAAAAAAAAACCAATTTACCCTAGTCAAATGCGTGGAGGGAAATTCGCAGGCGGGATACCGTCCGAACAGGGCCGTATCCTTGCAACAGGCCAAATGCAATACGGTCCTGCCCCCTTTGGCTTTCGCCTTTAATTTCACCAAATCGTAGATGGCCCGGTAAATGTCCTGCGTCATTCGTTCGTCATCGTTGACTTGATGATCGAGTAGCCTCGTCAGCAGGCAAGCCAGATGCAACGTGATGAACATGACTCGCGTCAAATAGTCCGATTCCGATTTGGATTTCGTCAGTTTCGCTACTGTTTCGGAACCTAGAAGGAATAAACGGAGATAAATTTTTAATCGATTTGAAGTTTTTTTAGAGGGTTCGTTAGAGGTTTTTAGTAGTTTTTTTATAGGTCGTTTTTTGGATGGTTTTTGATGGTTTTTAAAGAGTTTCTAGAAGGTTTCTGAGGGAAGTTTTAGAAGGTTTTCTAGAGAATTTTTTAGAAGTTTTAAGAGGAAATTTAGAGGGTTCGTTAGAGGTTTTTTAAGTAGTTTTTTAAAGGATTTTTTAGTATTTTTTAGTGGGTTGTTAGAGGTTTTTTTAGGAGTTTTTTTAAAGGAGTTTTTAGAGGTTTTTAAGAGGATATTTAGAGGGATTTTGAAGGTTTATTTTCAAAAAAAAAAGACCTAAATTCTCTTACCAGACTCCACCTCTTTGACGGCCTTCTTGAACACCCTGAGTATCTCCCGAGCATCGACAGATGGCACGACGAGCGCTCGAGCGCCTCGATGTTTGCCCTCTTCGCACATCATAAACGAAAAGAGCTCCGTGAAACCGTAAAGGCTGCTTTGCGTCATCGGATTGAGCCTTTCGAGGACCTTTTGTTGCATGTCCAATGCGTAATTCCACAATTCGATGCACCGGTCGAATTTACCGGCGTCCGCGTACACGGCGCCCCTGCGACATCCAACGAAAAAGTTTTTGAGTTTTTTTTTTTGAGTTTGGGGATGTTATTCGAATGGGGAAATTGTAGGGGAATGTTTTGGAATGTTTTGTCTACGAAATGGTGAAAAATTGGTGCTTCTATCTCTTTTGGTTTTCGAGATAATTGGGTTTTTTTGTGGAATTGTACTACAGTTAAGTTGCGTATATTTTTGGAAAAACTAGAAATATTTAGGAAATTTGGGGTTTTTTCGAAATTATTCAAATTACGAAATTGTAGAGGAATATTTTCTTTACAAAATGGTGAAAATTTGATTTTTATATCTCAATTTGTTTTTAAGATAATCGCGATTTTCTTATAAAACAGAAGTAGAAATTAAGCATTTTTATGACATAAAAATCCAAATAATTTAAAAACTCAGCATTTTTTCGAAATTATTCAAATTAGAAAATCGTAGAGAAACCATTTCTCTACAAACTAGTGAAATTTCGGCGTTTCTATCTCAATTAGTTATCGAGATAATCCCGTTTTTTTTTTGAAGCACCAACAGTCAACAAAAATAGCGAAAGCCCATCATACGAGGGACAGTCGAAAAGTCCCAATTTTCATTATTTCCACCGACCTGTATCTAATAAAATAACTCGTATCCGGATGAGCCGGTCCCAAAATCCTTTCTCTAATCACCAATGCCTGCATTCTCATCCTATCCGGATCAGCCAACAAATCATCCAGCCCTTCCAAATCGTCGATTTCCGTCACGTTATCGTAGGCGGCGATTTTCTGCGCATGCGGCTTCGGTATCGCCTCGCCGACGCCATCTTGATAATATCTAAACAAAAAAAAAAAGAAGAATAAAAATTAACAATTCAGAACCATTTAGAACGCTCCAAAACCATTCCAGAACAATTTAGGCAGCCCTAAAACTATTCCAGAACCACTCCGGAGCCATCCAGAACCATTTAGTACGCTCTAAAACTATTCCAGAAACGTCCAAATACAGTTAGAACGCTCTAAAACCATTCCAAAACTGTCCAGGACCCTTCCAGAATCATGTAAAACGCTCTAAAATAATTCCAGAACCGTCCAGATACATTTAGAACGCTCTAAAACCATCGCAGGACCGTCCAGAATCATTTAGAACGCTCTAAAACCATTCCAGAACCATTTAGAACGCTCTAAAACCATTCCAGAACCGTCCAGAACCATTTAGAACGCTCTAAAACCATTCCAGAACCGTCCAGAACCATTTAGAACGCTCTAATACCATTCCAAAATTGTCCAGGACCATTCCAGAACCATCTAGAACGCTCTAAAATCAATCCAGAACCGTCCAGACAGAAAATTAATCAATTTAACCCCCATTATACCTTTCCATTAAAGCTCTCTTCCACAAATCGATGGCGCCCAACATGTCGCGTTTCCGGTCGACGCGCGTCGCCCCCAACAATTCCAAAGCGTCGATTCTTTCCCTTCGAGATACCAAATCCGGAATTTCAATCAAGTACTCGACGATTTCCTTGTGACCCGTCACGGCGGCCGCCATCAAAGGAGTCATGCCTGAAACACGAACGCTCATTACTCAGGCTCTATCCTAGTCAAAGGTTTAAGCCTATCTTTGCTTCAAAGATAGCCCATATTCGGGCTCTATTCTAGTCTAAGGTTAAGCCTATCTTTGCTTCAAAGATAGCCCATACTCAGGCTCTATTCTAGTCTAAGGTTAAGCCTATCTTTGCTTCAAAGATAGTCCATACTCAGGTTTTATTCTAGTCAATGTTTAGCCTATACTTAGGCTCGATTCTAGTCAAATGTTAAGCGTATCTCTACTTAAAACATAGCCCGTATTCAGGCTCTATTTTAGTCAACGTTTAGCTTCTCAGGCTTCCTACAGATTTCCAAATAAGGCTACTTACCGTAGGAATCGACGTCCATTTTGGCGCCGTGTTCGAGCAACAGCTTCAAGGCTTCCAGGCTGCCGGATTCGGCGCAATCGTGCAACGCCGTATTACCTTTGACGCTCTTCTTGTTGACGTCGGCGTTCAAGCCTAACAGGTATTTGGCTATTTTCAGGTGGCCTTTGTAGCAGGCTATCATCAGGCACGTGTGGCCGTGTCTGGAACAAGCAACAAGGTAATTAGGCTTCGAAAAGGTCTAGGGAACCTAACGGGAACCTATTGACCTATAGAAACCTATAGGCATTACTCTTCTAAGGCTACCCGACATATCTAAGGAGCGACAGGGAACACACCGGTTCTTTTTTCGGAGGCTCTTGACTATTTTAAGACTTCCAAGGCTACACCACCCATCTAAGGCTATATGATCCATCTCAGGCATCTAAGGCTATATGCTCCATCTCAGGCTTCTAAGGCTACCTGACCCATCTAAGGCTTCTAAAGCTACCCGACCCATCTAAAGCTTCTAAGGCTACCCGACCGTTCTAAGGCTACGTATGACCCGTATAAAGCTTCTAAGGCTACCTGGTCCAGCTAAAGCTTCTAAGGCTACGTTACCTGTTGGCCACTTCGATGTCGGCGCCGTGCTGTACTAAATATTGGACGATGTCCAAGTGACCGTCGAAGCAGGCCGCCCTCAACGGCGTCGAATTGGTGCGTGTGGTCGTGTTGACTTTGGCGCCGTGCAAGATCAGCAATTTTACTATGGCTAAGTGGCCGGCGGCGGCGGCGCACCAAAGGGGCGGCGCCCCTTCTATCGTCTCGCCGTCGAACATTACTGTCAACATTTAGAGGGTTTTATTTGGAGGTTTTTAGAGGTTTTTTTAGTAGTTTATTAGAGGTTTTTTTAGTAGTTTTTTAGAGGTTTTTTAGTAGTTTATTAGAGGTTTTTTAGTAGTTTATTTGAGGTTTTTTAGTAGTTTATTAGAGGGTTTTTAGCAGTTTTTAGAGGCTTTGTTAGTAGTTTATTAGAGGTTTTTAAGTAGTTTTTTAGAAGATTTTTTAGAGGGTTCATTAAAAGATTTTTAAAAGGTTCTTTAGAGAATTGTTAGAGGATTCCTTAGAAGATTTTTAGATGGTTATTTAGAGGATTGTTAGTGTGGTTTTTATACGAGTTTTTAGAGTATATTTTAAGGATTTTTTAGAGGAATGTCAGAAAGTACATGGAAGCGTAATTTTTAAAGATTTTTGAGAAATTTTTAAAAGGTCTTTAGATGTTTTTTAAGAGGATTTTTTAGAAAACTAAACGGTTCTTTCGAAGCTTATTAGATGGTTGTTTTGTTTAGTAGTAATTTTAGAGGTTTAAAAAATAATAAAAATAATGGGACACTTACCGGATCCGGGCTGTTCCAAATCGGCCTGACACTTTTCAATCAGGTATTCAGCCACATCGTAATGGCCATTTCGACAGGCTATCACCAGAGGGGTGGCGCCCCTCGTTTTGGCCCCCACCAACATGGACACCTCGTATTTGCCTTTGTTGCACTGCAAATAACTCTGGAAAAAAAATCCAGTTTTTTTTTCAAGAGGGATTTTAGAGGTTAAACAATATAGAATTGAATAATTAATAATAACCATTACGGGACGAAAATAATAATAAAATTAACATAAACGTTGAATAAACAAGATAAGTTGGCTTGGTAAAATATATGTGAAATTTTTCGACAAAGGTTTATCTAATGATAAAATTAAATAATTTGTTTTGTAAAAAAGCAGGTGACAAAACAAACATAAAAGAAAAACAAACGATACGTAATAGATAAATCAAAAAAATAAATGTTTTTAGAGCGATTTTAGATAGTTTTTAGACTATTTTTAAAGGTTTATTTTAGAGAAAGTTTATAGGTTTATAAGAGGGTTTCTATTCTAGAGTTTTCTAAAGGATTTCAAGAGGTTCATTTGAGGATTTTTAGAGGGTTGTTTAGACGAAGATTTTTGAACGATTTTTTAGGGGGTTTTAGAGGGTTGTTTAAGGAAGCTTAGAGGGCTTTTGAACCATTTTTTTAGAGGTTTATTAAGAGGATTCTTTAGAGAGGTGTTAGAGGGATGTTTATAAGATTCGATTAATTTCGATTAATTAATGAAAATCAGAATGATTCGGATAAACTAATGCTCTTATTAGCATAATGCTAATTTTATTACACATTTAATATAATAAGGAATAAAAATGTCTGATGTTTTTTCACTGTTTTTTTTTTTCTTTCGCTGATTTAACTGCTGTGTAATAGTTCATAAAATAATTAGAATGCGTATTCTGAACTTTGGACTTAATGGTATGATTCCTGGTTATTTTTTTAATATACTCTTTTATTTGACAGATTTACATTGGTTGTTATGGAGTAACTAAGGACATTTGTTTCAATTTGGTTAATTAGCATGTTAGAAAAAGACCGCAGAATAGGGACAAAAGAAGAAGAAAAAAAAATGCACGATTTTCCAGTGGTATTTAATAATCTTTCACTAACTTAATATTGCTGTGTAATAGTTCATGAAATAATTAGAATGCGTATCGTGAACTTTGGACTTAATGGTATGATTCCTGGTTTTTTTTTTCTTTAATTATAATATATAATACGCAACGAATACAATCGAGATCAACATAATCCCCCATTAATTCGCATATAAACGCTTTAGAGCGACTACAAGATTGTTAGAAAGATATCGAATATGGGAAATACAAAATAAAACGTGCAATTTTCTGGTGTATTGCATTTGACGTTTTGCATGGAAAATTATTCGCATTTATTGCTTAAATTACGCACCTAGTTTGTTTAAATAATCAATTAAAAACGAGTTAATTACATGTATCCGTACAAATTTTTATAAACTGGTTACATATGAATACTGCGTATTCTTTCAAAAAAATTTCAATTGAAAAGTGTTTAGATTTTCCGAATCGACCAGATTCCTTCTATTTTTAAACCGTTTTTCCGTGGAAAACTCTCGTAAACGCGAAAATAAACATTGCGTAAATATGCCTGTATTTTTAAATACATACAGGTTGATTCATTTTAGTTTGCTATATAGATTTATACATTTTTGATCACACCATAAGTTATATAGGCCATGGGTGCGATAAAGACAACATCCATTAGACACTTACAAAGGAAAAGGAAAGAGTGACATTTGTGTCATTGCAACTTTTCACTCTGACAACTGTCATTTTAATAATCTTTAACAATCTGTGTAAACTACGTGGGTAGGGTGACAAGTTCCCGGCCTGAATCGTTCTAGAACTGTCTAGAACCATTTTAGAACGCTCCAGAATCGTTTAGTATGACTTAGAATGCTTCAAATTCATTTTAGAACTGTCAAAAACCAAAAAAGAGTTGAATTCGTTAGAAAAGTCAATTGCGCCCGATTCTTTGGAATAAGTCAATTGCCCTTATTAGATGATTTTCAAGCTATCAAAGAAATAAGTCAATTGCGCCTATTGGTCGATTTTTTTTTATCATAGGTATAAGTCAATTGCTCCTGATTTTTTTTTAATCGAGGATATTTCGAGCGAATCGCGCCGAGACTCGGTTTACTTTCCAATAAAATTTCGCGCCGAAAAATATTTACCAAGGCAAACGATGTTGTTTTGTTTTGTTTTTTTCGTCAATTTTTTTTTATTAGTTTTTTTTTGTACTCCGTATATAAATTACGTAACGTAAACAAACATCAAATTCTGGTCGAGTAAAGGTTGAAATTTATAAAAATCCATTCACCGAAAAACTATCGAAAATTTGGTCCGTTTCAAGGATATTATGCAAATTTTCATTATGAGGTTATTGTAGGTTGAAATTTGTTTTGTATATACGAGGGGGAACGCAAATGATTTGCGAAAGTGAGAAAGAAACTCGTATGAAATCTAAAAATAGCGATTTAGAACAGTTAAGAAGTATTCAGAACTATTTAGAACAATTTGAAAGTGTTCAAAAAAATCTAAAATGATTTATAAATGTTCCGAACTATTTAGGATTCTTTAGAACTGTCCAGGATAATTTAGAACGCTTTTAGAAATAATTCGAAGACGAAAAAATGTCGAATCGGTTTTACAATTAGAAACAATAAATAAAACAAAAACATATAAATAATATATCGCAATTGAATCATTGTGGAAATAAATAAATTTCAAATCACGGTCGGCGACGATTTGATTATTATGGGAATGCAGGAAGAAATAATTTCGAGATCGTTTCTCTCGATAAATTACGCACGTTACACAAGAATAAAATAACGTAAACGTATAATAGAATAAGGAAATTACATTTTTTTACTTTTACGTAAACGTGAGTAATTAGCGCAATAATAACACGTCATTATTTATGCGCTTGCGAATCGATTAAAGTTATAGAAAATTCGGCACGAAAGTGATTCATTCTATTTTAAAAGAACTGTTTAAAATGTTTTCGAACCGTCCAGAGGATAATTCAGAACGCTTTTTGAACTGTTCATATAACTGTTTAGAATGCATTAGAACTGTTTATAACTATTTAGAACGTTTTAGAACTGTTCGAAGATAATGTAGAACGCTTTAGAAGTGTTCAGAACTATTTAGAACAGTTCTAAATGATTCTAGATAGTTCTACGTGATTCTGGACAGTTCTAAATCGTTCCAGATAGTTTTTTTTAACGAATTCGACTCGTTTTCTAATCGATTTTCGGCAATTTTCGAGATTTTTACCGATTTAATCGAGACTTTACTTCACTGTATACTGACCTTAAATAACTCGAGAATTAGCTTTCTCAAGCGCACGCGCAGATACCTCAGCATAAAACCCGAACAAATTCCACCGAAACAAAAAAAAAACCACCAAATAAAACACTTTTAAATAAACAAATAGAAAACGAAATCGAATTTTAGCGAAGAATCGAAATTTCCAGCGATAACTCGATCAGAAAAATAAATCCGGTGCGGAAACAGTGCCGTTAGAACGGTGACTGAGTAATTGAGAGAGTGAGAGAGAGAGAAAGAGAGAAAGTTTTACTTATGCGACCGAACGAGCGAGCGAAAGAGAGCGAGAGAAAAAGTCTCGCTTACGATCGCACAGGAGCGAGAGAGACGGATAAATTTACTCGCGTGTCCGAGAAAGAGAGACTTATGGTCGACAGAACGAGAGCGAGCGAGAGAGTGAGAGAGAGAAAACGGTTTCACTTATGACTTGTTTGCAGTAAGAGGGACAAGAACCGACTGTATTTGTGTTTTTGTATATTTTGTGCGGTATTTATGCGGTCTTATGGGCACTTGTTATATACAGGGTGATTAAATTTATTAGAACAAATAATTGAAAAAAAATTGCCTTATAAACCGTTAGCCATATAAACAGTTTTGGATAGTCCTAAATGGTTCTAGACAGTTCTGGATGATTTTGGAGCATTCTAAATGATTCTGGAGCGTTCCAAATATTTCTGGAGCATTCTAAATAGTTTTAAACGGTTCTATAAATCTTATTATACTGGATAATCTAATATTTTCTAGCAAAGACTATTTACTTTATTATATAAATAAATCACCTATCTAATAATATTTTGAGACATTTTATTCGGCCACCCTGTATATATGAGAGAATTCGGTAAATACGCTCACTTCGATTTCACTTAGTTTAATCGCTTCCTAGTTTTTGATTTATGTTGATTTATTTTTTTAGACGCCTTGTATATAAGTTTTCGAAATGTCAAAGGAACAATTTAGAATCGGCGATTTTCGTTTGATTTTTTAATCAAATGGGTTTTTCCTCTACTCCTAAAAAAAACAATATACAGGGTGTCCTGAAAATAGACATAGAAATCCAGAAAATTGTCTATTTTCTGGACACCCTGTATAATATATATAATTAATTTTTTCTACTAAAATAAATTTGCTTCAGGGATTCCCCAAAAATTCCATTCCGAAAATCCCAATCCAAAAATTCCTAATACAAAATATCCGTTCAATAAATTATCACCAAATTAAAATTTATTGGTAATTAATTAATTAAAATCATTTAGAACTGTCCAGAACCATTCAAAAGGCTCCAGAATCATTCAGAACTGTCCAGAACCATTTAGAACGGTCCAAAATCAGACTGCCAACTATACGAGATAACTCGTAGACTGCGTTCTTGCCCAGGACACCCACTACGAGTTATCTCGTATTAATACAATGACGATTAAACGACCTCGGCTTCTCATATGCGGGTATTCTGAAAATTTTCCTGCCAGTCAACGGGTTAATTAATTAATTAATTTAAAAAAAAATAATTTTGCCATCGCAAAAATCTTTTGTCTCCGTTTCAATCTTTGTTCTCTTCTCCTTTCTCGTAAAAGTTTTATTTCGTACTCGACAAAGCTCAACCTTGGATCTTTTTATGTCTGAATCTTGCACACAAAGAGCCTACTGCGATTTTCTCGGCGAGTACAAATCGAAATTATTTATACAGGGCGATATTCGTAAAATAATTGAAAAGTTTTAAAAGCGAATTGAACGCCCTGTATATGGCGTATTAAAAAAAAGCAAAAAACTCATTTGAATTGAATAATTCCGAATAAAACCCCAAATTTTTTCGAAACAACTATGAATCAATAAAAGCATTTGCTAAATAATTGTAGATAATAAACTAATTGATTCACCCTGGTATTTGGTTAATAATTCAAAATCGATGTACGGGGGTAGTACGAGAAAAAATCGACCGGCGAATAAAAATATATTTTATGCGGATTTCGAGAATTTTAGATCGATTAGCACACGAAATGAAAAATAAATAACGAAAATTAAATAATTTCAAGATCGTAACCTTTCCAAGAATGGCGTAATTTTTGCGCATTTTGCTTCGTAAATTTCGAGTATATATTTTTTTTCGATTTCGAAACGCTCTCTCGCTCGAACTTGGCCGAGATTTTATTTATTTATTCGATATTCGCCCGAATTTATTATTTATATTTGCATATGAGCTTGTTAATGTAGATGAATCGATTGATCGATTATTATTAATCGAATTGTAATGTTACTAATCGGAAAATTAGTGTTAACTAATAGAGAGATGGCGAATTAGTAATTGAAAATATTTTTATACGATGCAATTTTATTAAACGTAATCGATATGTATTTATCTTTCGAGAAAATAGTTTAAAATCCTTTTTTTCCATAAAAAATACGGAAAAATCGATGTTAATTATGAGAAAAAATTGCGATTATCTTTAAAAGTCGAGATAGAAAAGCGAAAACATTCAAATTTTCGAGATATAATGTTAATTTTTATAAGGAAATTTCAATTATCTCGAAAACTAATCGAGATAAAAAACCAAAATTTCATCACTGAAGAGAAAAGGCTTTTCTGTAAATTTGTATTTTAATAATTCCGAAAAAAATGCTCAATTTTTGAGTTATTACAAAACACAACTTATTATTGCAATTCCACAAAAAAAATCCAATTTTCTCGAAAACCAGTTGAGATAAAAGCACCAAATTTTCACCATTTTGTAGAGAAAACATTCCTCTACAATTTTGTAATTTGAATAATTTCCAAAAATCTCCAAATTTCGGTGATTTTTCGAGTCTCTCAAAAAAATACTTATCTTTAGAACAGATCCACAAAAAACCTCTTATCTCGGGTTATCTCGAATCTCGAAAACCGATCGAACAAGAAACACCAAATTTTCACCATTTCGTACAAAAAAACATTCCTCTACAATTTCCCAATTCGAACGATTCCAAAAAAACCACCCCCAAAATTTCAAAAATTTTGAATTTTAACCTTATCGATTCGCAAACTACCAAAAACAACACAATTATACCTCCAAAATAACCAGCAAAACACTCCGAAATAACACGAAAATTACGAAATAACCCATCCAGAATAACCCAGGGCATTCAAAGTCATTGTCCCTATGCCTTACTAACTCACTAAACGAAAAATTCAAATTGCGATATTTACCTTCAATTTGCCCAAATTTCCATCTCTCGCCGCGTAATAAACGATGCTTTTGCTATCCATTTCCCTTTTGCGCTTTTCACACTAGATTTCCCAGCAGTTTTCCGCTCACAAAACGTCCATTTTATATCGACGAGAACGCAACAATGTCACCCGATCAAAAGCGATTCCAGCACTGTCGCAGCTGATTCGATTCCGCTCTTGCTCTTTGTATGACGTTACAATCTCGTCGTCTCTCTCTCACTTATGGGCGGTGAGCGTGAGATGGAACAAGACGACACGATTCGCCGTTGATTGGCCGTGAACTCTATGACAGGAAGAGGCTGTTAAATGTCAATTGATAAAACTTCTTTTTTATGTAAATAAGAGTTTAAAATGGTGAAAGATTAATAAAATGTTCGTGGTTTACTCATGTTTAACTGAAATGGTGAGGTTTTAATGAAATAATGCATAATTTATCTAATAAGTCTCTCGCTCTCTCAATTAAATTCGGAAAGCGTGCGTTAGAAAGGGACAACATGACTCGTCGCTGATTGTTCTACACGATTCTTCTTTTTTTAAAATGTCAATGGCTAGCTTTAGTAGTTGCTTCAGCTGAGGCCATGAATTAACGAAAAAGAAGAAGAAGATTTAATGTTTCTTAAGTTTTAATGTCGAAATTATCTATTAATACTTTAGTAAATACCAAATATTCGAAATAGCGTTTATGTTTTAGTAATTGCGGGTGAACTTTTACTCCTACATCTCTTTTTTCGTTAAAGTCATCTGTCATCTGTCATTAGCATTGGCCTACTATGCCAGATGCGTTTTTATTTTATTTAAAATGGCGTTTGTGTGTTGTCGCGTCGGTGTTTGTTGATGTGATTGAAAAACACGGTATTCTATTGCCAATTTTCACGCGAAATACCCGGAAAAATCGAAGAAACGTCCGGGAAACCGAATCGTTTGGCGCCCGTCCGGACGCGAGTCCCGCAAGTTTGTGAATTTTTAGGTTAGTTTTCCGTTTTTGGGGGTTCTTCGGTGCGAAATATGGCCACTTTCTTCCGCTTTTGCGGGTTCTTTAGCGAAATTCGAGCGTGATTCGAGTTGGCTATTATGTATCCGGCGCCTACTAGACATCCTTCGTCGACGGTGAGTTGATTTTCCTTTGTTTATACGCTGTTATAATCAATCGCATCGAGGCGGTTGTGTTTGTTAATAGATACATTTTTAATCTAATTTCGCGTTGTTAAATCTATCAAAACGAACCTTTAATTAATACGGAATAACTAATTAATTGATTAATTAGCCGCATTAGCTCGTACTCGGTCAGGTTAGGTTTGTTTAGTTTTCGAAAGCATCAGTTGGCCATGTAAACTTATCTATTTTGTTAGTTACCATGGTAAATTTGATTTACTTTTCTCAATTGGTTTATATTTCGGCTACTGTTCGAATAAAACAACTTAAATTTCTAGTAAATAATAAATTGGTTAGTTAAAGGAATTTTTGTTGCTTTCTCGGAGAGGTTCGAATTTGTTCAAAAAGCATCAGTTGGCTGTGTAAACTTGATTATCTGTTAGTTTCCATGGTAACTTCGATTCAAATGTCACAATAATGTCATAATTTCAACTAATATTAATAAATGTAAATTGAGATCCTTTCGATTATACTAACGAAGAGTAACAACACCTTAACCTATCGGTTACTTATCTATTGGTTATTCTATAAAAAATTTCGTGTAGTTCTACGTATTATTTTCTTCATGTCTAATGTAAGTATAAATAATAATAATAATAGAGTATAAAAGGAGGATCGATGAATAATAATAATAATAATAAAAAAATAACCGTTAGGAGCAAAGGAAAGGTCAATAATCTTCTTCATACAATTCTAGAAACGTTTCTTCTTCTTTTCTCGCGCCACCATTTATAATACAGGATGTCCCATTTTCCATTATACAATTCTAAAAACGTTCGAATCGAGATCACTTTTTACATCTAGTCATGACCGAAGACCAAAATTAACATTGGATTCTGGTAGATGACAGATAAAGAGTGATTATGACAGATTAACATTGATTTTGACGGGTGACAAATAAACATTGATTTTGGTAGATGATTGATAAACATTGATTTTGGCAGGTGACAGACAGGAGTTGATTCTGACAGATTCAAACGACAGCATCTCGGCGAGTTTGTGATATTTTAATACCGGGACATCCTGTATAATGTATGTTACTCGGCCGACGATAATTCATCTCATTTATCTAATGGTTTATCTGCCGGGTAAAATTATAGGCTATTAAACTAATCACACGTTTGTGCGGTTTCTGTTCCTCAAAGAATAATTTCATTTTTTATTTTTTTTTATTATTTCGCTCTTTATATGGAGGAATTTTATACATACTGCATGCATGTGTAAATATTCAGTTGTTTATTGATAGATAAATTCATAAAAAATAGTTAGTTGGCTGTATAAAAAATTATTTACGTTTTTATCGTATTTTTATCTAGAATTAATTGCAGTTCATCGAGTAGGCTCGATTTTGGTTTATTGTTTTGCAATAAAATAGTCGGCGCTTGTCACAATATACTGTCAATTTTTGACAGTAAACAGCCAACTTATCGATATTAAAAATAGACTAAAAATGACATTTATTGTTATGAAACTCTCAGAATGCGCGTTAATTCGCCCTTATTTCGAGTTATAGACGGAAAAGCCGATTTTTATTTGCATTATAAGGGCGGTTGTGTCGAGGGGTTGAGGGGGATGTTCGACAGATGTGCCTTACACTAATCACTGGGACACAACAAAACCCTACGGGGTGGCGCAAAAGGCATCAGAGGGATGATAATTTGTTAGTATATTATAGGGAAATTCTCCGTTCAGAAACTGTTTAACCACCCCTAAATTTTTCTATTAGGGGTAGCTATATAATGTACTTTATAATTTTCTTTAGTTCAAGGAAGAAATTGAATTGAAAAGAGGGCGTTGATTACGTATCTCTGTCATCTGTCAGAAATTTTGTTGATCTGTCATCTGTCAAAATTGAGTTTTCTATCTCTCATTCGAAGGGTAATGTCGGGTTAAACGAGTGGAAAAGTGCTAGTAAATAAAACGAGCTAGTGCGAAACGAAAGAAAATAATAATAATAAAAAAATATAGAAGGAGAGGGGGTTGTGGGGTGGGTGGCAAAAAGGAGTTATTTCGCTCGCAGCGTTCTAAATGCAAATTACCGGTCGGGATGGGGTGGGAAAAAAAAAGAGGAAAGAAAATCAAATTCGACCGGAGTAATGCGAGCATCAAGGGTGAGGGTTGCTGTGAAATAGGGGGTAGCGGCATTTAATATTTCGTATATTATGTTATTATTTCGATAATGTATCGTCAATTACTCGATTACAATACGTTTTTATACAAAAATCGAAATTATTTGATTAAGGGTAGTTTTTTACGCACCCTTAAACAACACCCATATAACGAATCAATTAATTGAATATCATTAATAGTAATAGTTTTTAATTAAAATTTATCAATTTTATTACGCCGAAACTTTTTTACATGCAGATATACCTTCTAAGGGTTGCGACCCCCGTCGGTGAAAAAAGCCCGTACATATTCGAAGTTATAACATACGTGAATACGTAGACGTGTATAGAGAATCAAAAAAAAAGTGTCAGTTTTTATTGATTCGTGTGTTTTGTGCGCAAAGAGTTGCATGCTCGGGGGGTGTGTTCCACCCCTTTTTTTTTTCAAGGGTGGGATTCGTCGATACGAATGTTATCTTAACCGACGGATTCTATTCGGAATCTGTACGATTTGAACTTATAGTTAAATTTAATTAGGGGTGTATATGACAAAACTACCCTTAGGTAGGTACTTGGGTTATCATTATTTACTGTTCGTCATAATTTTTTTAGTATCGTAACAACGAAAAAACGTTGACGTAATAATATTTGATTAGAAGAAACCACCCCTAAAATAAATTGTTTAAATACCAACCCCTTCTATACGCAAATATTTACTTGGTATAACTTACCTGTGGGCTTATTAAGGGCTGTTTTCGGGTCCTTGAAGCCTTCAAGTAGGTCAATTTAAGGGTGGTTTTCGTTTCGAATTTCCACCCCTTTTCGAATTAAATTTCCTGCTAGTTCTCACCCTCCGGAGTTAAAAAAGTAGGATAATCAGCCTCATTACGGGACTTCTATTTTTTATGGTCTACTAGCGATGGAATTTTGATGTTAGGGGTGCGTTTTTCAACCCCTAAATTGTCGAATGTAAATAGCAACCCCTAGTTGTGATACATCGTTGGAAAGCTGATAAAAATTGTTTTTTAATGGCACAAATCTTACCCCATATACAGGGTAAATGATATCGAAAATTATTTTTTTATTATCACGTATATTTTGATCAACTCTGAAGATGGTTATTATAATTAAAAAATCCGAAACTTTTTGTGTTTAGTTTAATTTTGTTTGTACGATGTATTAATAAATTATATCGAAAATAAACGCGAAATTCCTTTTGCCGCTTTGAAGTTATTTATTCGTTACAGTTTCTTATTTATTTTAACTGAAAAATAAAATACGAATAAATATTGATTTAGATTTATCGAGTGGGCGAGTGTTTGTGGAGTTTTCATCGGATTTTTCGCGCGAAAAATTAATAATAACAGAATTTTCTTCAATTTCTTTCATCTTCTCCAAATTGCTCCGAGATTATTCGGTAACCGTTACTTTTTCCAAACTTCCACCTCTAATACCTGTTAATTGCGCTAATTAGATAGGAAAAATGCATTGGAATAAAGATGGGCGTTGTTAGAAATAACTGTTACTTCGAGACACTTAAAACGAATTAAAAAACAACCCTTAAATATCAAAAAAACACTTTTACAGCAACTAATTTATTCATTTGCAACCCTTATTTTGTTCCGATTAAATCTCTTAAATAGCTAAATAGCAAATCGAGACCCCTCGACAATATCGCCCCGATTTACCCGAAAAACCACCCTTACATTTACCACTTAGAGCGACAGGAAGGAATCGAATAAAACGCACCCTTGATTTTTATTTTGCTCGTTAGATAGGGGGTGTAAACAAAGAGATAAAATGCAACAAAATGCAACAAAACTAGTATTAACATATACATCATAAGGGTTGATTTTTTTTCGTTTGTTTTAGATAAATTAAATGTCTTATGGGGGTGGTAAATTAGGGCTATTCTCTCGACAATATTATCCCTTTCTTGGAGACGAAAAATTAATCACGAATTAACAGCCCCCAATTCCGCTGTCTCTTTCGCAAATTCCACCAGGGGTGGTTCGATAGAAAATCTTCACCCCTACGACAAATACCAGAAATTAGTTCGATAACGGATACGAAATTAAAATATACCTACGCGTCGATTTAGGGGTTGTTTTTCGACGCGTATAAGGGTGCGTATATGGGAAATAAAGTGATTACAAGGGGATGTTTCTTTGTAGCTTTACCTATTTATTTTCTTAGGCGGGTTTTGCAGGTATAACGGGGGTGAATCGGTCTGTTATAGGGGATGAAACGGACAATTGCCCTTCGTTAAGGAATATATTCGATATATTCGAACAAAAACGATCTCAATGAATGAATTGGGGGTTGTTTTTTGAGAGGAATCACCCTGTATTTATTTCTTTTATTGTAATAAAATTGTAATAAAATTCGCCGGGGTTATTTTGGTTAATACGGCCCTGCGTAAATGTGCTCTCGGGGTGTTTTAACAAGGGTGTAATAATTTTTGGGGTGAATTGCGCGGGGAGTTTTTAAGTATATAACTTTGATTGAAATTTAATTTGAGAGAATTCGAACAGGGCCGGCTCGGACATTTGGGTTTTTTTTTGGTAGGATTTCTATTGGAAAATTCTAGAGGGGTGATTTTCTACAAAATGTTTTTTTTTTATCTCAATTAATTTTCGAGAAAATTGGAGTTTTTGATGGAATTGCATGATGGAAATGCACTAAAGATAAGTTGTGTATGTTTTTTGAAAAACGCGAAATATCTCGGAAATTTGGGGTTTTTTCAAAATTACTTAAATTATCGGATTTGTAGAAAAATCTTTTGTCTACAAATTGGTGAAAACTAGATTTTTCTATCTCAATCGGTTTTCGAGATATTTGCAATTTTTGTCGAAATCGCACTATATATACACGAGTTCTGCGTTTTTTCCGAAAAACTCAAAATATCTCGAAAATTCCGCATTTTTTCGAAATTTCTCAAATAACAAAAATTGCAGAGAAACATTTTCTCTACAAAACCCACATAACTCCTACGCCAATGGCTCTTTAACCGGCTCAAACAGCACAAAACACGGAACGCACGGGACACCAATCTCCCTCCATTTTCAGCGATTCCCGTTCAGTTTCAGCGCTGTTTTTCAGCCTTTCAGCCTTTCAGTCGCCTCTCGACCGCCGAGCGGGCAATTTCCCCATTTCTTCATCACCCTATAAAGTTTTTTTTTCGGTATTTTTCTCACGAGTTCACGTCCGGTCGGATGCGTAGCCACCGCGATAGATCCGTCCCGCGCGTTTTCCGGGCGGTTTTTCGAGCTTTTCGCCGGTAAAATCGCGCGGGAAATATTTTTTTCGAGTTTTCGCGTTCGTGCAAATTCCGAGTTTTTGTTATGGATGTGAATGTGCATAAACGGATGCAGTTTTCGTGCGGATGGATTGATTCGATCGGGGATTTTTATGGGATTTCGTAGACATGTTTAAGACGGTAAATGGGCGTTTGTTTTGTTCGGAATTGGCGTAAAAATTGGCGAAAATATGCTAAAAAAATATATAATTTAATTTTTGGTAATTTTCCAAAATTCCGTGAAATTGGTACGAGTGATTAATAAAATTTGTTCTTCAATTTCTTCAATTTTTCGCGTAATTGCGGTTTCTGCTAAAACAATCGAGTATACAGAAAAAAAACTGCCAAATAAGCACACTTGATGAAATTCTAGTTTCTGCTTAAATTGCGAAATAATTTAGTTTTTTTTGCACCTATTTCGAAATTTAATCTAACTTAACAACAACACATAATTTCCGCGAATTCTATTTATTTTATATTTATATTTAATATTTATTTTAATTTTTTTTTTCAGGGTCCGCCACCCCAAGGCGGTCAAATAAAATTCACCATAGCGGACACGTTAGAAAGGATAAAAGAGGAATTTAATTTTTTGCAGGCGCAATATCACACGTAAGTAAAAAAAAATGCATTAAATTTTATCTGGATTGTGTTTTTTATCGGGCTCGAATTAAACCTGAAACAGGCCCTGTTTAAGTAAACAAAAATCGCCGCTTTAAACAGGACGCGTAAGAGTGAAATAGAAGCAGAGGAAAAGAGATAAATTGAAAAAAAAAATCTGAATTATATTTTTTGAAATTATATTTTATATTTAATTACTTATCATTTAAAAATTGGGCTCGAATTAAACCTGAAACCGGCCCTGTCGACTCGCTTCATTCACGGCACTCTACGCCGGTTTTTTTTGTAATTACCTCATGATTCGAATAACAAAACAAAAAATAAATAAACAAACAGAGACGGCAAACGAAATCCGGGGTTTAAATGGGTGGTGTAAGAGAGAAAGAGAGATGGGAGAAATGGCGATAAATTAAATGCGACCCGATGCAGCCGTATGCACTTTTATATGCACTTTTAACCCGTTGCCGCGGCAACGCTGATTCGAAATTATTTGTTTTTTTTTAATTTTTTTATTTTAATTTTAATTTCCATTTTAATTCCATTCGCAGGTTAAAACTAGAATGCGAGAAATTAGCTAGCGAAAAGACTGAAATGCAACGGCACTACGTCATGGTAAGTTTATTTACGAAGTAACTGTTACTTTTGCGACACCTCTATACCGGAAAATCCGTTCCCGCCTCTATTAAAGAACTGTCGTTAACGTCATTTTTTTTGACAGTTGCGATTGTTTACCTACCGTATGTACCATCGAGGGCAACTTAAAGTCCTGGCGTGAAAAATGTGGTAAAAGAGAAAGAGAAAATATAATCATAAATCGCAGGAGGCGTTCGAAAGATGCTTATCGAAATGGAAAAAAGAGACTAATAAGATAGAAAGAGATGCAGACTTTTTATCGCTTTTTTGTTTGTTATAGTCAAGTCGAATTGGGTTAAGATTTTTCTTCTTCTGTTATAGCCAAATCGAATTGTGTTAAGATTTTTTTTCTGAAATATTCCCTACAACTTACACAACTGCATAAATTTCGGAGATACACAATTTAATTTATTCAAACACAATCTTTATGGCCATTTTTACGGCTAATTTGCCCGGCCTACTTTTTGGTTTTGTATTATTTAATCTTTTTCGGCTACATCTCGGGCGGCTTTTGATGAGGGCCCAAACTCACGTTGCCTTTTACCTGGCCAGGTAAAGGCCACTTAAATTCAACCGTACATAAAAATGCCGGCATAAATAATATACCCATATAGACCCATATTAATGGCACGGGGTATGATTAATAAAAAATTCGAGAATTTTTAGACAAGAAAACCGCTAGATAATTGCAATTATAATTGCAATTACAAGAATAGAGAAGAGTAGAGTAGAGTATAATCAAAGTAGAGTAGATTAGAGTAGACGAGAATAAAGGAGAGTAGACTAGATTCAGGGTACATTCAGAGTAGAGCAGGTTAGATTAGGGTGAAGTAGAGTATAGAGAAGAAAAGAGTATATTTAAAATAAAGTAGAGTAGAGTAGATTCAGAGTAAAGTAGAGTATAGATTAGACAACTTTCAGAGTAATTTAGATTAAAGGAGAGTAGCATAGCGTAAATTAGAGAAGAGTAGAGTCAGAGTAGAGTAGATTAGAGAAGAATAAAGTAGAGCATAGTAGATCAAACAAGTTTCAGAGTAAAGTAGAGTAGAGTCAGAGTAGATTAGATCGGAGAAGAGTATACTAGATTTAGAGTAGAGCAAAGCAGGATGGCAAAATTAAAAATTATTACAAAAGCCCAGAAATAACAAAACGAACGAAAAATCAAAAAATTTAATAACAAAATAAACAAAATGGCGCCCAGCTCGAGACGAAACACGAGAAAAAAAAAACCACCCCCCGACGATTTCCACGTAATAACACCGACAATAATTGATCGTTTCGATGTCACCTCGCCCTCTTCGAGGCGTCGGGACGTCCCCGAGACGTCTCCCCCGTCATCGAGACGGTCGGGGGGGAGATGGGGGAGATGGGGGAGGTGGAGTGAGGGGGTGGAGCGGGAGAACAGAGTGACGAGAAGAGCGGGAAAACGGGAGTTTTGTATCGATTACCATCCCCCGGCTCGACAAGGTGCTTGTCACATACACATACACACACACCAGCGATACATATAGACGTTTATTTATGGGTTTTACCGCTTTAACCCCTGCTCTTTTATACAGGGCGTTCCGAAATGACGTGCTAATATTTATAAAGGGGTGGTTCTTGACTTCTATATGAAGTGGTGATTCTATGAAGGGTTTTTTCTTCTTCTTTGAAATGAGTCGAAGATTCACCCTTTTAAATATCATTATGGAACACCCTGTATACAGGGTTGGTTCTATGTGGGGGAACTCGAACGTGTGGTGTATTTATAATCAGCACCTAATTTTCAACTGTATAGCGAAGAATGAAATAAAAACGTTAACAATTTCTCGAAAATTCGGGGAACTAAAAGAGACGCCGTTCTGAGTACTTTTGAACTGTTCTGAACGGTTCTGGAGCGTTCTAAATGATTTTATGCAGTTCTATAGAAGATTCTAGACAGTTGTAAATGATTCTGGGGCGTTCTAAATGGTTTTGGACTGTTCTAAATGATTTTAAACAGTTCTAAATTATTTCGGAGCATGCTAAATGGTTTTAGACAATTCCAAATGATTCTAGACAGTCCTAAATGATTCTGGAGCGTATTTTTTAGTGCACATTTTCTAATCTCTACCATCGACAGTCGTTTAATAGAGTTGGGAATCGTTTTTTTTTTGGTAATAGGTTATATATTTGTAATAATACGTTATATTATTATTTGTTGCAGTACTACGAAATGTCATATGGCCTTAATGTGGAAATGCACAAACAGGTAAGGTAATCCTTTCAAACAATCCACCCTGTATAATCGCGGCTCGAACGGTTAATTTTCGAACGATCGTGTGTCCCAGTGTGGGTGCGGGTTAAACAACAAGTTCAAACCGTTAATTATTAGGTAATTATATAACCGAGTCGGTCGCGCCGTAATCGCCGTTATTATTGCACTGGAACTCTTTCAGGATAAATAGATACAGGGTGTCCCAATGAAAAGTAGCCCCTTTTTCAAATAAGCTTTGCGCTTATTTTGCATGCGCTTTTCTCGAATAAGTTTTGATAACATTGGAATATTGAACATAAAATAACCTCATGTTCATTTTTCAACCTCTAATTTTAATTTTTATTTCATCCCCTATTTTTAACCCCTTTTTTATTTTTCATCCGCTATTTGTATTTTAATTTTTCAACCCCTATTTTTGTTTAACATTTTTCAACCCCTATTTTTATTTCAATTTTTCTAACCCCTATTTTCCCGCCGCCCCTCCGCCGCTGCGTTGTCGCTGCGGTTAGATCGCTTTTCACATGTTTACCGCCACCTTTTCACTTGCGACTCCGAACCGCTCCGGAACTACTCCGGAACCGCTCGTACATTCTCGCCCCGTCTCCGTCTCTCTCTCTCTCTCTCTCTCTCTCTCACTCTCGCCCTGCTCGCGCTATCTCTTTCTCAACCGTCCAAACTCCCTTTAAATCGCCCTCTCGCTCGCTCGTTCTCGTCTCGCATCAATTCGACACACTGTCTCTCTTCTTTTTTTTTCCCCCCCCGGACAATCGATAAAGAATTATATATACGGGGGTAGAGTAGAAAGAGAGGGATGGAGAGAGTGAGAGAGGGCGCGTGTGTGTGTGTTGAAGTAACGGCGGCACGTCGAGTAGGCTTTGGATCCGGCGAGTTTGCGGGAAATCGGGAGCGCGACCGCAGAAATGCGACCCTTAAATAGGGGTTGGGGGTGGTTGGTGGGGGGGCGGGAGGTGAGTGGGGATAGTTAGGAGTTGTGGGAAAATCGGGGATCGTTTACTTGCTAATTATCGGGAATTATACGGGGTGGGTTGCGTATTTTAAAGAACAATCTAGTAGGTTTAGTAAAGGAATTATTATACGGGGTGGGTTGCGTATTTTGATGAACAATCTAGTAGGTTTAATTAGGGAATTATACGGGGTGGGTTGCGTGTTTCGGGGAGTAATTTAGTAGGTTTATATTAAGGCGATTATACGGGGTGAACTACAGGGTGTAAAAAATATGTTTGATTCACTTCGAATTATTTTTACATTAATTAGATTGAATTGGTCGATTAATAAAATAAAACGAACGAGGAAAAAACCCCTAATAAAGAGGCTAATAAAATTTTCCAACCCTCGTTTACTGGGAAATACGAGAACCCTTATCGTTTGGGATTTTCCTTCGCTCGACGATCTGAAGATTTTCCCCGTTTTAATTCCATCCAGCATTATTATATAGAGCTTCCTGGAAATGGCATTTTCTCGGAAAATGTAACGAATAATTTGCTTTTATTTATTTCGTATTCATTATATAGTGCATTCGATATAACTTCGTCGTGACGTCATTAGGCTAGATTTTAACGTCGAATTTCTTTTTTAAATTCTGAATTTTAAATATGGCAACGTTGCTTATTTGAATCTGAAACAAGTTGAAAATGAGGTTAGTTTTTTTTTTTGACAACTACAATAGTTCAATTTTATTGTTTCTTTTCCAACGCCCACTCGAACCGAATCAATCAATAATAAGCGCGAGCGGAGCGGCGATTGTTTTTCTCCGTTTTTCTTTTGTTCGAAACGGAAAATATCGAGTTCCGTGCGCGTTCGTTTGTTTGTTTGTTCTTTCGTTCCGTGCTGATGATCCGGTTTGAAATATACAAAATTGAATCAAATTATATAAGATTTTTTTTTAATAATTTATTGTTCATAATTTAAAAAAAAATAAGAATTTCAATGGAGTAGATGTTCCAAAAATGGTCGTAGAGAACCTCAATAAAATGTCTTCTAACATTATTTAACATTTCATTTGGACAAACAGATGATTTTATATTTTATGTTAAATTTTTGAATACACTTGAAAAACAACATTTTTGGATAGAAAACAAAAAGACCTTTCAAACGATATGTCACAAGCCTGTACTTTCCATTTAAAAAAAAAATAGGGGTTGTAACTGCCCTTCGAAAGGTGGTTGAAAGTAGCAATTACATTTTCAAATTCAAATGTCAATTTTCAATTAAAATTCGACGTGTTTCGGGAGTTTTAAACTCTCCACCCTGTATTTTCAACCGGTTATACTACACCCCGTCCATTATAACACCTTCGTGACGTCAACGAGGGTGTTTCTTTTCCTTTTTTTTTTATTATTTCCCGTTTGTAGACTGAAATAGCGAAGCGACTGAACGCCATCATAGCCCAAGTGCTGCCATTTCTCGCCCAGGAGCACCAACAACAGGTCGCGACGGCCGTGGAAAGGGCCAAGCAAGTCACAATGGCGGAGTTGAATTCCATCATTGGGGTGAGTCGAGCGAAATTTACACCTGAAAAATTCCCCGATTCCCTCTCTCCCGCGGTGACGACGCTGATTCGAATATATAGCGACGTCACCGGTTAGTTAAAATGAACGTACTATATGCAATTTTTGTTTTGTTGATTAGTAGGGGTTGATTATTTTTTTGTAGGGGCGTTTATTGATTATGGTGCGAAATTTACCCCCCCTTCCGGTGACGGCGCTGATTCGTGATTAGTGACGTCACCGGTTAGTTAAAATGAACATACTATATGTATTTTTTTTTTTTCGTTGTTTAGTTGGCGTTGATTTTTTTGTATGGGCGTTTATTGATGATAAAAGGGTGTGTATTATAAGGCGTATAAAGTAGGTTAATTTTTTTTAATTCGCGGTTAAATTTTTTTAATTGATAATTAGTATCTATTATTTATTTATGTGCGTTAATTCATTAACTTTATTTTGAATTTGATGTATTTTTTTTGTGGGTACTACTTTAGTGAATTTTTTTATTGCGAATTTTACTTATAGTCCGTTCAAAATACCAGCGAAGTGACGTCATCGCATCAAATTATGCATGTTTTATTTTTTTCGGTAACATTTTGTTTCTTATTTTTTCCCCCAAAATTCGAAAGTCAATTAATTAAAAAAAGTAGCAAACCAAATTAGACGCCATCAGGCTAATTAAAATAATAATTGTAATAATTAAAAATCGTGTTGTTGTTTTGCAGCAACAGCAACAACAAGGCCTTCAACAATTGCTTGTAAGTAGTTATTTTATCGAATTAAACAAAAAAAAAACACTATTTCTTTATTTATTTTGATAACACCTTTAATTAAATTTAACAAATAGTAATTAATTGGACTACTACGATTATTCATTAAACTGTTGATTGTCAATTAATATTAGCGTAATTAAATTGATTTGATGATTAAAAGTTTTTTGATAATACACCGGTAATTAATTAGTTAATAACATAGTAGAAATTAATTTTGATATATTTGATAGATATTAATTGAATATTAATTATATTATCATACCAGGATAAGGTGAAAAGTTCTCGGCCTGACAATGTAAGACCGCGATTTTCATTTGAAAAATAACCTTAATTCTTCTTATTAAATCGAAATTTTTAGTTCGAGTCGGTTCTAAACGATTTTGAAGCCTTCTAAATGGTTCTAGACTGTTGTAAATGATTCCGGAGCCTTCTAAATGATTCTAAAAAGTGTTCTAAATGGTTCTAGACAGTTCTAAATGATTCATCAGGCCGAAAACTTTTCACCCTACCCTCGTATAGTCGGTACATTATGGTGCATGTAGATAATTTGCGTAATTATTTTAACTTTTCATAACTAATTTAGAGTATGTTTTTAGGTTAATTTATAATTTATTTGCTCGAATTGGACATTAAAATCGATTTTAAAACTAATTAATTGCATGTATTAATTACTTGTAGATAATATAATATTTTTTAGGATTTTTTTAATCACATCGAGTTTATAACCTAACAATTTATTAATTTTATTTTTTTTTTTTTTTGTTATAACTGCTAAATCCCCCCGATTGTTTTTAGCAGCAAATCCACGCTCAGCAGCTGCCCCACGGCGCCCACGGGGGCCCCGCCGGCCTCCCGATGGGCCCCCATCCCGGTCTGCCCGGCATGGGCCCGGCGGCCGGCCTGCTCGGCTTCGGCGCCGCCGGCCTCGCGCCCGGCGGGCCCCACCCCTCCGTCGGCGCCCCCGGGGGCCACCCCCTGCTCAAGCCGGCCGATTTGCACGCCCGGGATCCCCAGGACCTCAAGAGGCCCGCCAGCACCAACGCCGACGAAAGACTGGTGAGCCCCCCAATTTTCTTCTTCTCTCTCTCTCTCTCTCTTTTTTTTTTTTTTTTTTTTTTTTTTTTTTTTTTTTTTTTTTTTTTTTTTCTTCTTCTTCTTTTTTTTTTTTTTGGTTATGTTAGCGGTCTCGTACTTTAAAGGTAATTAGGTCAACAACAGTTTTTTTACTATTATTCGCCTGTTACTTTAAAGACAAGTAGGCGCAGGAGTGTAAGTGTTTCTTCTTCTTTTATTTTTTGTTTATTTTTTTGCTCTATTAGTGGCCTCGTTCTTTAAAGGTAAGTAGGCAGACAGGAGAATAACAGTTTATTTACTATTATTGGCCTATTACTTCAGAGTTAAGTAGCCACAGGAGTGTACTAAAGTTCGTTCTTCTTCTCTTTTTTTTTATTATATTAAATGGACTGTTACTTAAAGGATAACCGGCTACAGGGGAGTGGGTTTCCCTTTACCGGGTTATTTTTTTTTTCTTCTTCTTGGTTAAATTTCTTGGTATTTTATTTAGTAATGCATCCAGCCAATTGAAGGTGTTTTAATTTGTAGAATTCCGTATCGCCCGGTGATAAAGACAAATACCGATCGAGATCGCCTCAAGAAGTGGAATCTGTCAAACGAAGGAAAGAAGAAAAATTAGGTCACGTAAGTATTTTGTTTGCATCGAAAGTAGACATAACCTAAAATTAACTAAGTCTGTCATATAAAGGATTTCAATTACAATCCGGCAACGTCGCTCGTGACGTCATTGTAATTTTAAAACGTACAAACTTTAGAATCTACTCAGTTTGCAGTTGAATGAGTTAAACAAAGAAAGTTTATTTTATTAACTCCCCTCCTTAATTTTCATCAAGGAATCACCCCTTAATTTTTTCGTAGTTATTTAGATACACCCTGTATACAAGTTTGCGCCGAGGATCAGTAAATTTCCTTTTCGCCGAGCATTAGACCGAGAAAAATCGTCGATTTTCATTCGCTATTCCCCGGAAAAGCCGCGTATAGAGAAAATCGAGACGTTGATAAATGTTTGTCTGATATATTTCCCTTTTGTCCCCATTTTTTTTGTACAGTTTTCGTCCGAAAAATCGCATCGAAAGTTTCCATTAATCTCGAAATAAACAAACCAAAAAAAAATAATACAAAAATCGCGCTACCCGCTTTCGCCAACTGCGATCGATCGTGGAACTTTTCTAATAAATAGCGTTACCTTTGATTGACCCGGCCTACCGCGATTAGTGAATCCGATAATATGACGCTCGTACGAAATAGAGGAGGAAAGGGCGCGGGGGCGGGAGGAAGACAGAAAACGCTCTAATAGTGGTAATGGGGATTATTTTTGCGGGGTGGAGAACAAGAGACGAGCGAAAGGGCGCTTAGAGAGGGTAGATATGGGGGGGAGAGGGTAGAGAGGGGGTTGTTCCGTTGAAGGGCAGGAAAGCGGATAAATGATTACTCCCGGAACGAGTGGAATTGATGATGGGAGTATCGCAGATTGCCCTGACCAGGGCCGGATTCGATTTGTTTCTCCAAGGGTAAATAAATTATTACAATTTTTTATTACAATAAAGTGTTCTCACGGTTCTGAACAGTTCGGGAGCGTTCTAAATGGTTCTAGACAGTCTCTATACTTATAAAACAAAAAACCTTCCAAGTCTGTCCTCTTTTTTTTTTTTGTTTGACAGGACTTTAAGTTGCGTACGATGATACATGACCGCTTATCAATTTCCCCCCAAAAAATCAATTTTTTTAAACGTTTCTAAAATATCTAATTGCAAGAATTAATTACTCAAGTCACCCCATACACCCCCTATTGTTTTCAACCTCACCCCGTACATTCATCAATCAAATTTCATCAATGTCTCACGTTTATACATCCCGATGTACGACATACAGCCCACCCCCATTCACCGCCTCCACCCACCCCCACCCCCCCGGACACCCCCCTTACAAATACATTCGTATAAACCGTACGATATAGAGAGGTATACAGGCGTCGCGACGCCGACGCGAAACATGGCCGACCACAGTTTGTCATCGTTGCAGACTTGACAAACAATTGGAATTCTCTTGTACTTCTCGCCCTTCGGCCGCCTCCCGCTTTCCCAGGGGCGGCGTTTCGCGTTTTATTCCGCGGAAAAATTTATTTCGTAAATTCGATCTAGTCGCAGTGACTTGTGACAGTTAGTTTAATCTAGTCGCCTTGTTACGTCACAATGGTTTGTGATTGAAACGAATGTCGATATTTAAGGGGGACGATCGAGTTGGCGGGGCATTTGGTATGACGACGGCCTGGAGCCGGTCCTGGGGGCGGTTTTACCGGTTGCGACGATTGCTTTGTTCGAATCGCATTACTTAAAAGGGGAATTTAATAACAGCCAACAGCTCTAACCGTAAGGTAAGGGGGCGAGTTTTTTTTTCTTTTATTTTTTTTTTTTGTTTTGTTTATATGACACCTATTTTCGTGCGCGTCGATAAAAAACGGGGAAGGACTCGATTTAATGGAGGATTTCTTTTCGCGTCGATAACTAGATTTGTTACAATAAAATAGAATCTAGGAATAAATATACGTCATCGTAAATCGCAACGATTTAACCTTTACATACGTATGGCTACCTTGGTTTATTTTTCTCCAAATCTAAATCTTGCTTCTTTGTCAGTCTTGCGTAACGAGTATTTTACTTCTCTCTTTGTACTTTTTATTTTTGGGATTCGTTAGTATGCCGTGAGCTGTCAATGTCAAAATAATTTTGTGAAGTTGCGAATTTACATAAATTTGGTACGTTTTAAAATGACAATGAAAATCAATCTGTATATTAAACCTAATTGTAAGTAATTTATTTATTTTTATTTTTTATATAGGAAAGCGACGGCGAAAAGAGCGATCAAGATCTAGTAGTCGACGTAGCAAATGAGGTAAGATAAAATAATCAAGATACATTAATTACGAATAATCTAGACACCATATAGGGAATATTTTAAATGATTCTGGAGCGTTCTAAATAGATCTAAACAGTTCTAAATCACTCTAAACATCTCTAAAAATGATTCTGAACTGTGAAAACACAGCCAGAATACACGAAAATTTTACGTTACTGCTGTGAACTTGGTCTTTTACATTTTCACCAGCAAAATCAATTTTCTTTTTAAGCAAACGCTCTTCTTTTTATTACAAATAAATACCTAAATAATATTTTTTTTTTGTAGGAAGCCTCGTCGCCTCACACAAACGGCGAACACGTATCGCTGGGAAATCCCGGAGAAATCCGGGAAAACGGAAGCACAAACGGCGATAAAATCAAAATCGAACGACCGCCCAGCAGGAGCGGCTCTTCATCATCGAGGAGCACGCCATCTTTAAAAAGCAAAGACGTTAGTATATCTTTATTATATTCTTCTTTTTCTTCTCACCTTCTTCTACTTCTTCTTCTTCGCATCTTCTTCCTTCTCTTTGCATCCCCTTCTTCCTCTTCTTCTACTGCTACTACTACTTCTTCTACTTCTCTTCTCTGTCTCTTCTTCTTCGCATCGAGGCCTCAGATTGCTCAGGCTATTCGGCCTCTAATATTCCCCTGTATAAACACAATGTAAAAGGCCACGTATAGACACCTCGCGTGACTCGATATCATTGACATCGATCGAATTGTCAATCGTTTTGCGATCCGTTTGAATCGTCCCCAGTTGGAAATTTGCCGTTCGATAATTAAAATATAATGGGTTACATGGGTAACGTGGCGATTTACGGGGTAATTTTAGCATCCGTATACGCCTACGACGCCTTCGAATTGACCCCGTACATCGACGGTGCCGCCTCCACGGCCCGTCCCGCCTTGCTGGACATGTTGAAACTGGTCGCCGATAGCGGAAATAAGATAAAAAATCGTATAATGTAAATCGAAACATGTCCCAATGTGGCTTATTTAGCAATAAAAATGTGAGAAAACCGTGTCGGTTATATCTATTTCTAAATGGATGGCCCCGTATTTGGTATTTAGCGCCCCATTTTAACTTTAAACATGGCGTTAGAGGGTCACTTTGACGTAAAGAAAGTCCTTAGTTACTCCATAACAACAATGTAAATCTGTCAATTGAAAACAAATCTCCTTAGTTACTCCATAACAACCAATGTAAATCTGTCAAAAGTGAAAGAGTCTCCTTAGTTACTCCATAACAACAATGTAAAAGTGTCAAGTTCGAGACGCGAGTCTTTTTAAAGCCGCGTTTAAGGAGGTAATGACGAATAAAAAATTCTAAAAAAAATATATTTTGTAAAAAACAGCATTTAAAACCACCCCCGTAAATTTGAAGGAATTTGTCTCGACAGAATAGGAGAAAATAAATAGTAAAATCGTCTGAAATAACAGTAACGCCCCCAACCTCCCAACCGCCCAACCACCTTAAGGTTAAAGTAAAATTAATCGTAATCGAATTGCTTTACAGGAGAAACCCCTGACGCCGGGCTCGAAGGCGCGCTCGACGACGCCGAATTCGGGCGCCGGTCCGGCGCCGGTCGCCGCCTCCAAGCCGGGCCCGTACCCGCCGTACCCGATGGGCGGCGGCGGCGGCGGCGGCGCGCGCGCCGTCCCCGACGCCCACCTCAGCCCCTACAACAACGTCCAGCCGTCGCCGTACGGCCGCCCGCCCATCCTCGGCTACGACGCCCATCCGCACGCCCGGCCGCCGGGCATCGCGACCAACGGCATGACCGCCATGGCCGGCGGCAAACCGTAAGTACTCTCTACCACTATAATTTGTTATCGTCTAGTCTAGCCGTTGCTACTAAGCGATTCGAGGTGTTTATGGCCACCAGGTGGCGTCTTAATTTGACAACTGTCAAATCAAATGCCAAAAATGTTAGTTTTGTAGGTTAGGAGGGGTTAACTTGCTCGAATTTCCGCGAAATTTAAAGCGAATCGGCAACGTCGCGTGCTCGACGCATGCGCAGTTGCGAACGCGGCTCACAATCTGCGATTTTTTTTTTATTTTGGTTTTGTTTTTAGGGCGTATTCGTTCCATATGAACGGCGAGGGTCAATTGCAACCGGTGCCCTTTCCCGCCGACGCCCTTATAGGGCCCGGTATACCGAGGCACGCCAGACAGATAAACACGTTGAGTCACGGCGAAGTCGTGTGCGCCGTCACCATATCGAATCCCACCAAATACGTGTACACGGGCGGTAAAGGGTGCGTCAAAGTGTGGGACATCAGCCAGCCCGGATCGAAAAGTCCCGTCTCGCAATTGGATTGTTTGGTGAGTTTCCAAAAAAAAATAACGGTTATTTTGTAACGACCGTTCCGCCACCTCTACGCTAACGAATGCGTTCCCACCTCTATTAGAGAACTGTCAAGTTTGGTGACAATTTTTGACAGTTGCGTTCGTTTGTACATTGTATAAGTATATACATCAATGAAGCAAAAAGTTTGTTACAATAATGTACTTTAATTACCCGTCCTTGATTAACAACTAGTTATTTAACGCCCCTTTTTTGTCTTGATCGATTGAAATTCTGGTAACATTTTCCTACAAATAACAGTTATTTTGTAACGACCGTTCCGCCACCTCTATTCTAACGAAATCCTCCCCACCTCTATTAGAGAACTGTCAAGTCAATTTGGTGTCAATTTTTGACAGTTCCGTTCGTTTGTATCGTTTACGCGGACACCTTTCTATCGCCGTTCTTTAAAAAAATAAACGTTACATCGTACCGGATTCGTTTCAGCAACGGGACAACTACATCCGCTCGGTGAAACTCCTGCCCGACGGCCGAACGTTGATCGTAGGCGGCGAGGCGTCGAATCTGTCGATATGGGACCTGGCCAGTCCGACGCCCCGCATCAAGGCCGAGCTGACGTCGAGCGCGCCGGCCTGTTACGCTTTGGCCATCAGCCCGGACTCCAAAGTGTGCTTCAGCTGTTGCTCGGACGGCAACATCGCCGTGTGGGATTTGCACAATCAGACGTTGGTGAGGCAATTCCAAGGTCACACCGACGGCGCTTCGTGCATCGATATCTCTTCGGACGGGACCAAATTGTGGACCGGCGGATTGGATAACACTGTAAATGTTTAACGGTTTTTGTAAACTCAAATGGGTTTTTTGTAACCGACGATTAGATTAATTGACGATTTTTTTGTTAAACGTGGCAACGTTGCTTGCTTGAAGCTTAAACTGTCTAGAACAGTAATTTAGAATGCTTCAGAACCATTTAGGATTCTCCAGACTCGTTTAGAACGCTCCAGAATCATCTAGAACTGTCTAGAGCAATTTAGAATACTCTAGAATCATTCAAAACTGTCTAGAACCTTTTAGGACTCTCCAGAATCATTTAGGACGCTCCAGACTCGTTCAGAACGCTTTAGAATCATCTAGAACTGTCTAGAACTGTAATTTAGAATGCTTCAGAACCATTTAGGATTCTCCAGACTCGTTTAGAACGCTCCAGAATCATCTATAACTGTCTAGAATAATTCAAAACTGTCTAGAATCATTGAGAACTCTCCAGACTCATTTAGAACGTTCCAGAACCATTTTGAACTGTATAAAACAATCTAGAACGCTCCTTCATCATTTAGAACGCGCCAGAACCATTTAGAGCGCTCTAGAATCATCTAGAATCCATTTAGAACGAACCAGAACTGTTTAAAACCATTTAAAACCAATCAAGCCGATACCTTATTCGCAAAAAGAATGACAAAATTTGAGAAGCCCAAAATAGCAAAGAAGAATAACAAAATAAAAACTAACCTCACTTTCATCTCGTTTAAGCTTCAAACAAGCAACGTTGCCGCGTTGAAAATTGGTAAATATCTAATCGTAGATTACAAAACCATGTGATTATATAAGAAAAAGTCTTCTAAATACGAGGGGGTTGTGATAAATTTAAAGTCACATTATTTTTTTTGTAAATAGGTGCGCAGCTGGGACTTGAGAGAGGGCAAGCAATTGCAACAGCACGATTTCAGTTCGCAGATTTTCTCGTTGGGTTATTGCCCGACGGGCGAATGGCTGGCGGTGGGCATGGAAAATTCCCACGTGGAGGTTTTGCACGCGACCAAAACGGACAAATATCAATTGCACTTGCACGAGAGCTGCGTGCTCAGTTTGCGATTCGCCACCTGCGGTAAATGGTTCGTCAGTACGGGAAAGGATAATTTGTTGAACGCCTGGCGGACGCCCTACGGCGCTAGTATATTCCAGGTACTATAAAAACATTGAAAAAAAACATAAATATATTCAATACCAAACAAATACGTTAATCTAATACATTTCTATTTCAGTCCAAAGAATCTTCGAGTGTGCTAAGTTGCGACATCTCCTCCGACGATAAGTACATAGTGACCGGTTCGGGGGACAAGAAAGCCACCGTGTACGAAGTGATTTACTAAAATGGATGGACTTGTTTGGTGGCTGGATGGGCGTCCGGGCGAGAGGCCGAGAAACTGTGTTAGAAATCCGGAGGAATTGTGTGTGTGTGTGTGAAATCCCGCGGTCGATTTTGTACATATTATAAACGAATTGTAGATGTTGAGGACAGGAAAAAACAGATGACGTAATTATTAATTCAGCTTCTGTGGAAATTTCAATGATTTATCGAGAACTTTTTTGTATACAATTTAATTTTCCGGTTGGTTTAGATCGCGGAGCGTTCGAGAGGAGGGTTCGTTTATTTCGTACGGAAATTTATTGTGTGTGTAAAAATTAGATGTTGGAAACAAAAACGTAAAAAATATGGCACAAGTGATTCAAACTTAATTGAAAAAAAAAATACTTAACGATTTTTAGACCTATTACAATGATTTCTCGATGTTATTACGAATCAGAAGATTGATTATGTAGCATATTTTTCGTAATTAAAATAAAAAATTATTACAAAGTTTTATTCGTTCGTTTTTATTTACTTTCCTATGTTAATTTATTCGGATCGTTTGGGGTAAAAAAAATAAACATTTAATAAAATATATAGTGTATTATGACGCTGCTTTACAAGTTGTATATATCATAAATACATCAACAAAAATATATATTCAGGTCAAAATAGCTGCAATTAAAGATCTAGGACAAAATTCAACAAAATAAAAACTTAATTTTAAATAAATGGAAATCAAAAATATAATACTTATTACACCTAAACTTACAATCAATAAATGATGTGTATGAAAATTTTCAACAGTTTTCTTAACCTAATCTGTCCTAGAATATAAGAAATATAATAAAAACAATCGTACAAATATAGATATGCTAAAGGATTAATTAAATAATTAGAAAAGTAAGAGTATAATAAAATTGATACACGGAATGTGAACGTGATAAACAAATTAAACGTTTTTTGTTCGTAACGTTTTGAAAAAGGCACTATTTTTGGACGGTTATGAGTTAAAAAAACACAATTTTATAATACTGCTCGTCGAAAAATACAAAAGAAAAAGCACTTCAAAGTAATCTAACACTAGCTAAACACTAAGTTTACATTTAAGAATAAATAAAATTAGCAGATCTAAAACATCACAAAATGTAGAAAGTGCCTTAATAATATCCTCTTAATAACACCCATTATAAACAACTGCATTATTAATTACGTGTACTATTTAATATCAATCGATCAATTAAAATAAAATTATTGCTCCGCTTTTACATAAAAACATTCAAAATCTAAATAGATAAGTACACAATTCAAAATGGAATCTTCAAACTGATGAATAAATAAGCAATAAAGAAGCCGAAAACGTCATACTAAACTAAAATTAACATTATTCACTAATTAAATGTACATTATATGCAAACGAAAAAATAATCCGAAATCGCACCGGAGGTATAATATTTCAAGTCGAATTAAAATAATAAAAAAAATGTATGTAGAGATACAATGGCCACTATGTTCGATTCGTTAAATGACAACAAACTCTTCTATTCGTACATGTAGTCACAAAACATCCTGTATAAACAAATTGCATTGTAAATTGGGATTCCAATTATCAACTAAATATATTATACACAACGTCCCGTATTCAACGCCCCCATTTTAAACTTCAACATGGCTTTAGAGGGCCACTTTGACGTAAACAAAGTCCTTAGTTACTCCATAACAACCAATGTAAAACTGTCAATTTAAAATAATCTCCTTAGTTACTCCATAACAACAATGTAAAACTGTCAATTCGTCTTTAAAGTCATGTTTAAGGTTAAAATGGGTCGCTGTATACAAACCAATATTACAAATATCAGATCGTAAACCGCGGCTACATTCATCTAATAATCTCGAAATCCCAATTAACACACGATAAAGCGCGCAAAAGTGTGAGGTATTTTTTTTTCTCCTTACGAATAACCCGAATTTTTGATGCCTCTCATGAGCGGAACGAGCAACGCCGGCGGGCCGGCTTGTCTCAAAAACGGATGAGCCAGCAATTCCTGAGCCGTCGCCCTTTGGATCGGATCTCTCACCAGCATGCGATCCAAAAACGATTGCAATCTCGGCGACACCTACAACAAAAAAAAAGCTTAAATAACCGCCTATGACTTGTTTATCATGCACTTTTGGATAGAGGCAAGTTAGGTTAATCATCTTAGTTTAGCGACACCCTGTACACTGTACGGTATGTTAGTTACCTTGTGTGAATTTTTCAATTTAGGCGGCGGCATTTCTCTTATCCTACGCATAGCCTGTAAGGGGGGCTCGTTGAACAACGGCGGTTCACCGTCGACCATTTCAATCACCATTATTCCCAATGACCAAATATCCACTTCCGGACCGTACGGTAATCTCGATATTACCTCCGGCGACATCCAATACGGCGTACCGACCAATGACTTGCGCTTCGGTAACTCTTGGGACACCTACAATCAACGACAACAATTATAACATCCACCTTTAATAGTATATTTACCCGAAAACGAAACTAATTCTACCAAGATTTTCAATTATTATACTACTACTACTCCTAGTACTCTTCTACTCTACTCCCTAATACTCTTCTGCTACTCTTAACACTATTCTACTATTCCTAATACTTTTCTAACGCTCCTTAACACTCTCCTACTATTCTTTAATACTGTTCTGCTAATCTTAACACTATTCTACTACTTCCTAATACTCTTCTACCGCTCATTAACAGTTTCCTACTACTCTTGACACTATTCTACTACGTGTAATACTCATCTAGTTTTCCCTAACATTCTTTTGGTACGCTTGAAGCTCTCCAACTTGATTTACCTGAGCGCAAAAACCGAAATCCGACAATTTCACTCTTCCGTCCAACGCCAAAAGTATCGAATCCGATTTGATGTCTCTGTGAATGACGCCCTGCGAATGCAAATAGGCCAACGCCTTCAAACATTGCTTGCACACCGTCGCTATTTGTTCTTCGTCCATTCTCGAATGCGTCACGATGTCGGTCAGGGCGCCACCTAAAAAATAAATAAAAATTATATCAAAAAAAATAACGTTCATCTTCAGTAGTTTAGTATCCTCTATACTAGACAGAGAGGACTCTCATTGGTTTACTGAATGGCCTCGATCTGAAGAAAATCGAGCACTACGTTTGGCCGTATTCAGTGACGTCACCGTTCAACAAGATTGATCCATCCTCGGTAGTTCAGTATCCTCTATATAGTTACTAAACGGAGAGAACTCTCATTGGTTTACCGAATGGCCTCGATCGGAGTTCTACAAATCGGTATATATACCTTCGAGAAACTCCATGACGACCCACAATTCGTCGTTGACCAAATAGCTGTCGAACATTTCGACGATGTTGGGATGATGATAGTCCCGCATGATGACCACCTCGTTGAACAACAACTCTCTGCGCTGCTGCTTCCTCAGGTCCATCTTCTTGACGGCCACCTGTCGACCGGTGGTCTTGTCGTGGGCTATGCACACCGTACCCGTCGAACCTTCGCCGATTTTGATGAACCGCTCGAGGTTCTCGCGCGGATCCTTCGACGACACCACCATCTGCAGGGCCGCCCTGAACTGCAAACCAAATCGAATATTACTCGAAAGCGATTATGGGAGTGTATTCGATCGTACTTGTTCGTGGGTGAGCCTCTGTTCGTGGTGTTTGCTGGTGGAAACCTGGCCGGCGGCGCTCGGCGGCGTGTGCACCATCGGCTGCAATCCGTTCTTGAGGTTCTGGTTCTGGTCGTGACGCGGTGGCGGCGGGTACTGATGGAGGCTCTGGTGCGAACCCGTGTGGCTACGAAACGATCGATTCAATTCGATTGATTAGAGTGGTAACGAAAGCGGTCTTTTACCTCGCGGTTTGGGCGTGCGGGGGTAGATGAGCGAGCGGTACCATCGGCGGGGGGCCGCTCGACATGACGGAACCCGCAGGCGATACCGGCGGATGGTCCCTCGGATGGAAGCCCACGTATTGGTCGGTTACGTTGCCGTTTAGATAGGAAGTAGGCGGTTCGATGTCGGCCGGAGAATCTCGCTGTTTACCTTTAAAAATAACGAGTTTATTTAAGATGTAATTGCGGCGTAACGGTGGGCTTACTTATGCGAGGGTCCCTTCGCATCGAGGTGTATTGGACGATTTGTTCCTCGGGCACCGAAGGGGGTATGTTGGAATTGTTGCGGTGGTCTCTGCGTAACCTGGGCGGGCTGGACGACCGCAGGGAATTAGACCGGGCGACGTTCGACGTTTTCGGTAGGACGATGTGCGAGGCGTTGCCGTTGGTTTTCACTTGGGGCGCGCCGGTTTTGGTTTCGTGCTTGTGATCGCCCCGCACGATGGTCTTCAAATCGAGTATCTCGGTGGGGGTGATCTCGGACGGATCGACCAGAGGCAGCGGCCTGTTGGTGGATTTCAGTATTTGATTGTTGCCGACGATGGAGGCCCATTGCAACGGGAGGCCCACGTATTTGCCCTCGTTCTTGTCGTAGCCCGTGTGGACTCGGTGCTCGAAGTTCGTCGGCTGGGATATCTGGGGTTTCTTCTTCTTCTTGGCGAACATGACGGCGAGATGGGTTTGTTTACGCGAACGCAATTGTGCGTTGTAAAGTAGGTTAAAAGGTGTATTGGATGGGTTTTTTTTTTCGGTGTCAACACACAACACACGTACTGGGTAACTAGATTGAATTGTCGTTTAGTAAGAACATGCGACAGTTTGCTTGATCCATTCTTGTCGCGTTCGTTATTCCATTGAGGCACTAATTGAATATAAATTACGATGTGAAACTGACTAAAATGAAAATGATTACAAAAATCATCAAATAAACAATTTATCGCCCACTTTTTATTAGTTTAGTTCTCGAAATCGCCGCGTGACACTTGACAGCTGTCAAAAATGTCGAAATCGGAATAACTCAATAATTTAGTTGATTCAACATAAATAAATTGTTTAATTGATAATTGTCATTATTTTACACAACTTGCAGAATATTTCAACAATTATTTTCCCTTTTCTTTGATTAATTATAAATAAATATTTTTCTGACAGATTATAATGACAATTTGACATTTTTGACAATGACATTGACAATTGACATTACAGGTGTTCGATGATCCCTGTTACGTAAACATTAAATAGTAAAAAAACGGATAATTAAGGCCCCAAGTTTCTACAAAGTAATCCAAAATACTCCCGAATTGAATCGAACACCATAAATAAACATTTGTTTCCCTAATTATTAGTAAAAGATCCGCCTTGTTGGTTCACGCATTCAGTTCCTAACTTCACTTTGTGCTACAACATGGCTGCCACCGTAGGGCGAATTTGTGGTGTAGGGCTATTAAAGCCGAATAATTTAACCACCATCGGTCAGGTACGGCTTTATTATTACCAATAACACTCTAATAATCGTCTACAATTAAAATACCATTTAATTATTGTACATATTGACGTATAATTGACTTTGAGCTAGTGTTATGTCATCCGGTGGCCACTTTAATTTCACCAATTTATCGTTTTAGATTAGCTCGTATTCGACTGCTAAAGAATGGACTAGAGGTAAAAAGGCGGTAAGTAGTTTATTTATTCACACGAAACGAGTAAATAACTCTGAATCTTTTCAGCTTTTAGGAACGTTAGGAATAGTAGCAGGCGGCGCGGGCGCCGTTCTAGTGGCCCTCGACCAATCGGTCAAAGCGTCAGATCTAGAATTGCACCCGCCGAAGAACATCTGGAGCCACAGCGGCATATTCAGCTCGTTGGACCACGCCAGGTACGTACCGTAGAGCGCTCGTAGAGACTTTTAGACCCATTTAACGCGCTAAAATCGATATCCGCAGCGTCCGGCGGGGCTTCGAGGTCTACAAGCAAGTGTGCGCCGCCTGCCATTCGCTGCGCTTCGTCGCCTACCGCAACCTGGTGGGCGTCACGCACACGGAGGCCGAGGCGAAGGCCGAGGCCGAAGAGCAGATGATCGAGGACGGGCCGAACGACGAGGGCAACATGTTCAAGCGGCCCGGCAAGTTGTCCGACTACTTCCCCAGCCCGTACCCCAACGAGGAGGCCGCCCGGGCCGCCAACAACGGCTCCTATCCGCCCGATTTGAGCTACATCACCGCCGCCCGGCACGGAGGTATTATATTTAACAGTCGATTTTAGGCGGTAGTTTGTATTTGAGTCGCAAGGGGGGGCGCTGGAGTGGCTCGATTGCGCGTATCGATACAGGACAAATGCAAGTCTAGAAGTAGGCATGCTGTGTCTATTAGTGAATTAGAGAAGCTGTCATTTTTACGTCAAAAAATAGTATTTTTACTCCAATATAAACACCCCAAATTTCGCGACTAAAGCTCTTACCAATGAGGACTTTTGGTCCTCACTGTATGTACTTACTACTTATACTATATGTATTTTGTTTTCGTAGCTGAGGATTATATATTCGCGCTGTTGACGGGGTACTGCGATCCGCCGGCTGGAGTGGTGCTTCGAGAAGGCCAGTACTACAATCCGTACTTCCCCGGCGGGGCGATTTCGATGGCGCAGGCGCTGTATAACGAGACGATCGAGTACAACGACGGTACGCCGGCGTCGGCCAGCCAATTGGCCAAAGACGTATCGACGTTTTTGAAGTGGACGGCGGAGCCCGAGCACGACGATAGGAAAAAAATGCTGATTAAGGTTTTAGGTATATTCTCGTTCCTGTTGGGTATCACTTGGTATATCAAGAAGGTGAAGTTCGCCTCGTTGAAGTCGCGCAAGATCGAATTCAGGCCGAAGAAATGATGGGTGTTAGAACGTGATTAGAAGAAGTTTTTTTTTTAGCGTGACTACTACTATTATTACTGCATACTTTATTGTAAGTTTAACGGATTTGTAAATAATGTTGTGTGTTTTTTTCCATCTTTAAATCGAGTAAAGGGTTGGCGTTCGCTTACCTGACGGTTATATTTATTTTTATTTAAATATGTCACGTTGTTTCAATAAAACATTCAAACGATAAACGCTCCTTATATTCCACGTTAATTATTTCGAGTCCCTCTAATATACATATATAGGGTGGTATATTTACAATGGAGATGCTGAAGACATGAAAAAGTTTTTCATTTGGTAAATAAAAAGGTTTTTGGACCGAAACATGGCTCTAAAGGATCACTTTAGTAAACAAAGTCCCTAGTTACTCCATAACAACAATGTAAATCTGTCAATTTGAAAGAATCTTCACATAATTTTCTTGAAATCAGACTATGACTGGGATTGGTCGATTTTAAACCGCTTTATTTACCAAAGGAAAAACTTTTTCATGTCTTCGGCTGCAGTTTTTGCATCTCTGCAGGTCTGGACTACCCTGTATATTAGAGCCCTAATTTCTGACCTATCAATTCTCGATTTTTCGTCACCGGGTCAAGAATACCAACCTTGAATTTTGCCGGACATTAATAGAGTGCTCCCGATCGAGTATACTCGAATATATCCACTCTACGTCAATTGCAGGACTGCACGGACGATTTACAGGATAACAATTGTTAACCTGTAAATCCTGTAAAATTAGCTAATTATTCGTACACCTGCGTTATGAAAATATACAGAGGATCCATATACAGGGTGTTCTCAAAATATGGCACTAAATGTAAGGTAGTTTACATAACTTAAGACCGACTCGCAGATTTTATTTTTTTTTAATTTATAATAAACAAAACAGGGCCATTAGAAATAAATGCAAAGAGCGAATACAACCCTGGCCTGAATAGTCAGCTGATCGGAATTTTAACTCAAAAAACAGATTCGGTGTATTTTATCAGCAAGCGGAAATTTTTTCCTCGGCCCTCCAGTTTTCGAAAAAACCTTACCGATACCGATTGTTTTCTAGTGCGAATTGTATTGTTTTGTTTATAACATCGGGGTTAGATTTTTGTGATTAGACTTTAGTGATTTATTTGATTGTTCTAGTTTTTAGTGTTCTTCTCGGTTTAGTTAGTTCTCTTAGCTCTATAGTGATGTTTCTGGAACAATTAATTGCAATATTGACAATGCCACACGCGTTTAATGGGATATTAATAAATAATAAACAATCACTATGAACTTCACCATTTTTCAACAACGAAATAGGTAAGCTAATATTTCTTTCGAGTTTTTGAAGTTTATTTTCTTCTACTGTTTAAAAATCCCGGGTTACTTTTATAATTTATCCATAATTTTAACAATTTTGAGACCATACGGAATAAATAAGTAAACAAATTCGAATAACTATATAATAATTAAGATAACAACTTATCTTACGAACCTCGTATCTTAAAAATCACAAATAAGTTCCGCTTATTAATATATTTATTAAGAAAAAAAAAACTATTGTTCCTTACGTAACGAGTATTTACGCTTGATTAATATTAATTCATTAATTGGATCGTTTTTTTTTCCTCACAATAATTCTCCACTAATTTACAAGTATCCTTTTTAAATCTTCAACGATATCTTGATATGTTTCGATAAAAGATAAATAGGTGTAATAATTAAGGTGCGGATACACTTATATCAAGTAGCTAAAACAAGTCACTAAATTTAGTTACTTGTATTGAGTGGACAACTTGATTTAGTAACTTGTGCAAGCACCTAATTTAGTAAACTACTAAAATCAAGTAACTAAATTTAGTTACTTGATACGTGTTTTGTTTCAATAATTTTTCCCATTTTTTTCTCGTAAACTGCCCGTTAAACTATTTTCCAGGAAAATATAAATCTCTTTCTTCGCCAGGTGCGAAAAACTATTCCATTAACAATTTATTGCAGAGACAATGGAATTCCGTTCACATTTTACCATATTATTGAAATGTTATTTGAAATACACGCCTCTCGAACTGATGAATAAATACATTTTTCTAACGATACGTTTAATTACGTCTAATTACTATTGTTTAATAATGAAGGGTGTGACCTTCGAGTGAGTCTTTTCTTTTCATTTTTTTTTATTTTCAGTATTAATTCACATCGAGTTATTAATTGCCTTCGAAACCACTGGCGTGTACTCTGCTGAAAGGCTTTGACTGATGTGAATCATAGTAAAGGGCCGCAAAATTTTGAATAAAAACAAACACCTTTACGAAACATTTACGGACATTCATCGAATTCAAATGTATTATTTAACTTGCCACGAACATTATTTCGCAAGATCTCGCAAAATTGATACAACTGTCAAAAATGACACTTATGACAGATCGATTGGCATATACGTATAATAGAGGCGGGAATCGACATTGCGGTATAGAGATGTACGTTCCAAAATAACCGTTATTTGTCACACCTAATAATTCGAACGTTGAAATCGAATTAAAAGCGGATCTGACGGTAATTAACGACAAAACGCGACAAATTAATATGCACTCGTTAATATGCATATAGCTATAGGCCGCAATAAATCAGCAACGTGTCCGTTGCAGATGCAGCTTGATATCTTTATTATTGATTTTAAATAGCCGATCGATTCGATTTAATAAGCTTTTAGCCGTCACGAGATAAAATCAGGATGTGAAACGTGCGAAACAAAGAACAAATAAAACTAGATCAAACGATTTCGCTGATGGTGTGTGTGTGTTATTTTTTTCCGCTGCACTCGAGCAAATCACGAATTAGACGCTAGAATATACAAGGTATAGTGTTTATATTAAACCGGCAATTGCGCCATTATGATTTACGCGCGATTTTGACCCATATCCGATATATCCGGATGATTCGCACGATTCGTAAAGCCGGCCTTACACCGAGGCGACTTGTCGCCCAAGAACTGTTGCGATTATTGCATCGGTGTAATGTGGCCTTAATCCGGTTAATCTCCCAAGGCCGTCGTTCGGTTTTCGCTCCGGCGAATTCACGGTTGGAGTCGAAAAAGACCCGGAGGAGAGCTCGAACGATGGAGAAGGGGATTTATTTTTATTTATTTTTTTTCAGGTGGAAAAATTAGTCTTGAACTTGGCGAATTCGCTCGGTTGGCGCGATGTCTACGTGACTGGCCGTGTCGATTTTAATTTATGTATTTATGGTAGATTTTGTATTAGGTGGATTTCGTGTTAATGTAGGAATATTGCGACCGCATCGCGTGGATGTTTAGTTTCTTGGAAGTTTTTTTTTTTATTTTTTATTATATAACTATATTAAATCTTTTAATATAAAAAGAACCATTTTTCAAAGTAGCTTTTAAGCTTCCAGAATCTCCTTCCATTACTTGCTATATACTTTTATCCTTTTCAAGAAAATATAACAGCGTGGTAAAGAAACCAATTGGGAGTGTTATTTACACTATTTATTAATTTAAAAAGGAGCATATTTCGAAGAACACTCAAGAAATACTAACGAATTTTGCATTTCATTCCAATTTTCCCTGCATATATATTTGTCAATGTTATTCGTGTAAACACTTAGATGAAATTAAATGTAAATCGCGCCTATTTATATGCCATTAGGACACCTAGGTGGTCCGAGATAACAAAGTGAAATAAGCAAAGCAAACTTTGGTGTCTCAGCATCCGGAAGGTATTTATAAAGGTCACCAGTCGTAAACGTGCCCTTCATCACGTCGATGCTCGCTCAAATATATTTTAAACAATCAATTAAATATATTAAATGTAACTTTTGCATAACTCCTGCTCCGCTAATTGAACGTTCTCAAGACTGCACGTAGCTCGGCGATGATAATTAAAATATTAACTCGCTTGTAGTAGGTTTACGTAATCTCGTTTTATGTAGAATATTATTACTTCGTATGTTAAAAATTTTGCCGGACCCGAATGAATATGTAATATAAAAAAAATATATGTAATCGGCGTAATTGCAGTTTGGGTATTTTACCGGTGTAGGTTTTAAACCCGGTCGGAGCGGATTTTCCGCCGCCTTCGGGCGATTTTATTCCATTAAAACCGCGAAAGAGAGTCCATTCATCATGGGGCGTTTGTCAGCCCGACGACGAATAACACTTTGCGGAAATTCGAATTTGGTAATAAAAGGGAAAAATAAACCGACGAGGATTTTTCGGAATATGGTGAATCGAAATTATCGCACACGGTGACCAAAAACTTTATAATATTCGTTAATATTGCTTGAGTGTTCTTCGAAATATACTCCTTTTGAAGCAATACACATGATCAGATACCTTTTTCCAATTATCGAAACATTTTATAAGCCTTTTTTGGTACGGATTTTAGCTCATTCTGTGAATTTTCTTCGATGGTTCCGAAAGAAATTCTGTTCAAAATCCAAACTATAAGACTTAATTATTTTTGTCCATTGTTCAAATCTCTCTAATATTTTCCATGCTAATTAAGAACAGTGTTACCTACATGACAGAAAATTGGATGTTGATGTTCCATCAGCAGGTAACAAGTTAAATCTAACTGAAAAATAGATACTATAAATTGAATTAATTCAGATATCAAATTTTTATCATAAGGTCACAATTTCACATTCAATTAACTTCTAAAACACTATACATGCAAATTATCCAATCTACTAATCTACAACAAAATGAATTATTGGATAAATTTGCTTACGAACGGTGCAACTCAAATTAATTAACCTTGTTGTTTTGTTATTAAAATTATTGTAAATTTATTTTCTCGCGCTACTTTATTTTTAGTATTTCGTTTATTTATAAACAACTTCCTAGCGTTATTTATAACACGACCGAAAATGGTATACGCAACTCAAGGTTACGCGATGCACGCACGAAATCCCCGAAAATAACCGTTACAGTTACCGTTCCTCTTCCACCTCTAACCCCCCCCCGTATTCTGAAGATTTTTGTAATCAAATGGTTTTGTAACCAACGCTCCAGAACCATCTAGAACTCTCTAGACACATTTGGAATGCTCCAGAATCATTTAAAACTGTCTAGAACAATTTAGAATGCTGTAGAGTAACATTTAAGAATCATTTGAAACTGTCTAAAACCATTTAGAACGAACTAGAATGATTTAGAATGTTCCAGAATCCTTTAGAACTGTCTAGAACCCTCCAGTAAAGGGCA